GTTGTTTGCCTGTTGTCCAGCGTTGTCCACCCCTTTGTCTTGTGTTGTCTGCCCGTTGTCTTGCGTTGGCCTCCTTAATTAACAGTGTGTAAGTAAATTAATGTAATCTACCTAACAAATGCTTCCATCTAATGAATGTTGGTGATTCAAGTTAATGTTACTTGCTATGACTTTGGGCAGTAGTGGTTACAGTAATACTGGTGCCGGTAGTGATAAGCGTAGTGCTACTGGTACAGATAATGGTAACGGTGCTAAAAGTGGCTACGATAGTGATAGGGTAAAACCAAACACGATTCTATTATTTCTCTCAGGTTTTTATTAATAATTTGAATCCCTTTTTCTTGTGTTTTTTATTGTTTGCTTCTGCTTGCTTTTCATGTTTACCACTTATATATTTCCTAATATTTGCGTTTAATTCTTACGGTTCAGAAGTTGCATGCGCAGCTTTTTTATTACTATCTGAACCAATACAAGAACTAGTACCATTAACGGGATTTAGCCATGAATACTGAAGCGTTTCGGTTTATATAGACTTCACTCTCACTGTACATTTCAAGCCTTTGCACAAATTATGCGATCGTCTTTTGGATGGAGCACCGGTAAGTTTTCGTTAGCTATGTGCAAAGCGCATTCAGTAATCACCGTACTCTAGCCAATCAAATATGTCTAACTTAACGTTTTTACATAGATTTTAACCGCAAAATGGTCAGCGAAGCGTTCTGGAGCAACGAAATCGAGTCAGAGCTGAGGGAGCAAAAAATCGTTTATGGATTCAGTGGGCGCAAAATAAACTGTGCCGCTGTCAAACAGCATATAGAAACTGTTCGAACATCAAAGCTGTACGATCATAACTGCAGCATGGAGAGTACTTCTGGATGCCAGTTCCTTGACATGATGGACGGGCTTTGGAAATTCGGGCACAAGCACTGCGCCATGCCAGTCAAGGTAAAGCATACATGAACTGGCAGTACAGAACACATTTGTTATGGCCATCCACGTCAGCGTAACCATACTCTAATTTCAAAACATGATACAGTTCTTCGTTTCCCATAATATGTAAGTTTCGGTTTATTTGCTATTACTCCCACCGTCTGCTAAGTTTCCTTTTTATGCTGCCATCTTTAATTAGCTGCGTGCAGCTAAATTTTCTAATAGCAATGTAACATTCATAATCTATCAAAAGGCTATTCTTTCACATCAGAGACCGCTAGTTACTACGTTGTGAGTTACTGCGTTACGTTTAAAATAGTCTCAAAGAAGTGGTCAAGAAAGCAAACTTTCCTAATCTTCTACATCGTTATCAATTTTAGTCAGTTTGTTTTATGCTCGGGGTTTCCAGATGCTTCGGTTTTTCAATGGTTTTATTTGCCTATTTCTAACACAAAATCGGTGGTCCGCTAATATCGGTATTGGCGGGCAAACCGTTTTGATATACCAAGAGCTGCAGCTATCTCGTTAGACTTCGGCTCAGCAAGTTAACTGAACTCTGACGGTTTGACAGTACAAAAACAGTTTCTAGTTAGTCTCTCTTTTTATGAACGGTTCTTAGTAATATCTTAAGTTTAGACTGCTTTTTCTGTGTATAGAAGATTGTGGACATCCGTCATATTAACTTGCCCCAAGTGTGTGAAAATCAACCTACAAAAAATTCCAAATTTTGCCTACCACACCATGGCCCTCTTAAAAACCTGGAACAGGCAATGAGCAAAGAGGAGTTCAAGTCTTATCTTGCGCAGAAAGAAGCTGCCGTGCGAGTGGTTTCTGATAATTTGTTCCAAGATGAAATGGAAGAAAACGCAGGGAACGCGCTGACATCTGAGCTAAACTGCAACAACAAAAATGTGGTTGCTCCGTGGTGCCGTAAAAGATCTGGAAGAAAAACTAAAGAGTCTTGGTCCAGAGGCATATTTGTGTATGTGGCGGCTTGTGGAACAATCCTCAGTTATTCTCCAATATATAAGTAAGGAAACCGTCAAACATAACACTGCTAGTTTATAATTTTGGTCTATTTCCGCTATTACCGAATATTTCTGAACCGCGGTTTCTTGAACTAGGAGTGAATCACTTAGTCAAGTTCTGGTTCTGACACTGGAGTTCCTGTACAAAAGGATGCAACTGCTTGCAAATCACTTGTGGTCCAAATACTTTCTGTGTTACGACAACATGTAAAGAACGAGCATTTTTAACACACGCCATATTGTAAGTAGGCAACTGATTTTCCGGATTTTTTAGGTGCAATTTGTGCCGGTTAAAGGCTCTAAAAGAACCGCTCAATCACGTTCTGCCAGAGGGATACGACAATATGTTCAATATCATCAACAAAATTGTTGACGGGCTGCATATGAGCAATCATAGGCGCGAGGATTGTCACGTTCTTTACAATCCCAACAAGTTTTCTGATGTTCACCCGGAAGTCAGCCGAAACACCATGGCTGCTGAGCAAACTTTTTCTTGGTTAGGGCGTTATCGCAAACAAGTTAACAGCATGAATAAAACTAATCAACATCTTTTTCTCCATCGGGTCATCATTCGTCGAAATTGGTATATAACTCAGTGCATGCAAAACGGGCAAACACCGGTAGTATGTTCTCTCCGGTCACGTGAAGAACGCTTTGGTTTTACATAAGCTCCTTTCATTTATTTAAATGATTGTTGCATGTTTTGATCGATTGATACCATGTTCTTTAGCATTGCCTATCTGGTTGGAGAAGTGTTAAAACAACCCCGCACTACAACCACTTTTGCATAAAAATGGGCGTTTGGTAAAAACTAAAAAGCATTTTAAATATATTTATCTTTTTAATCAGCTGTTTAGACATCTTTTTATTTTTACTGGTTTTTGACATTTTCCTGAGACTTCGTCATACCTTTACTAATTCGATCTTTCAGGCACGTTTACTCACTGAACAAATAAATTTGCTAAATAACCTTTACCAAGCAAATGGCCGTAGTTCTAATTTTCATATACGAGCATACCGCAATTTAATTTAAACCGTAGAGAGTCTATGGCTGCTACCTAATGTTTTCTGTACACAACGTAAAGGATGGTTTATTTTCCGTGCACAGCAGCTAGTTTCAAATATGGCTGAACAATACAATTTAAAATGCTGAATCTTCCAGTTACTCATTTTCGACGAATTTTTGATACCAAAGTCGATACAACGATTTAGGCGAAATCAGCATACCCAGACCCAGGTCAAGGCCTAAGCGTTATGAAAACTTCCTAAAGGCCAGTGAAAGACAACGGGCGTCTTACGAAAGATAACGGGTGGACAAAGCAAGACAGCGAGTGGAAAACGCAAAGCAACGGTTGGCCCTTGCAAGGCAACGGGTGTACAACGCAATATAACGCGCAAACAACGCAGGACAACGGGTGGGCAACGGGTGGGCAACGCTGGACAACGGGCGGACTACGCAATACAACGGGCAAACAACGCAAGGCAACGGGTGGACAACGCAAGAGAACGGGCAAACAACACAAGACAACCGGTGGACAACGCTGGACAACGGGCAAACAACGCAAGACAACGGGTGGGCAACGCTGGACAACGGGCAGACAACACAAGACAACGGGTGGACAACGCTGGACAACAGGCAAACAACGCAGGGCAACGTGTGGACAACGCAAGACAACGGGCAGACAACACAAGACAAGGGGTGGACAACGCTGGACAACAGGCAAACAACGCAGGGCAACGTGTGGACAACGCAAGACAACGGGCAGACAACACAAGACAAGGGGTGGACAACGCTGGACAACAGGCAAACAACGCAGGGCAACGTGTGGACAACGCAAGACAACGGGCAAACAACGCAAGACAACAGGTGGACTACGCAATACAACGGGCAAACAACGCAAGGCAACGGGTGGACAACGCAAGAGAACGGGCAAACAACACAAGACAACCGGTGGACAACGCTGGACAACGGGCAGACAACACAAGACAACGGGTGGACAACGCTGGACAACGGGCAAACAACGCAGGGCAACGTGTGGACAACGCAAGACAACGGGCAAACAACACAAGACAACGGGTGGACAACGCTGGACAACAGGCAAACAACGCAGGGCAACGTGTGGACAACGCAAGACAACGGGCAAACAACACAAGACAAGGGGTGGACAACGCTGGACAACAGGCAAACAACGCAGGGCAACGTGTGGACAACGCAAGACAACGGGCAAACAACGCAAGACAACGGGTGGGCAACGCTGGACAACGGGCAGACAACACAAGACAACGGGTGGACAACGCTGGACAACGGGCAAACAACGCAGGGCAACGTGTGGACAACGCAAGACAACGGGTGGGCAACGCTGGACAACGGGCAGACAACACAAGACAACGGGTGGACAACGCTGGACAACGGGCAAACAACGCAGGGCAACGTGTGGACAACGCTGGACAACAGGCAAACAACGCAGGGCAACGTGTGGACAACGCAAGACAACGGGCAAACAACACAAGACAACGGGCAAACAACGCAAAACAACGGGTGGGCAACGCTGGACAACGGGCAGACAACACAAGACAACGGGTGGACAACGCTGGACAACGGGCAAACAACGTGTGGACAACGCAAGACAACGGGTGGGCAACGCTGGACAACGGGCAGACAACACAAGACAACGGGTGGACAACGCTGGACAACAGGCAAACAACGCAGGGCAACGTGTGGACAACGGGCAAACAACACAAGACAACGGGCAAACAACGCAAAACAACGGGTGGGCAACGCTGGACAACGGGCAGACAACACAAGACAACGGGTGGACAACGCTGGACAACGGGCAAACAACGCAGGGCAACGTGTGGACAACGCAAGACAACGGGTGGGCAACGCTGGACAACGGGCAGACAACACAAGACAACGGGTGGACAACGCTGGACAACGGGCAAACAACGCAGGGCAACGTGTGGACAACGCTGGACAACAGGCAAACAACGCAGGGCAACGTGTGGACAACGGGCAAACAACACAAGACAACGGGCAAACAACGCAAAACAACGGGTGGGCAACGCTGGACAACGGGCAGACAACACAAGACAACGGGTGGACAACGCTGGACAACGGGCAAACAACGCAGGGCAACGTGTGGACAACGCTGGACAACAGGCAAACAACGCTGGACAACGGGTAAACAACGCAGGGCAACGTGTGGACAACGCAAGACAACGGGCAAACAACGCAAGACAACGGGTGGGCAACGCTGGACAACGGGCAGACAACACAAGACAACGGGTGGACAACGCTGGACAACGGGCAAACAACACAAGACAACGGGTGGACAACGCTGGACAACAGGCAAACAACGCAAGACAACGGGTGGGCAATGCTGGACAACGGGCAAACAACACAAGACAACGGGTGGACAACGCTGGACAACGGGCAAACAACGCAAGACAACGGGTGGACAACGCTGGACAACGGGCAGACAACACAAGACAACGGGTGGACAACGCTGGACAACGGGCAAACAACGCAGGGCAACGTGTGGACAACGCAAGACAACGGGCAAACAACGCAAGACAACGGGTGGGCAACGCTGGACAACGGGCAGACAACACAAGACAACGGGTGGACAACGCTGGACAACGGGCAGACAACACAAGACAACGGGTGGACAACGCTGGACAACGGGCAAACAACGCAGGGCAACGTGTGGACAACGCAAGACAACGGGCAAACAACGCAAGACAACGGGTGGGCAACGCTGGACAACGGGCAGACACAAGACAACGGGTGGACAACGCTGGACAACGGGCAGACAACACAAGACAACGGGTGGACAACGCTGGACAACGGGCAAACAACGCAAGACAACGGGTGGACAACGCTGGACAACGGGCAGACAACACAAGACAACGGGTGGACAACGCTGGACAACGGGCAGACAACACAAGACAACGGGTGGACAACGCTGGACAACGGGCAAACAACGCAGGGCAACGTGTGGACAACGCAAGACAACGGGCAAACAACGCAAGACAACGGGTGGGCAACGGAGGATAACGGGTGGACAACGGAAGACAACCGGTAGACAACGCAAGGCAACGGGTGGACAACGGAAGACAACCGGTAGACAACGCAAGGCAACGGGTGGACAACGGAGGACAACGGGTAGACAACGCAAGACAACGGGTGGCCAACGGAGGACAACGGGTGGACAACGCAGGGCAACGTGTGGACAACGCAAGACAACGGGCAAACAACGCAAGACAACGGGTGGGCAACGCTGGACAACGGGCAGACAACACAAGACAACGGGTGGACAACGGAGGATAACGGGTGGACAACGGAAGACAACCGGTAGACAACGCAAGGCAACGGGTGGACAACGGAAGACAACCGGTAGACAACGCAAGGCAACGGGTGGACAACGGAGGACAACGGGTAGACAACGCAAGACAACGGGTGGCCAACGCAATACAACGGGTGGACAACGCAAAGCAACAGGTTGACAACGGCGGTCAACGCAGACTACAAGCGTGATTCCGCGTTCTAAAAAATTGACGTGTAGAAAACGTGCCATACCTAACCAGCATTATCAGATCCCCCATAATTCGGTAACGGACTTTGTCTGGAATACTTGCATTTGGTGGCGATAATTAGCACACATAAAAATCACGAGTTACTTGTAGTTTAAATATACGTCCAGCGCGCACGTGTGCATTTGATAGTAGGAAGGCCGCGCATATGGGCATTAGATGGCGGTGCGCCGGTGACCGACAGACACCACATTTTTCATGAACGCTGAACATCGAGGACCTTCGCTACGCTTCGGTCGACAAGGAAGTAAATGTCCTTTAATCTTCCCTCCTTCTTTTGGACCCTGATCATTGGATTAGAAATCATCAGCTCCATAACTGTAGACGGAAACGGTTTACAACCAACGGAAAACTACAGCCGCCATAATTCCCAATCCTAACAATGGCATCGCTGTCCGGCGAACTGCAGAATTGCACAAATCGGTATTACAATAGCAGTGCTCATAAAGCATGTCGTTGACGCCTCCAGATACACATTCCATTCTCAACCTCGCATCGGGATGGATTCTGCAGCCTTTCTTCGTGTCTACATCCAACCATCACATTAAGATTGATAATCTGCGTGTTAATTATTCGGCTCGGAAACCGTTTTTCGAGTGAAGTAGTGAATACGGTAAAATCTCTCCTATGCACTTCTGGCATACTTCTATCATACAAAGTCGATGGAACCGTGCCTGTATATTGTTGAGAGGTTTTCTGTACGCAGTTATATAAGCCGGGTACACTTTGTTAATGTAAGTAATTCTTCGATGCAACATGTGTTTTTACCAGTCTGGGTGAGAAAACGGTCGGCATTATTAGCGTCTTGCACGAAAGTCGTTTTCACGCAGACCATGGTTAACGACCTATCAGTCGGCGGTGGACAGGTGACTTCTTTATCGTCCTGCCCCACATTATGCCGTACGTAGCATTTCAGCGCAGAAACTTCCGCTGCAAAAAATCACAACTGATTTACGGTAATTAATACGGTACGATGCAAATCTCGCGTAGTGTCTCTTACTGCCTCAGCTGAGTATTAAATCAAACTGCATGTGCAACTTACGGATAGCCAGCATGCCACAAACAAATAATGCGAAACAGAGGCGTGACATTCTAGACATTTTTAGCGGGATAGATGCTTAGCAGACAATTTCTTCGTTTATTTCGTAGGTCGAAAAAATGCCTCACAATATTGCTCGATCCGTCAGTCCCAACAGCACATGTACTTTATATCCGCAGCTTATCTCGTCCACTTACGCTTTGCTCGATTGGAATGCCTAATGATACGAGATAATTGTAAATGGTTTACTGGGAAATTTTTACCGGGAAAACTCCGATAAGAATTTTCCTTGACAGTTGCCGTTTACATACAATATTGGCTTCATTATGTCTCCCAATGGTGATACTTTGAGCCGGCCCTTTGAGCTAACAACATTCAAGACAAACAAAGATAAATGCAGTGGCGACTGCTCAGTGGGTTCTACAATAATGTTATTGATGCAATGGTGCAATCTACCGATAACTCAAGGCTTACTAAACGTTTCCCGGTGCACGAGTAGAGGGTTCCCACTTCCCACTTATCGACCGGAGCGCAGCGAGCCTCTAATTCAACAAAACTAGAAAACTGTCTGTCTGTTACGGGAGTGGAAGGTCACTTCCTTATTGCGTCAACCTTCCTTATTATGTCATCCCGTAACTTCCTCATTAGCGTTCCCATACACGGTGCGCCGACATACTTACTGAAAATACGAGTAGCAGCTAACACTACCAACCAGAGAGAAGGGTCATAACCCGGGCTGAGACCCGCAGTGTACATACTATATTTGCCAACTGACTCACCATCAGGAAAATGGAAAACAGGTATCAGTTTGTCCGTAGTGCCTATATCCTTTCTGTAGTCAACAGCAGTATCTCTATCTCCATTTCGTAGTTTATTCGGTTACGTAGTATGTAGCTACAGTTGGCTTCACAAGCTGCAGGAAACTTGACAAAACTGCACTTGGTTATCCGAGGATACAGGGACTACCGGTGGCTACATGACCTACAGAAGACTGTACCAGCGACAGAACGAGCGTACGCAGATGGCCACCGGTGACCAGAGACACTACAGGTAGCCACGGAGACCACATTTGAATACGGTGGACTACAGGACGACAAGCCGAGAATGCTGATCCCGAAAAGTAACCGGGCACCAGGACCATTTCTAGCCCGGAGGCATGCCGGGCCAATGGCCGGCCGGGTCGACCAAATACCACACTAGAGCAGTGGTGCAGCAGTGCAGCAGCGGTGTCGATAAAGATATTGTCCATTCAGTAAGGTTCTATTTATAAGCACGGAAAAGGCCAAAGGGTGTATTACTTACCCATAAAAAAGTCGCATACGCAAATTGTACTTTTAATGTAGACTTTTCTCGTGGGATTCCAGATCGCTTAATTACCATGTACTGAGTAGCAACACGCTCATGTCTAAGCTGCAGCTGACTTTAAAACGTCAGGTAGTAGCGACACATTTACACTACATATATCCGCTGTACTCCTGACGGAGTACTACTACAATTCATGCTGTGCATTTTGTCAGCTCACATCCGCCTCTACGCGGACTCAATCCCACTTTTGAATCCGCTCTTCGGTACCAAAAAACTAGCAAATACCCTTCCAATTCTACATGTGTTCAGATGCGGGCCGCACTTGTGTTCAGCTACCTGGAAGGAATATGAGCGCAAACAATACTGATTTTGAAGTGTGCCGCACTTACTTGTTCTCACTTACCTCACTTACTATTTCCATCTCTCCCTTATATGGTCTTCGTTACCCCAAATTTGAAGTTTCATTTAAAGAACAGTTTTGAAACAATACTTCAAGCAACTGGAGCGATTATTTGGCTTGAAAATAACGCGAAATACTTGCTCAAAATGTATTAAGAGTTATCAAGTTTGAGATTGCAGAGATTTGTTGTGCAGTTTCAAGGTTTTCGGTTGGAGAGTTACTTCGTTGACTACTGCTGAACTTTTGAAACCACCCTGACAAGACTCAATTTTAAATTGGACGTTGTATAACTTTGATTTGGATACAACTGCTTCTCAAAGCAACGGAAAAAGATTCAGTTTGTAGTCCGAGCAGCGGTTTTTCTTTATGGGTTAGCAAAGATTATTCATTTCCACCAAGACGCCGCCACATTTGCTTAAAATACTGTCTCATCATTCCGATATCCTGGATTCGGTCAATTCCTGTACTTCTTTCTTCCCGAGATAAAGACGAAGAAGCGCACGTTTTGGTGTGTTAAAAATTCTGTATGCGGCGTTAAAAAACAACCGCCAGTCCTAAAAGCTGCGCTCCGGTCTACTAATGCACGCAAAGTGCATTTTCCTAGTTAGGTACATACAAATGTCAGATAGCGTAAAGCTACTGATGGTTTATGGTGGTGGGTGACCTTTACTGAATAGCTAACTCAGACACGACGCTAACCCAATCGTTCTGCTAACGTTGACCTTTATGTAAACTGATTGAAGCTAACACTGCATTGTCACTGCAACACATCAAGGCTAAGAAGACATTCTAGAGAACACTTTCCAAGACCAGATATTCCAGAGCTGCTAGCCATACAAGATGACATTAACTCATTCACAAGTTCTTCTCCCTCAAGCACTCAACAGTGATTTCTGATGCAAAAATATGAAAGATGACAGAGTCAACGATTTATTGATTGTTTTCGGAAAGATCAAGTACACTTAACACAATACTAATTGGCTGATACTTTCTGGCCACTTCCTTCCATTGCAACGCACATCACAGTATGACTGTCCATACAGAATGTACTTCTACCAGTCGTACTCGTGACACAAATGAGAAATGATACAAATGGAATTCAAACATCGCCAAGAAGCCTGTCAGCGCTGCCCGCCCCCCAACTGCAGCGTCCCGTAAATTCTCCCGTAGGCTGCAAGTGGTCTCCTGCTGACGGTCTATTACTTCACCTGCGATTTCGAAAGCAGTGATCAGGGTGGCGCAGTACCGGCTGGCGAAGGGGTCGTCCTTGTTCAGCCAGTAAAACTGCAACTGCCCGGCCTGTCGGGCCTCAGACAACGACGCCACCTCCTCCACCGGGACACAACGGGAGCGCACGCCGAGGCTGCAGAGTGCAGACTGATTGGCCTTTTAAAGCATTATAACATGCAGGCTGTCGCTGTCCCCGACCATAACCCGCTTGCCCAACCCCAACACCTCCCAGACCTGCGACAGCCTGACGCCGCTGGTGCCCGTCTTCGGTGACTCTACCGCCTCCGCGGAGACGACTAGCAGCCTCCCATCTAAACCCACCCTGGGCAAGGCTAGCACTGCAATGAACAGGTTGTACACGGGCACACTGCGGGCTTTCGGTCTAGAGGAGGCGCCCAACCGGAAGCGGCCACAAGTCGTCGTCGACCATTTTGCTGTTAATTTGCTGAACCAAACTCTTCGTTGACATGGTTTACGCTTTACCGCAGCATACTCGTTTTCTAAGGTTGAACGTTCCTGTTACTGCTGTTTGATCTGTGTACAAAACACTCAACAACACGATGTCGCTATACGCTTCATCAACTTTTACGCCAACTCATCGACTTAAAAGGAACTAAGCGTAACAAATTGCTCGCTTCTAGGTAGCGCAGAAATTCAGAGCGGCAAAATGACGGGTTAAAGAAAACCGTAAAAAAGACCAAAATGTGGCATACTCAAGCAAAGAATGCAATAACCAACCGGCCGAGGTACTGACAAGTAATAGACTGAAAAAGTTGGACAACTAAACCGAATTGTGTGTTGCTCAGATGCTAACACACTCAGTCTAAAACTCTTCTTCTTCGGTTTCTGTTTCCGACGGAACATAGTCACTGTCCGTATCATCCTCAGGTTGGACCGATTCGTGATCAGAATCGTCGACATCCGCCATCTGAACGCCTCCACCGGCGACCGCAACCTGTGGCTGTTGATGTTGGTGTGGTGGTTGCTGGCGCACGTTGAGACCGTTTTTGTATCCGACCTCCAACAAGCCCAGCTCGTCGACACCGGCCAGTACTTTGGTCTGGCCGAATCCTACGATATTTTCCAGCATCTCATCATCAACCTGCAAGTTCCAGTACCTCGTTGGGAACGACTTGGGATTCGCATCCGACAGTTTTTTCAGCAGCTTTCTTTTTGGTCCTTGAACATCCGATGACACGATGCGGTAGACAGCCCTTTTATCAAAATCCAGTTGCCAAATGCTACACAGCGGACCGACACCGGATGATCCAAACAACGCAGTCCAGTCGTAATCATCCATCTGCTTCAGCATGTCGCTGTTAATAAAGCGTTGAAACAACTGCTCGCCAATGCTTCGGCGTCGGGATTCATAGAACAGCATGTTGGCCGCCGGTGATGCAGGGTTCTTAACCAGCACTCTCCCGGCCTTGGATTCGTGAATCCAGGCCGGGAGATGCTCCGCTTCCTGCTCAGCGCCATGGGGAGACACCAGTACGCAGACATCCCGAGTATCTGTCGTTGTAAATCACATGTTAGTCAGTATCTGCAGTTTAGTCTGAAAGTGATGCAATCAGCGGCGCAGCAGTCTGCTTACTGTAATCGTTCGGCCCATGATGATGTTGCGAGGAGGGCGCCAACAGCGGATGGACGCTTTTGTCGTCCTTCCGAACAAACTCTTCAAAATAATTCAAGTAAAAGGTGTTGGTGTATTGTTCACGGGTTTCAGTCCTGAGGTTCTTAACGAACGGCAGAGAGTTCTGCGGAACCCGCAGTGGAATCTGCAAGAAACATTCTCTGTCACAAACCGTTCAGATGACCTGTTGCGTGTCAGGGTAATATCTCTGATCTCATGTTACCATTTCTCAGGATCGAAGGTCTGGAGCTGCTAAGATCAGACAGCTGAACAATGAACAATCAGTGGGGGAATTTAGCAAACTTTTTGCGCACAAACTAGATTAGTGAATCAACTGGTTGTTACGAGTGTCGACTGGGAAAGCATTGCATGATTTGCATCATCGTTGTCGATTACATCATTACAACAGCCAGTCGCATGAGCAACTGCCGTTACGTGCGGTTATGCCACCGGTCACACATTCAGTTTCGTGCCCGCCCATGAGTAGCGCTCATCTATTCGTAGCACTTCGAGTTTTCATACCAATTCATGATTATTTTCATACTAATCAAAAAATGCTTACTAGTATCAGAAATTAATAAACTGAATACTGCATAATTACTGTTACTGGCTGTCAACTGGTATGAAATAGTGTGAAAAAATAGTTTGTAATAATATTCTCAAATCTCAAGCACTAGTATAGTTGAGGCTAGCCTGGGCAGGCAATTTGTCAGATGCTGCAGTATAAGTAATGAGGTTTTGTTTTCGTGCAGCGGACGCGCGAGATTCAGGAATGCGGCTTCGGCGCCAAGTTCGTGGACTTCAAGATCATCAACTGCCTGGCGGTGGTTTACCTGCCCCTTCGGCGTCCGCGTCGACCTCCTCAGAGACGCCTACCCTCACGAAGTCCCCGCTATGGCTTTTTATTGTAATTTTATTGTAATTTTTTATACAGCACCGGAAGTGGTTGATTTTGCGATTAATTTTTTATCAGTTAAATTGATTTTTGGCAGAAATTTGATTTGTAATTAATGGCGGCACTTCAAACTGCAGGTATGAGCCGGAGCTGCACGGCGGCCTCGTGGAAGCTGCCGGAAGTGGGCGGCCAGATGCAGGTCTTTCAGATGGGCAACACCACCATCACCGGTAAACGCCGTGATGCTCCGTCGTTGTTGCAACGCTGAATAAGCGTTTGTTTATGCATCATACAGCGCCGAACGCGATGAGTGCGCGCAAGACGCTGCGCCAGCATCTACGCCAAGCTGTACGAGTTCCGCAAACCCAAGGACAGCGTCGCACGCGGTTTAAATAATTTTTGTTCAAATGTAGCAAATCTGACCAACGTCTCAAAAAACAAGCAGGAAAAAACAACCCGAAACAGTCCGAAAAGCATGGAATTAAACGGACAAAAATCAAACTGCAGTGGCAAAACTATGCAAGAAATAATAAGTCAAAAAGAGAAAATGCAGTCTAGTCTGTAGGGAGATTTGTCAGTAGAAAGAATCGATAAAGGAAAACTTTGTCGACGTCGACAAAAACAAATGCACCGTCAACGGACAGGCAACTTTTCCAACGTAATTACTGCTGAAAAACCGCGCTGGGATTTATTGGCACGGTTGCGAAATCAGACGGCTCCAGCCCGCGATTCAGCGATCGACTGACGTTGAGGAAGCGGATCGGGATTCCAGTCCTTCTCGTGGTCGGCGCCAATGTGCCACAGGATGTAGTCGCGCTCGGAGTAACTCACCCGGCAGCCCTGCAACGCCGACGAGGAATGCAGTGTTGTTTCGATTAGCGCAACCAAGGCAGGTGAAGGATTACATTACCTGCAGCGGGCAGTTGTAGTTGAAGAGAAAGCGATCCGGCGAGTCTTCGCTGTCGACGCAGCTGCTCAGCGCCTCCCCGATGCACTGGCCCGCCACCTGGGATTCCAGACGAGCCCGCTCCTGCCACAGGGAAGGACTGAACGTTCCACCACGACAGACTGACCAATGAATAATGCGTCGGTAGTGCCCACCTGCTTAGCTTCCTCGGAGAACGCCAGATGCAACAGCTGCGGATGCACAGCCTTGATGTGGCGGTCTATCAGGTGGTAAGGCGCGAACACTTGCACCGGGCACTCCTGCAGAAGAACCAGGCTCAACCGGTTGCAGTGGCGATTAATTAACCACCCTACTGCCTACGGGTAGCCGTTGCAGGTCAATAAGAAAGGAACGACACGCGTACCGGGTCGGCACAGGCGTGGTAGACCTGGGTGGGCAGCGCGCAACGCCGCCGGTGCTGCGTCTTCAAGTGCGCCTTCATCAGCCAGGACGAATCCAACAGTCGGCCGCGGCCATCTCCACTTTCTCCAATGGCGGCGCACGCGTCGATCGGGCAGACGTACTTCACTTGCTCATCCTGCATAACAGTTTCTCAAGAGTAGCGGGCGTTAAGTTAACTAAACCCAACGTTGCCCTTACTGACCATCCCACGTGTGCGGATGATGATGTTGTCGGCAGTGATCTGGCTGAGGAGATGCTGGCTGTGGAGCTGTAGTCACTGTGGTGCGATGAGCGGCGAACGCGGCCGGGCAGAGGCAGCGAAATGTCGGTGGCGTCCTCCTGCGCGTCCCACGCATCGCCGTCGTCTTCTTCGAGGGCGCGCAGTGCCATTATTTCCACCGCGCTATACAGATTCACAGATCTCTTATTTGAAATAATTATTTCCAACACTGCAGTGTTGAATACTTGCTGTCACTACTGTGGCTCCTTAAAAACACTTCAGTTGCTATTTAACAGAACGCAGTAGACACCTCTAAAATTAATGAATTCGTTATTACATTGTCAATTTTGTGACATCGTCGGAAGTCGAACTGCGAACGGCACCGGTAAGCAAGTACTCCTACTGCGATCGCAGCTCTGCTGTCAGCCGCCAAAGGCTACAGCCACAACCAAAAGCCAGATCCTTCTGTTGGTTGCCAGTCGTGCTTTTAGCACGATACAAAATACTGATCATTTTTACAAAATTAAAATTTGAAAATTATTTTGTGTCGTTCACGCAGTGTGCGATGGTTGCCACTTGCCAGTTTTACCGTGAATTATTGAACAGTCTTAAACAGACTCCAAAGCACTTAAACCGCATCCTATCAGGATGTGCAGCATCTACAACCGTCCCGACGACATCTACGCGTGGAACGCGGTGGAGGTGCGCGACGAGCGCACGGGCCTGCTGCAGCACAGGCGCGTTATCAGCGCCGTCAGCAACGGCCTCATCGTCCACTTCGATTGCGACGGCCGCTGCGCCGAATTACTGCAGCATAGCGCCGCCTTCCGCTGTAATCGCAGCCTCTACGATACATTCTACGACGACGGACCCGGCGTAATTCACAGCCGTATTGTGGGCAGAAAATTTCTGCAGGCGCCGCAGCGACAGGTGGTGGAAGTGCTGTACCCGTTGACATCCTGTACCCGCGCCTCTTCTGGCAACGCTACGTTTTCGTGGCGGGCGGCCACCGGCGCACTGCCGGCGCCCCAATAGTCAGCCGGCAGCGGCTGGCCTTGCGTGACGAAGGAAACGGGCAGGATGGCGCGTATCTCCGCCTCAGCGGAGGGAGCCAAGTAGCGCCAGCGCACCGGATGCGCCCGCATCATCTGCCTGACGACGCGGCCCTCACCCAGCTGGATGGCCTGTGGGAGGCCTGGAAGGCGGCCGTCACCGCGTCCCGGCACAACGTGTGGCCCGTGTGTGTCGTGGGGGGAATGGTGGTGTAAATTTCTTCAAGAAAGGAGTGACCTTTCTTCTTCTCATTCTTTGGAGATATCGGTTGGTGGTTCGAGTTCGCAAATGTGCAAAGCGTATTTATTAAACCGCGTACGTGTTCGCATTCAATTCATCGTGTGTGAATTTCAAGGATATGGGTCCATAATCAGACTTTTTGGACTCGCGATTGCAATGACCACTTTCGCGTGTGTAATCTGTGTTTTCCGTTTCTTATGTTTGTTATGGTGCCTCGTTACCTGCATGCAGACTGCAGCTGTAAGTAATTAAACACTGCATATGGCACACGTTTGCGCCTAACGAATCAGGACAAGGAAAGGTCAGCGCAGCAATCCGACAGCCACACGTACTGGAGCCTTTGGCAGTTATGCGGCATTGCAAAACAATAACAGATATACGTAGCAAGTACAGTACTAGTATTCTCATCGTATACAGTAGTCGATCGTGTGAGTGTGTACGTGCTGAAGGTGCTCTAATGGTGCGACCGCAGCTGTCGTGTAAAAGCCGTAACCTATTATGACGATCGAATCTTGACCGATGTTAGCGTTGGCTGGTTAGGAGCGCGAGTTATTTAGTAAAGGTTTCTTAATCTGAAGAATAAGATTACACATGAGCATGGCAAAAACTTTGCGATCCGCATTGCACGTTAACTGTCGCACTGCTGGCCGTGACCTTTAAGACGGACCCCACCAGATCAGCTGCATTTCCACAAAATACTAAAGCAAGGTGTGACCTTTGGACTAGCCGCGTATAGATAGCTGTGCAGTGTTGCGAAGCATTGCCGGAAGCTACGTGCAGGTGGCTGGCTTCCTGCAATCCGCACGCCTCCGGACTGGTCGGCATCTGGCCTTTCAGACGGGCAACACCAGTTACCCCACCATCACCGGTACACGCCGTGACGGTGATGCTCCGGCGCTGTTTGGACGCTGATTACGCGACTAGGACGACCAGTGCATAATACAGCGCTCCACGCTATGAGCGCGCGCAAGACCCTGGCCAGCATCTACGCCAAACTCTATGACTTCCGGCCGCCAACCCAAGGACCGTGGAGCTGCCCTTCCGGCTTCCGGCAGGGGCCTCGCAAAGGCCGCCAACGCGGTCTTTCGCCGGTGACCGGACGCCACCCAGTTGGACGGCGACGGGAAATTGTAACGTTACACTCGCACGCTATGTAAACTTTTGTTCAAATGCATGTCAGATGGCGCTGGTTAAGCGCGCATCGACCATCGACGGCGGAACAAAAGCAAACCCTTACAATGAGTAAGGTTGGTCATATTGCTGTATTAATTTGTGAATTGTGAGTACACACATACTAGATTATGTCAGGAATTTCCCAGTTAACATTTGATCACAACAAATATTAATCGCATAATATCATTCTTTCTAGAACAGTCGTGGATGCTACGTCCGCAAAAGGCGCGTGTTACCAGCTGTTGTGCAGTCGGTTGACTGGACAAGAGAAACAGACTGGCTTTTGATGGAGATCCTGGAACGAACGCCATGGTCAATGGTCGGGGAAGGGGGAGGACTGGAAGGGGAACCGGTCGACGAAAGGTAGCACGAAGCGGCATTAGGCGGGGTTGGCACCACTGGCCGGAAGTGGAGCAGGCGCTGCCTTAGCGGCATGCCGCGCCATCATCTCGCGCCCCAGAGCGCATCAGGTCAGCCCCGTCAACTTGCGCAGACCAGTCAGACCCTGCACCATCTCCACGCTCCACGCCACCTCGCCGTACTTAAGGACGACGCGCGGATCCTGCTGCTGGCAGCAATGCAAGGTCTTCTCGATCCGCTGCCGCTCCTCGGAGGTCGGCGGCCTCCGCCAGCCAGTCGGTCAGCACCAGGCCGTTGTGCAGCGCGTTGACGACGCGGCCGTACTCCCAAGAGCCGTCGCTGGCCCGCACGTCCACGGCGTTCCACGCGTAGATATCGTCACGGCTGTAGATGCTGCGCATGCTGATAGACTGCGGGTGAAGCGCTTTGCAGTTTGTTTTCCGACTGTTCAATGACTACCGCAAAACTGGCAACCATAAGAATGATAAGATGATAAGAACCTCTATGAGAATAAGGGACTTGGAGATTCAAATTCGAAAAATTCAAGTGAAAAATAAAATTTAATTGACAACGTCACAACCAGTTGTAGTCTGGCCGACTCGTCAGTGTAGTGGCCGCCCGGGAGGGGTAGCACTGTCTGGCAGTCTGACAGTGTCGCCTAGCTTGTTAATAGTTGTTATTGTTGGCCACATTTTAAATTTTATTGTCGGCGTTACTGCATATTGCTGAAGTTTTCTGGGTTTATAATTTGAAGATAAACTCATTAAACTGTAATAACAAATGAAGGTTTCTTCAGAAGCCGCAGTAGTGACAACAAGTATCTCACTATTGCAGTGCAGTGTTAGAAAGAATTACGCAAGTACAGTATCTAAACGTCGGAATTTCCGAATCTCCGTAGCACTGGCACTGCGCGCCATCGAAGACGGCGGCGATCTCTTTCCTCGGGAGTCGCAGGAGGACGCTGTCGACGTCTCGACGTCGCTGCCAGACCGCAGTCGCCGTTCATCGGTCCACAGCGATTACAACTCCACAGCCAGCATCTCCTCCGAGGATACCTGCCGGAAAAGGGAGCGCCCGCAGCCTCCCAACACCAGCCAGCCGGACGAACTGGTAAATTGCACCTTCTTGGAGTTTGGCCGCTCCGGGTTTTCTCTCAGCAGCCACATCCACGAGCGCCATGCCCAGTACAAGAAGCGCCTGATGAACGCGCTGACGAAGCAGCGCAAGAAGACTGGCGAGGTGAGTTGCAGCTGACAAGTGAATGAGTGATAACGCGCTGCACAACATTGGCGTACAGTTATTATTACCGCAGTACAGCAACCGGATTTCATTAACGGAGATATCTGACCAGACTACTGGATAATGCTTTTGGTTCCTTTAGAACTTTTTCTACTTTTTTGGGTTGATTTTCTGAGAATGTTTTGTCCGTTTATTAAGTAATTAAAGGCCGCGAGATGTAATGTGTTCATCGTGCATGAGCTGCGTCAATTGTACTTGCAGAAGCACCGCGAGTTCATCCTAACGGCCAGGAGCAAGACGTTCCCGGAGTGGACCAGTGACGCCACTCGTCTGGGGCCCAGCCAGATCACTGCCGACCAGATCATCATCCGCACACGTGGGCTGGTCAGTGCAGCGTCAGGCTTAGTCAGTCGAATGCACGCCCAGCCATGCTGCAATGGGACATGGTTGTGCAGGGCGGTCAAGTGAAGCACGTCTGCCAGATGGACTCGTGTGCGGCCTTTGAAGAAGGGCAAGGCCGGCTGCTGGACTCGTCCTGGCTGATGAAGGCGCACTTGAAGACGCAGCACCGGCGGCGTTGCGCGCTGCCCACCAAGGTCTACAACGCCTGTGCCGACCCGGTACTTTACGTGTCTTCTTCATTTCTTATTGGCGTATAACGGCTACAAGCGTAAGTACGGTAGTTAATTAATCTCGAATGCAGCCAGTTAAGCCGGTCTTCTTCTGCACAAGTGCCTCGTGCAGGTGTTTGCGCCGTACCACCTGATGTACCGGCATATCCAGGCCGTGCATGATCCGCAGCTGTTGGGCGTGGTCTACTCAGAGGAAGCTCTGCAGGCGGGTCGTTGATGGGGCTGCGTGTCTGTCTGGTTCCGTCTGTCCGTTTGGCAGGAACGTCTGTCCGTCTGGAGGCCCAAGTGACGGGACAGTGCACCGCGGAGGCGCTGAGCAGCAGCGTCGACAGCCAAGACTCGCCGGATCGCTTTCTCTTCAACTACAACTGCCCGCGGCAGGTAATCCTTCACCTGTGCTCGTTGCGTTAATTGCAACAGCCCTGCATGCCTCGTCGGCGTTGCAGGACTGTCGGGTGAGTTACTCCGAGCGCGACTACCTCCTGTGGCACATTGGCGCCGAATGCCGATCACAAGAAGGACTGGAATGTTCGGCCGGTAAATGATCAGTAAGCGCACCCGTGGGGGACCGCACAGTGGCGCTAACTATCCTTGCCAACAGCGACTGAGTCTCCACCTGTCGATTCTCAAATTCTCGCTCGCACATTGATGGATTATCCAATTTTTTTTTTTACTTGTACGGGTAAACCTTTAATAAGTATCATGATACGAGTACAAACTATGTACCAAAACGAAACAGCATTTATAACAGAAATACTTCCTCTATGCTATCTTGATCGGGGATCGTACCCATTACACAACGATCGGGGATCGTTGTGTCCATTCTGAGGATTATCCATCCTCAGAATGGACTGCCTTTTCCTTTTGCTGATTATTTTGGTGTTCCTGTAGCCCGTTATGTGTCGTTGCTTGTCCATTTTTCGTCCAGCTGCTAGCTTCTCGGAGACGCTGCTCAGACTGGTCGAGAATTCGCTACAGATGTACTTAAAGTATAGCAAAACAAAACTGATAAAGTATAGCTTTGATAGGCAACGGCGACACAACGTGTCTTACGTCAAGGGTTTATACAATCAACAGAGTGCAATGTTGTACGGACGTAAGACGCATGTTCTGTGCAAAAACATTATGATGCTTCTCTATTCTGTTTACTTCCAATCTCGTAACTGCATTATTGAATAATTAACGACTTTCCAGATTTATTGCGAAACCTCGATTACTCGAGCAATCCCTTTTCGCTACAACTGATAAAGCGACAATCCTGGCTAAAATGTGCACAAAGGTCACATCTTGCTGTATATCATTACCTGCCCACTTCCAAAGCAGATGAATACAGTCGATATTGTGGCGACTGGCAGTGCCACATTATAACGCCAAATTCATTTTAAATATCAATCCATATACCAGCCGTTCAGTTCTGCAGTGCGCCACGTAACTGGAATAGATTCGGGTTGGTGTTTCGCATTACAGGCACTTGAAATCAGTGCTCTGGACGTGCTAGTGCAGTAATGAACTGCAGTACTGTCACCCATGCCAGTGTGTTCTAAGCGGAATGGTCACATGACTCACATCCACACGTAATCATCTTTTCCGGCCAATTAAGTCATTTTTTAAGTGGCAACATATTCAATGCTCACAACATATGACGCGGACGCATGCAACGGAAAACCCGTTGCGCGGGAAAACTAGAGCTGTGTGGACAAATCTGCTGACGACGTGTTCATTTAAAACCTGTACTTTTAATTGGCTCACACCGCGACATAACACTCATAAGTCGTACGACTACTGCCGACATTTAGCCCGTACCACCTGAGCGACTACTACTACTTCGTATAGTAAGTATATCGTAAGTAGCGGAACTATACTAAGTACAGTTGTGAGCGCTTCTGCAGGTGTTTTCTTGCAAATTCTTCCAAGCACGCTTTCCTGCCGGTCAGCCTCGTGGGCGATACGCTGGTCTCTTTTACAAGGCCTTCTGGCGGCGCCGCTACTCGACCAGCACTTGATAGGCCTTCGTTATTCTTCTGCAACAATTATATTCCAAATATTATTCATTTATTTCCAGTTTTTGTCAGTCTTTTTGTCTTCTGTTTCTTTCTTTGCTGTTGCGTTGAATGTTTCTTATAATATTTCTCATTCCACTGGTTCAGATGGTTCTGCAGGTTTTATTTCTTTTGCTCTTAATTACTAGAAGTACTATACGTTCTCGTTATTTTCTAAGGCTATTTCTTTCCATTTTCATACATGTATATTTTTTAATTATTTTGCATTTATTGCTTATTAGTTAGTTAGTTGATTAATGACCACAGTAATATATTTGAACGATTAATTAATTATTCGTCCGCAGGAAGGGCTGTTGGTGCAGGCCAAAATGAAGCTACAGCAGTCGCCGGCGGGCGACGTCATGCTGGCGTCGGTGGTGCCCGCGGTTATGGAGACGGACGATGAGGAAGCACGGCTGCTGGTCCTCCCGGCGGAAGTGCAGCGGGAGGTGCTGGACATGATGGACACCCTGGAGCGCCTCAAGTGTCGCCGGGTGTGTTCGTTGTGGGACGCGCTGATCGGGAGGGAATGGCCGGTCATCTGGGTATCGTTCGCCCACTCCGAGCATGATCATGCAGCACTTCCACTGGGAGCTGTACGACTTCCTGATGGAGGATGTGCAGTTGCCCGGGGCGGCGGCAGCGGCGGAGCACTGCCAATGGGACGGCGGCGACGTCCTGAACGCGGATCAGCTGCCGGCCGCCGCGGCGGCGGTGCAGCGCGCGGTGTGGGTGGAGGGGACGTTCAGCGGGCCGGTGGAGCACTTCCGCCGGGAGCCGGTCCCGTACGCGGTCAGTTGTCGCAGCGCGGAGCCGGTGGATGTGTACGGGGACGGCGAAGCCAACTACTGGCACCTGCAGCTGCCGGCGGCGGAGACCCCAGGAGGAGGATCCCCGGGTGCTGGTCCCGTACGGCAACGTGCCCTGGCAAGTGGAGGATGTGCAGGGGACGGCTGGTCTGGGTAGGCTGACGCGGCTGACCCGCTGCGAGTGCGCGCTGCAGCGCGAAAGGACGGCCACACTGGCCAGCCGTGCCGCTCAGTCTCCACACTCTCCACCTTCCCAAGCTCCACTTCCGGCCAGCCCCAACTAGGCGGCTAGCACGTACTCACCTCCCGATGGGCCGTAATTCCAGCTCTGATTATTCGCCCTGGCCCCTGGGGGCCTGGCCGTTGCTCGATGGAGTCCCACCGCGGCGCCCGTTTCTTATCTTGTTCAACAATAAATTTGTTTCTTTTTGGCTAACAGTCAACAGGTTCGGCGTTGGATAGTCTTACGCCGGTGTTGTTGGACGATTATTTCCTTTATATTTTGATAATTAATAACGTTACCAGAGAAATAGGTGAAATTCAGCGGCTGCACTTATTCTGTTTGTTTATTTCTCTGCATTTCCTGTACAAGTCAATTGTGTTGTGATTACCAATGCGCCGGAAATTACAGCTGGGTGGAAAAATCCGTTAATAAATTTCTCTTTGTTACTCTGGCTAAGCAAAGATACTGCGCAGGTGAAGAGGGAATACTACGAGTACAAAGTGAAAAACAATAACAATTATCGTTCACTGGCGGTTATTGAGACAACCTGCCTCGCACTGAACGCCACCAGATTACTAGTGCAGTATGCGATGCAACAGCCAACTAACGGTTAAAGTAACGAGTCCCGTCAGCGACGCGCAACGCGGACAATCATCAATAAGAACGCAGCGGATGGAGCAGTAAATCAGCGCTTCGTCATGCGCGCGATGCGGACGGCCATCTCGCCGCACTGGCGCAGGGCCCCGGCGGCGTCGGCCATGTGGCTGTTCAGCGGCGCCTCCATGCCTGTACAAACAGCACCGGCTTGTCACTGCACAGCCAACGAAACATGCGCGTGTTCTTACGGGGCAGGCGGACGCTGGCGGCCTCCTGCAGCGCCTGCGCGGCGCCCAGCTCCAGGTCCAGCTCGGCCAGCAGGACGTCGAGGGCGGCGTTGTGGGCCTGCAGGTGGGCGGCCTCCTCCTGCTGCGCGCGCAGCGTCTCCAGCTGCTCCTGCACCTGCTCCAGCAGCGCCTGGTCCAGCGCCGCGCGACTGGCCGTCTCCGTCTCGTCCTCCAACGGATTAATCTCCAGCAGACTGCACAGCTTCTCCTGCAATGCCCCCGCCGAAATCACTATTAATCGTACCCAGTCCAGTGCGACTAACGTAAAAACCGCGGATTAAATACATTTATAATTTAAAAAAAAACACAACACCACCTTTCTTCCATTTTTAATTATCAATATTATGCTACAAATATAAAATAAGTACAAAATTGCATGGAATATTTCAACTGCCGCCCTTACCCGGAAGGTGAGGATGCACTGCTCGGCGTTCTTGAGGTACATGTCGTGGAGGGAGCCGGTCATCTGCAGCAGTTGCTCCCGCGGCACCAGCAACGCTTTCCGCTTCCACATGCCGCGCAGCAGCCGCGACACCGCCTCCACCACCTCCCCGTACACCAGCTTCTCCACTGCGAATACACAACAGCAATATTCTGATATTACGTTCCCCCGCTTATGTAGAAAATTTGCCCCAAAATCATCAAACATTAAAAACAATCAAATTATAATTTAAGCAATTAATTCAAATTTTTATCTAAAATTCAGGCAGAATGAATTATTTACTAATTGCTAAATAAAGTAAAATAAAATTTTCCATTGTCGCCCTTAAAAAATTATGTCTAGAAATAATTAATTAATCATCAAATTTTAGCTTTGTTTCGGCTGCGGCATACTAAATCCATAAACTAATAAACTCATACGCAAGACTTTGTACTTCAATAATTTAAATTTGCAAAATGTCCCTTTGAAAATAAAAAAATCGTTTCGAGTAATCACGATTTGTTTATGAATTTTATAAATTAAATAGAAAAAATTACACTTAAATAAGCTACTACGCAGTAAGTACAGTAATAACGGAAAATAATCTACGTAAAATTTAAGGTTACAGTAATTTAAATGACTATTACTAAAGCTGCACATTGCCTGCAGATGCTGCAGCAGAAACAGTGCAAGCGCCACCTAACTGCTCCGGCATTTGTCCTCGAAGAGAAATCCCTCCAGCAGGCCGACGCACTGCGTCCGCTGCTGCTGGCTGGCCGTGGCCGGGCGGAAGGGCAGCGCGGGGAAGGCCAGCCGGCAGCGCAGCTCCTCGTACTGCTTCTGCTCCACGGCGCTCTTCTTGGCGGTCGTCCTGCCAGTGCCAGGCATGGGCAGGGAGCTGCGGCCTTCCAAGGCCAGACTGGCGTCCGTGGTGCACGAGCGATCCACCAGGCTGACGCTCTGACTGCTGTCCTGCGCCTGCACCAGCGTGTTCTCCACCAGGCTCTCCTGCTGCTGCTCCGAGTTCGCAATCCCAGACGACGCAACAGCGTCCTGGCTGCTGCCTCCCTGCATCGCCATCATCTTCACTCCACAAACATCAATGTCTTTCAGTGCAGCACGATAATTGCCACTTCCTGACAAAAATAAAGATCTCGCAACTTTATCCCTGTCCGACAAGTGGTTTTGCTGAAAAAATATTCCCAGGAAATTTAAAAATAAAAATTAAAATTACTCAAGTTTACGATTTTAAGTTTTTAACTTCTGCCAGCGCACTACGCCGTCTCCAACTGATACGAACCCAACAAAGAAATTAAGTAATGCTGCTTTGACAGGGACATGGCCGCTTGCGCATCGAATGCATCGCGTAAAAAATACCTTGCAAAAGTGTCTATTTCACAATTTTCATCGATCATCCCTTAAGATTTACCCATCAATCACAAATAATAAATAATGCGATGATTTATTCTGAATTTTGGAAATGAAAAATTGCATTTTAAGATTTATAGAGCAGCCGTTGAAAAAATTGAATCTTGCATTTTACTGTTAGGTTACAGTTACAAAGCGGATAGCCTCCACTTCCCTGTAGCCAGCGAAAATGACTCACGCCTCATAATAATACAAAACGCAGCAATCGCAGCCGCCTGGAGGCGGAGCATACACATGTGAACGAACTGTACGGTCTTGTCAACGGACCCGCCACGTTTCGTTCCCAAGCGTCGCAGTGCAAGCAAATGACAATATGAATTAATTTGATCTTTCCGGTTTGTTATCATTTACGGTGACTTTTCACTTTTTATGGCCAAAAGGTGCAGGAAAGACTAATAGCGAGGACAATTCGAGTGGTAATTAGCCAATGAAAAGGCTGTTGATGAGAAAGTCAGCTGCTGCGGTTCCCTGTATGAACTTCCCCAGCACCGTGTCGATGACTGGCTGCGATGCGCCATAAAAGCACGCTGGCATCAGTCTCTCGCTTCACGTGAAGCGAGAGACTGGCTGGCTGCTGCAACGCGAGACTGCGCGACTTTTCCTGTTTCTCCTCTTTCCTCTCCTACATCCCCGTGTCGTCTTTCGATTTCCATGTTTTTTTAATTATTGACTGTTGCGCATCCCTTAGCAACTGCTGGACAGCGTGGTCCGTGCGTGGGTGAGGGAAAATGGCCGCGGTGATCTCTGGTGGCACGGTCGTTAACCCGAGCTTCGACAGCAGCAACGCGACTGCTGTCGTCGTCAACAGCGCCGTCCGTCACGAGCAGACAGCCCCGCTCAGAGCCAACGAGGAGCTGCGCTTCGAGCTGGTCAACGTCGTCTGCATGTTCAAGACGCACTGCCATCTGGATCTGAAGAAGTTGGCGCGGGAGGGCGCCAATGTCGAGTTCCGTCGTGATCCTCCGGTGAGAAATCAGGAGGGAAATGAATTATTCGTGACGATGATCGCATCGGGGGTGTAGCGTCACGAGGGTACTGCGGGGTGGCGCCTGCAGTGCTTGGCGTGTTATTTGTCCCTAGATTATAACCTCGCCTCGCCATTCAACAGACTTTGAGATTTCCTTGTGATTGTTGTGATTTTCGGGTTGTTTGATGCGTTTTCGTTTGGGAATTGCAGAGTGTGTTGATGAAAATCCGCAATCCGCGAGTGACGGCCAGTATTTGGAGTGCTGGCAAGGTGACTTGTATCGGTGCGAAGAGGTAAGATTGGCTTTTGAGTTTTAGCAGTGAATAAGGATAATCAGATAATGCAATAATTTGAAATTCCTGTTCTTGTTTGCTGTTTTCTTGAATTTTAATTTTTGAATAATTTAATGTTAAAATTTTGAGGGGTTTTTTTGCAGTTTTTTATGAAGTTCCCATTTACTGGTAGGATGTATACAGCTTACGTCAATAAAATAATGTAGCCTGACTTTTTATCACTTTTATTACTGGTATATGTATGTGTGCATTAACAAGCCTAGCTGCAGTGTCACTTTCTAACGGTATATTCCTTGAGATTCGTTATCGTGCTTCCCTTTCGCCTTTCATTGCTTAAAGTGGAAGTATCTGGAACGACTAAAGCGACATTTTTCCCCAACTGAGTGGCGACTGCAGGTGCAGACGCGACTAGTTGCACGTCAATTTGCTGATTAGAATTTCTCGAATCACTGACTTCCGGTGGCGACAAAAATGCAGTTAGTGCATTTTATACTAGTTCGCAGTATTACTAAAATGCAGCACACGTTGCAGAATTTTTTCACGGGTAGTACAATGAATTGATGGCTGGGAAAAGGATGGTTGGTTGAATTTGTGTGGGAATTTCGGAAAAAGGCTGGTGTTGGCGACTTAGTGTTGTTAGCATAGACATTAGACACTAGGCAGTGAGACACTCGCTACTTAACTGTTGGCGTTGCGGTGAGCGAAAGTGGTGTGTGCGTTGCGGAAAGGTGAATGCACTTGGCTGCGGTGGAATTAAGCGAGAGTGTGTGAGCATTATTCGTACTTCGTCGGCCATTAGCTACGACTACGAGCATGGAGATTGATTGTGTGTGATTCTGTAGTGGTGTGCGTGAGTCGTCTGACGAGGTTGGTTAACTTGATTTCTTCTCACTGGACACTGAATGACTGAATCAAAAGAAGTGTCTTTCTGTGGCGCAGTTCAGAATGTGCTTAGTGTTTAACGTTCTGGCCGTTTGGCGGAAACGTACAGAATACAGATACGTTCATGCATTCGGCGGTGTCGTTCGCCTTGAAAGAGCTGCAAGCGGACGAGCGCTGCCGGCTGTAGAATACTGTAGAAACTAGAATGCAGTTGGCGTCGTTTTGTTTGCTTCGGACGTTGCTTGCGCCAACACCGTGTCTTGGCATTTTCGGCAGGGATTTCGATCGGATATTCCGTTCAGTAAATATTCTCATCTCCTTTTCTGACTTAGGTTACAAATTAAAAATTTTTTGTAGGGAACAGGTACTCATAAAAAACTTCAGATAAATAACTAATAAATTTTTAGTAATTTTTTTTAATTATTTTAATAGGAAGAATAGGAAAAATTATAATATTATAAAATTATGGGAGTGGGCATTTGTCAGCAGTCGTATTATTGATCGTTCCGGCTGTTGTAGCGAGGCCGACGCGCATTTGGGAGCGCGGCGCGTGGCGCGCAAGATTCAGAAGTGCGGCTTTGGCGCCAAGTTCGTGGACTTCAAGATCATCAACTGCCTGGCGGTGGCCTATTTACCCTTCGGCGTCCGCATCGACCTCCTCAAGGACGCCTACCCGCACGAAGTCCAGTGAGTCAACCTCCGTCTTGGCTTTTTATTGCTGAATTTTATTTTATTTTTTTATAAAACACCGGAAGTGAGTATTTATTTTATGTATTAAATTGTGGCTGGATTTTAATTGATTTGTAATTAACAGCGGCGTTTTTGTACTGCAGGTATGAGCCGGAACTGCACCCGGCGGCCTCGTGGAAGCTGCCGGAAGTGGGCGGCCAGATCCAGGTCTTTCAGACGGGCAACACCACCATCACCGGTAAAGGCCGTGATGCGCTGTCGTTCTATTGTCGTTAAACCATCATCTGTTAATGTGTCATGCAGCGCCGAACGCGATGAGTGCGCGCAAGACGCTGGCGAGCATCTACGCCAAGCTGTACGAGTTCCGCAAGCCCAAGGACAGCGTCGAGCTGTCGCGGACGCCCTCGGGACCGCGGAAGGGGCGCAAACGCGGTCTTTCAGGCGGCGAGGCGGACGCGGAGGTGGACGAGTTCCAGGCGGAGCTGAAGGCCTTCAAGCTGGACGGCGACGAGGAGGAGGAGGACGAGGACGACGACGAGTGACTGACTGACTGTTCAACAGCAGTCGCCTCCAGGTTCCTGCTTGCTCAACCCGGCGCACCGCCCTCCTCTCATCCCGACCTGCACCGCGGCGCCCGGCACTCCTCGTCCTTGGCCGCCCTCCATCCGAATCCCGATCGCCCGAACGAATCGCCTCCCGGGGCGGCCAGTTGTGATGCTCTCCCGACGCTGACGGGGAATTGCGCCTGATACACTAACTGATTTGATAACGAGCCTCTGGTTCCATTTTGTTTATATTGTAATCTATCTACCGTCGCTCCTATTTATTGCCGCATTTTATCTAACCTGTCAACAGATCTGTCGTCGCGCCGGTCCAATGATAATCCGGCGCCCCGATGTAATCGTCCTTTGGTTTCCTCAGAATTAATGCTAACTGTACAGATGGCCTAATCGTGTATGTTTTCATCGTGCGAGTGAAGAGTGCGGTTTACTGTGGTATTAGATTGCCAACAGGTAATTATACCGCTGCCCGGCTGTTGTCGTTCGGCAATTCTGCAGAATCCCGCGCGGGATCCTTTCTTACTAATGTTGCATGCCTTTTGTTGTCCTTGCACAAGTTTTTAACCGAATAACCAGCACAGTCACGGTGTCAGTTGTCGTTGGAATCGGATTTGTACAGGTATTTTTGGTTTCGCAATAAACGCAGAATTAAACGCCAGCTGGCTGTTATATATCTGTAGAAGGAGAAGTACTTACTCGTATTTTAGATTTTTCTAAGCGCTCGACAAAACGAGTTATTCACACGATATTTATTTTTAAACAGATTTTTGTGCAAGTGTAGCACAAACTTCATTCGCGTGAGCAGCGTCGCAAGATACCAGCTGTCGGGCAAAAATGGATTCGCAATCTCATTAATTATAAAATTTCTTAAAGATTAGCTAATTAATTGCAAGAGAAATCTTCGACACGTCACACGGCAGTCACGGCGCGCACCTAGGACGTACCGCCACGAGGCGGCAGAAACTCTGTGTGACTGCAGCCTTCGGCGGTTGGCAGCGCGCGCGGTAAAGCGTTGCGGAGCAGAAAGGAAACATTATTTTTTGCTCACTCATCATTCATGACTCACAATTTTCAGGCACAGTAACAAGTCAAAGTGGTTCGCATTTATTAGTTTGTATTTCGCTGCATAAATGGTGGCATGGCATGTGTGTAGAACGTGGCGGAAGTGCACTACCTGTGCGGCATCGCGCCCTGTGTGCAGCACGCGAGTAAAGGTCAAACCCAGCTGCACGATCATTTGCTGGCGGAGCATCTGGCCTTGGTGAGCATCACGACGAAGACCTACCACCGCTGCCCGGCCGCTGCACAGGTGCGCGACACATCCGCTGCCTGCTGCTGCCCGCTTTACCCCTTTTTGATGTTCCGCAGGGATGTGCCGTTGTGACGCGCGCCGCTGACCGCCAGATGGAGGCGCACATCCGGGCCGTGCATCCGCAGCTGCTGGGCCTGGCCAGCGACTACTCGGAGGCAGCCAAAGAGGTGTGATGGAAAGAGTAGTTGAATATTTATTTAACATGTAATACAGTCTACTTTGATTTGTATTTTGTAACGGGTGACAGGAGCGAGCGCGGCTGGAGCGTCTGGCGGTGGAGACGGCCGAGTGCGTCGGCGAGGCGCTGAGCCGCAGCGTCGACACGGAGGACGCCGCGCCAGCAGTCCCTTGCTCTGCGACTACCACTGCCCCGTCGCGGAGAGTGCAGGTTGGGAGTCGTGCAGTCCCTTCCTCTCCTCACTCCCTGAATCTATGACAATGCGGTTGAATTATCATTTTTCTCCGCAGGGCTGCCAGGCGGACTATCCCCAGCGCGACTACATGCTGTGGCACACCACCGCGACGACTGGAATCGCCCGGCGAGTGTTGAGTGCTTTCTGGTCGCTGACAGGCAACTGTAGCTGATTAACTGCCGGGACAATTTTGCAGGAGTAATGCAGCGACATCTGCCGCCAGTTGTCCGTCAGTCCGAGTCTCCTCCTGCCCATTCTCAGTTTCTCGCTCACAGACTGACACTATTTTTCTACAAGTTGCCTTTTCCGTTGGCTGAATGTTTTGTATGTTTTTGCTCCCACTGAGAGCAATATTCTGTTATTTGGTTATTGTCCGGTTAACGTTGCGCATCTATCAAGTTGGACTGTTCGTTCTTGTGGCGCTTTTCCAAGTTGCGACGGTAGACAGACAACGGAATTAAAATACGTACGATATCACTTTGGTAGTGTACAAGTGTACAGTACACATAAAACTCGTAGCACTTGGCGGAACTACATGTACTGAGATATACTGAGATGTACTCGTAATATTGGCCAAGGTCTGGCGCACGCTCAACGCGATCGGCGCTGCGAGCGGGCGAGGTACTCACACCATAGAGGATGATTCAGTCTTGCCCCAACGATAGATCGTCCGCATATTTACCGATGATGGGGGTGTTACCCGTCTGGAAGACCTGGATCTGAGTCATCTGACTGCCCACTTCCGGTAGAGGCGGGGCACTGCCGGGCGTGAGCGCAGCAGTGAATAGGAAGTGAGTTCACAGTGACAAGCTGGACGAACGGGATGATGGGTGCATCATCCCGAGAAGTCAACCAAAGCAACATCGTTGACAAGCATTTACTCAACAGGTGCACAAGCAGGACAAGCGGAGCCAGCATCCATTCAAGCCATTCTCTAATGCAACGTGCGTTCCATTCTGTTAGACATTCAACCGACAAAAGTGTAGAGAAAAGAAGGATGAATCACACCGTTACGCGGTGAGAACAACAACCAGTGAACAGTACAGAATACCAACAACACTGTGAACAAGGCGGTCATTCGACTACTCTCGTTACAATATTAGCTTCGTGGAAAAGGTCACGGTAGCACTCCATCGTCGTGAGATGTGCAGTTAAGCAAACGCCTAATCCGGTTCCAGTGGTTAACGTAGTAACGTAAGCCATCGAGTAAAAGTGCTGAATTTACCGAATTAATTTTATCGGTCTCCACGAAAGGGAAAACACGTTTGTTTTTCTAAAAGGTTAAGACGCCATTTTAAGAAACTTCCCCCGTCCACGCGACAGACCGCTGCAAAACGAATCCTCCCGGCTCCCGGCAATTAGACGCTGCGTCCCACCGACGAGAAACTAACCAACGATCAGTGATTGACTGCCTGTTGCGACGGGATTATTCCATTTATCCCGGTGATCGGCGCCGATGTGCCAGACAATGTAGTCGCGCTGGTGGTGCTCCACCCGGCATCCCTGCAAGGCAAGGACGGCGGGCATTAGATTTATCAGGCCAGAGAACGGAAATAAGGGTGTCGGTGAGCAGACACCTACCAGGACGGGACAGTGGTAGTCGAAGATGAAGGGCTCGTTCTCGGCGGCGTCCTCCGTGTCGACGGCGCGGCTGAGCGACTCACCGACGCACTCGGCCGTCTCCACGGCCAGACGCTCCAGCCGCGCTCGCTCCTGGTATCCGTTAAAACTTAGATTGCATTACATGTTCGATAAACATTCAACCACTTTTTCCAGCACACCTGTTTGGCCGTCTCCAAGTAGTCAGTGGTCAGACCCAGCAGCTGCGGATGCACCGCCTTGACGTGCACCTCCACCTGGTGGTCAGGGGCCCAGGTCACCACGCTGCAGTCCTGTAGAAGAGAAAAAGCAGTGAATTTGTTGGGAGGTGGAGCCGTTGGCCGTGTCCTGTCCGGTACCCGTGCATCCGCCGGGCACCCGTGGAACAATTTGGTCGGCATGCGGAAGAGTCGCCGGTGCGCCGCCAGCAGATGTAGATGCAGATCCATCGGGCCCGCGCTCTCGTGCCCCGCGCACGGAGGGACGCCGCATACGTAGTACACGGCACTGCCCTGCGCAACACACACAACGGGTTTCACGCGCACGTATACAAATCCTTTGGCTACAAAATATCATAAAGCAATATATTCATAACGGTGCTGCTTACTTTGATGACGGCGGGGAAGACGATTTTGTCGGGGATGACTTGGCGGGGCCAGAGGCGCGTCACGTCGCCGGTCCACTGCGGGAAGATGCGGTTCTTTTTATCCCGGATGAACTCCCGATGTCTCTGTAATAAACACCCTGCCACGCTACCACATTTTCGAAACAACTAGCCGAATAAAGCAACCGCAGAGTACGGCCGAGTTTTTGCACATTATATCAAAAATTCCCAACTGCTTACCTGGCCGGTAATCATCTTCCAGCGATGGCACAGCGCCTCGCTCATCGCGGCATAATACGCGGGATGTTGGTCGCGGATGTGGTTGCTGAATACAGTTCCGAAGGGGTCGAATTCAACGAGATCACACGGGGCGCCCTGGTTGAACTCGGCCGGGCAGGGACAGTGGAAATTCAGTTGCACGCTGTGCAGATTGCGACGCCCGCCCTCGAGGTGCGCCTTCAGATCCTGCGGGTAGCCCGCGCGGAACTTCTTGCAGGCTTCCACGGCGTTCTCCGCGAAACGCAGCGGACACCACAGCGGTTCGATAATCGTCTGAAGTCGGCAATCATGCGGTTTAGTTGGCGTATAGAACAATAAAGTACCGTAAGAAGCACTCACCACGGTGGTCGCTCGCATCAGCACATGCGTGGCGCGCTCGGAGACGCGGATGAGGACCAGGTTGTCTTTGCTCAACTCCGAGATGCGCACTTCGCGATCCGGCCGTCCCGTTGCTGCACAAAATGCCTGCAAACGGCAACCATCTCATGAGGCATTTAAGGCAGCCATCAGAGTCTCGTTACCCTGCCACTTTCCCACCTGCGCAGAGTCCGCTGCCTCCACGAGCTCCTCGTGTCCCGTCCGTATCATGATGATTAGTCACAGGTTCAACGCAGGTCAAAAAAACGCGATTCGGCCTGGCAAATGTCAAACGGCCAAACGATTATCCAGCCGATGTGTGGGAGCTATGAAAAGCTCACTTCGTATAAACCACAAGCCGTTGCAAATGTGAAATTTGCAAAGCAGAGAAACGGGAGAAAGATGGAAAAATGAAGTACTACGTCGTAAGTTCGTAACTAGGATCTTGATGACAACGACAACGTCACAAGAAAACACGAATCACAGAGAGCAGATTTGACTTTTGGTTGTGGCTGCAGCCTCTGGCGGCTGGCAGCAGAGCGGAGTGCATCGAGCGCAGCCACCCCTGCGAGCACGATTTATTACACACTACGTACCGCGCTTCACAGTGCGCACAAAGTTTATTTTTGAAACTGTAAGAACTTTTTAATCAAAAGTTTTTTTTCCAAGCCACTGTACTACAACACACACATCACAATAAAACCGAGCAAACGACTGGCACGAAGAAAACTACAAATCCAACTCAGTCCCCGCGGGACAGGCGCCACTTGCTGTAATTAATCGTACACGTTCCGCGGCGCATATACAGTACTGCTTCCACGAATCACTCCCGCTCTCCCGCCCCCCGCCGGTGTCCCGCAACCTCCGCTCCGGACGTGACGATCCCGCAGTCCGATCCGCCGGCGCCCAGCCGCACGTGCATCCGTATTCTGCGTGAAAATGCTGGCGACAGTCCCTAGTCGACCTCGCGGTTCCAGGCGATGGCCTCCTCCAGGGCCCGGCATTTCAGGACGCAGAGGATGGGGGCGAAGGTCTCCTTGAGGAAGACGGGCGGATTAAGCGGGAGGTCGGTGATGAGGGTCGGTTCGCCCATGCACAAGTTGTCACCGGAAGCCTGGTTGATGGGTTCTCCGCCCACGAGGACGCGGCCGCCGGCGATGGTTTGTCGGCTGGTGTAAAGCGACGCCGGCCGCTGTGGGCGTCGGGCCGTTCAGGGTTTTCGGGTCCAGCGGATCGCCTTTGATTAAATAACAAGTAGTTCAGTATCAAATTCAAAAATTCAATCTACGTTTCTCTTTAGTTTTGAATTCACCGGCTGAATTAAATTCATCAAGTTAGCAGCTTATTTCTTTACGTAAGTAACTATTCTTTTAATCTGTTATAAATTCTGCGAATCGAAATTAACTTCACATTAGTTTACTTATTGAATATTCAACTTAGCTTCTAAATTATCTTCTAATTTAGCAGTCAATTTCTTACATTAGTTTAAATTCTGAAGTATTAATGGGAGAAATTCAATATTAATTTCTGCGTTTAAGTCGTTTGATCATATAATTAGCAGAGGCAGAACAATAAAATTATAAAGAAACACTGCACTCCTACTGCTGAATTTGTTATTTATCTAAGCCGCAGCTTCCTGCGGCAGTGCGTGCAGACGGTGCGCTTGACGGCTGGGCCAAAGCCGCCGTCTCCAGCTGCATGCCATGCAGGCCCTCTTCGCGCGATCGACAATCCCGACGACGACACCTCGATCCCCCTTCTTCAGCGACGTCCTCAGCCACCTCCACCACTTGCCCAGCAGCGCCGACCGGCGGTTGACGCTACTCGTTCGGGTCACGGCGGAGCATGCACGCGGAGAGCGGCGATAAATGACATCTCGTCGACTGGCGCCGTCTAGCGCCCGGCTCCGTTGTGAGCCGGTGACCAGCACAATGTACATTGTGACGTACTACTGCATGTGTGTTACCCGTGTGCATGTGGTGACGATTGCAACAGAAATTAATGGTGTTCCTATATACTGCTTACTGGTAACAGGTACTCACCCGCCGCCCGGGCTGGGTGGCACCAGTGCACGCAGTGTCAGCTATACGGCCCGCACGATGCAGTGAAAGGTCAAGCACCTTCGCGCGTCATTCCGAAAAGACGAGGACGCTGAGAAGGAATTTAATCGGCATCGCAGAATGCACTGACAGCGAATTCTTGGACTGCTGCCCGCCCATCACGATGTCCACCAGCGCCATGAAACAGAGGAGCTAGCGGCCGAATCAGACATTTCCCGGCAGGATACCATCGACCGATCTCTAGATCTGCCGGTGCGCCCAACAACTCCTCCACGTATTGTACGTACGTCGCCGTAGCAGCGGCCACCCATTGCCGTAGTCAACCAGCGCCGAATGCCGGCTCGGACCCCGGAAATCCATCATGCTGTCCCACGCGGCGGAGTGCTGTCGTTTTTAATTTAATTGCGCACTTCTCGCGCAATCCGACGCCGTAGCCGCTGTTATATAGACGTGCCTGCCAATCGCCAAGGTGGGTATATACCCATTATGCAATCGCTACATGCACCGCGGTCCCCGTATTTGGCCGTATATATATGCGTCCGCGCCGATCCTTCAGCCTTCTCGAACGCACATTCATAGCATTCTTGTTACATGTATTAAAATTAATATTGGTAGAGCACGTTTAATCTGACGGACACGAAAAATATGGCATGTACAGTAAGAACAACACGTAAAAATAAGATACCAGCCTGGTATTACTGTAGCCGCCCGCACAAGTTGCCCCACAGAGTGAGGTATACGGATATTTGGCCTCACATTGCTCGCTGTTCAGCGCAGTGTGTGCAGGGAGAAGGCAGCGGCCGGATCTGCCAATGGAGCAACTTGTGCGGGCGGCTACAGTACCAGGCTGATTCAACTTCCGCTTCCAATGGAAATGTTAGGGCTGAGTGTGTTGTGTTGGTATTGGAACTGGAATCGGGTTTCAGTTTTAGTTTTTTAACTTGAAATTTTGATTTTTGATTGCAATTTTTGCGCCAGCTGCTACAGTAGTGACTAGTCATCTAAAATTATACACTATACAGTTTCAGGTTTCTGGAGAATTTTCTTTTTTGAAATTGAAGTTTGATTGCAGATTTGCTGTGCATAGCGTCGTTATTCAATATTCATTATTGACGACTGACGAGCAATAAATGGAGGTGTGATGTGTGTGTGACGGTATGATCTGTGGTGTGCCACTCTGCGCCAGGAACGGGCTGCGAGATTTTTTTATCATTCTGCATTGGGTTCTTTCGTGATTTTGCTTTCATCAGCTGCTCTGATTAATCCGCCATTCCTGGGAAATGGAGAGCGCCAATGTTGTGGACCACCAGCACGGGCAGAAACTGGCGGTGGCCAGTGATCCGTCGCTGGCCGAGGTCTCCGAGGAGAACCGATTGAAGGCCGAACAGCTGAAGGACGAGGGCAACGAGCTCTTCAAGCAGGGCCACTACGAGCAGGCCGTGGAGTTGTACTCGGTAAAGCCTCTCTTTTCCCCTTGATACAGCATCCGCAGATGTTCGTTTCTTGGCCCTCGTAGCAAGCCATCGACTGGAATCCCTCCGTGGCGGCCTACTACGCCAACCGCAGTTTCGCTTATCTGCGAGTAAGTGATAAGTCACAGTGAAGAACAGCATTCCACTCAGTCTCTGCATTTTTGCCTGTACGGTCCCATGATTTTTTATAATTTTGAGGGCCTTAGTGATTAACCCATTTAGTGCCCGATTATTTGCTGTATTCAGTCGTCTCTGCTTCAAATCTATCAGCATCGTCTGCAAGGATCAGTCAGTTCATATTTTTATTTGCAAATTTTGAAAAGCATTTGTTGTTGTTTTTATTCTGCTACACGTTATGCTACATCTGTAGAGTATTTAAATTGTCAGCCTAATTTTTGTAATTTTGTTTGCGGAGTGTGGTTCGAGTTCGGACTAACATTACTGTGCTGGCGTAATTACACGTTATGGTTTGTTCGTTTGCGAAAATTATGAAAATTTTCCTTTCGTAATATTATTAATTTTATGGTTTGTATTTGACAAAGGATGGCCGAGAGATATGATAGCCTGTATCGTGTTTGTCGTAGTTTGAATTGTTCGGATCAGCGCTGGAAGATGCTTCCAAAGCCGTCAAACTCGATCCCAAATACCTCAAGGTTCGTTCTTCTTCTGCTTTTTGCTCGGTATTCAGTTGTTTGTTTTGCTCTTCGCAGCATCACTAGTCATTAAATTAACTTGGTGGTCATGCTAAATGATGCAAGTTGAGGAATATCGACACTTCGTAGCTGTGTAGTCGAATAAATTGATTAGAAATTGATCAGTCGATCGAGTGTGACTTGTGTGAGCGACAGTCACATTTCCGGTGCGGCTGCCGTGAAGCAGCCACCCCGCGACAGCACTTACTTTCTCTTTACAAATCTTGCACTGGCGAACTGTAGAAAATTGTAATTTTTATCATTCATCATCAGGCTGACAGGCTCATTTAAGAATCTGCGAGCTAAGATTTAGCCTAAGAATTACTAATGCCTTTGCGAAGAGTATTGTCATCGAGTATAGGCAGGTATGGCTCACGAGCTTTTTCCTCCTCGCAGGGCTATTATCGGCGCGCGGCGGCCCAGATGGCGTTGGGCCGTCTGAAGCAGGCCCTGAAGGACTTTGAAACGGTAGGGATGATGAGCAGTGCATTGCCCAACGTTGCTTGTTGCAAGAGTATCGTGTAGGTCGCTAAGCGCGTCCCCGGCGACAAGGACGCGGCGCTGAAGCTGTCCGAGTGCCAGAAGCTGCTGCGGCAGCGGCAGTTCGAGTGGGCCATCCGCTGCGAGGAGAAGAACAGCAGCGCCTTCGACGGCCTCGAGCCCGATGGCATAGGTACGTTGTGGTGCTCGTATTGCTGGCTGTGATAGAGATGGCTGTTGACGTTGTTCTCGCCGCAGTCGTGGAAGAGTCCTACACCGGCCCGCAGCTGCTCAACGGGCAGGTAACGGCCGCCTTCATGGAGGAGCTGCGCGCCTGCTTCCAGCAGCAGAAGAGCCTCCACCGCAAGTTCGTCGTCCAGGTACAATCACTGCAGTACAACCGTCCTGCAGATTGCCCACTGTTTATTATTACGGTATTACCGTAGTGACTAGTCAGTGTTTTATATATTACAGTATGTAGGCAAGTAGATATTATGTTATTATAATTTTTTTAGTAAATATTTTCTTATTGTAATTATTTTTAATAGTTTGTTTATTGTTGGTTAAATGATTTTTCCCCCTCGTGATCAACAGATCCTGACGCAGATTCGCCAGATCTTCCTCCGCGCGCCCAGCATGGTGGACGTAACGGTTCCCGACGTAAGTGACGGCAGTTTAATAATTGTTATTCATCAGAACTTATTTTTTCATGGCAGTGTTTGATTTTAATTTGCTTGTTCTGGTTGTGTATAGAAGTGCAAGTTTACCATTTGCGGTGACATTCACGGGCAGTATTACGATTTGTGCAACATTTTCAAGCTGAACGGAGAACCCAGCGAAGAGAATCCCTACGTAGGTGTCTCGCTTTTTTGATAAATATGACGTTGGCAGCCTGCGGGATGATTATTAATTATCGGGATGTTGCCACTTGTCAGTTGTTTAACGGGGACTTTGTGGACCGCGGCTCCTTCTCCATGGAGTGCATCATGACGCTCTTCGGCTACAAGCTCCTCTATCCGGACCACTTCTTTCTGGCGCGCGGTCAGTAATTGCAGCTTTTATTCCGTGTTTAGTACGAGTACAGTACCGAGACTGATCATGAGTAAATTTAATAAGAAAAATTAAAATAATTGAAGAAGTATTCGAATTGAATTTTAAATAATAGATAATTTCAAATTAGCAGCTCCTATTTTCTTTTTGTACTTGCAACTATTTAACACGAAAATAAAAACATAGAACCGATATTTACATGGTTATTATTTGCATTATCACAGATTAATGTAAATGACTAAATGCAAGCAGATTAATATGATAGCGTGCGATGTTTCTTGATTTTTTATTTCCTTATTTACTGTTTGACCGGATGATGTGATTACCAGGGAATCACGAAACGGACAACATGAACTCGATCTACGGGTTCCGCGGCGAAGTGAAGGCCAAGTACAACGAGCAGGCCTACCAGCTCTTCACCGAGGTCTTCAACCTGCTGCCGCTGTCGCACCTCATCAACCGCAAGGTGCTGGTCATGCACGGCGGTCTCTTCAGCCAGCCCGACGTCACTCTCGAGGTATCCACTGCAGTACCAACCTTTTATACGCCCTGTTTAGCACAGAGTTGCATATTTTAATTGCAGTATTATTTCAGGATGTGCCTGAAAACCCTGTATTTCTTTATTTAATTTATCTTGTACTTTTTTGATAATATTTTTTTTGAAATTCGTCTAACAGTGCCGTAACTAATTGTTAAATTTGTCTGTAGTGACGATACTTGAAATTTTTAATTGGCGTGGCAGTCAAATGAAATTTAATACTACAGTAGTTGTTCAGCGTTGCATTCTTTTCTCGATTACATTTCTTTAAATTAAATAATTTTCGTTACTGTGGATTCTGTCTCGAAGCCATGCTTTTGATAATTGTATCTCGGCATTTTTATAGGATATTCGCTCCATTGAAAGGAACCGCCAACCTCCGGACTCTGGTAAGAAATTCAGTTCAAGGAAAATTGAAAAAAAATTGCCGATTACGTAGAAAACGTGCGCCACTTGGCTGGCATCTTGCGAGTTATTTAAAGAATAAATTAAAAACTGCCTGAATACGTCGGAGAAAATTTATTGGGAATTCGTAGGAATATATTTACAGTAGTGCTTGCCGCTAAGGTTGTAATTTGTTTGCCCAGGGTTGATGTGCGAAATTCTGTGGAGCGATCCGCAGCAGCAGCTGGGTCTGCGGCCCAGCAAACGCGGTACGTACATACATACTACATAGACTGCTGGATACTTCTCTCACCTGCAGCGGGCTGTTGTGGTGCCGAAGAATAAAAGCCACCTGTCGAAGAGATTGTTTTATCGTCTCCAGTATCGTATTGTCAGCCTTGGAATTTTGCGCAGACAGTAAAAAGTTGGCGCCGTACATGTGCTGTTAATGCATTGGACGGTTGTGCGTAAAATATGCACAGGCGTTGATGTTGTTGTAATGTACACAGGCGTGGCCTTCGAGTTCGGCCCGGACGTGACGGAGAACTTCTGCAAGACCAACGACGTGGCCTACGTCGTGCGCAGTCACGAGGTGAAGCCGGAGGGCTACGAGGTGGCGCACGGCGGCCGCTGCATCACCGTCTTCAGGTGAGGCGAGAATCAGCTCCGTCTGGTGCAGTTGACAGGTTCCTTGATCGTTGTTGCAGTGCTCCCAACTATTGTGATACCATTGGCAACCTGGGCGCCCTCATCAACATCCGCGGCGACGACCTCACGCCCAAATTCGTCACATTCGCCGCCGTGGTCAGTGCAGTCTGCAGCATAGTTACATTTGAACACTGCGTTGCTTTGTCAGCTGACACCGTGCTTGACTGAGTGCCCTTTGCAGCCGCACCCCAACGTGGCCGCCATGTCCTACGCCAGCTCCATGTTCCGGATGCTCGGCGGATAGGGATAGCGCGAGCGCCTGGAGGCCCTGGATAGTTAGCGCCGAGTGGGGCGCCAGTCGTCGAGTGTGTTAACTGTTACAGTAGCGATGCTAGCTAATTTATCAGTCTCTCAATTATACACGTCCACTGTTAATGCTGCCAAGAATGTCCAGTGCCGGGGACTGGATGGCCGGGCCGGGCCCCGTCACCCTGCTGCAGCCTGCGATTGTTGCGTATGTTGCAGTATATACGCTGGTTGATTTGATTTGTGAAGGGTGAGGGATCCGAGCTGGTTTGTTGGCGTGATCGTTGTGATGGTGGTTGATTCAAGTCGTGCGTTAACTGTTTCAAGACACCAACGATGCTTACTGTACCTGGATGGTTACAATAAAAAGAATGCCCAGCATTTACAAATATTCAGCGTTAATTGTTTCCAATGTTCTATAAAAAACTCATTGACATTTAATTACTCGATGGAATGTGGTACAAGCGGCAAGCACAATACCGTAATCTGCTCCGTGTTTACGCCCTTACACTACGTTTCCCGTCTTCCGATCCAATCAGACAACTCGTGCCATTCGCTCGATATTAGTAGCACTTATCAGCCTGCGTGTACTACCCTAGTATGAGTAGTACTCTACACAAAAATTAATTGAACAAATACTTTTTTCTTTAGATTATCTTACCATTTGAACACCTTTTATGGATGATACTTTACAAAATAAAATGTATGAACGTTTTAAAAAAAAATATGGACAGTCTAACAGAATTCTCTTGACAAATACATCCAACTGCAATGAAAAATGGTACAATTATTGCAAATAATAGTCAGTAGTTTCAGGTCATCATTTATTTCTGATTGATTATACGGAGCATAACTCTGTAGCATTATTTAAGTAACCACATTAAGCGTTTGCACCAGGTATAATTACTTATTTAGATTTAGGTATGGTATATTAATTAATTTTCAATAATTTTCTTATTAATTTTGTCGTCACTCTTCAACACAACACGGTACTGTATCAACACGTCGTTTAATGATTTAATCGTAGCCGCACATTGGATCAGAACTTGAGCTTCACAGTAGAAACCCGTTAGGAGAGGTCAAAGAATGCCATTGCGGCAGACTTTCATCGTTGCAACTTGCAGGCATATTAAATCACGTTGTGTTTGTATAAGGAAATCTGCCCATTTGTTCGGCCAATCAGAGCGGCTGTTGTTGCACTGAGTACCACGCGGCGGCGGTTTGTTTACAACGTGATCAGCGAGTGTGAATGAGCGTGGCTGGCGTATTCGGCGTCGTGCACTGTACAGACTGTACTCTGGCCGTCGTCGATCGATCGCGATCGGTGGGTGTGACCGTGTGACGAATCGGGTACGCCCCACACCGCCGTCGTCTGCCAGTGCCAACAGGAAATGTATACAACATGATTACATTTTTATTAAATTTATAGTTATGATGGATGTTCTTGTCTTACTCACCCAGCTGCTGAAAATAAATAAATGTGAACTGAAATATTAAACGCTTTTTTTGTAACTATAAGGTTGTAGCGTGGCCAGTAAATTTAGGAAGTGTATTTTTCAAGTTTTAAATTGAAACTTACTACAATAAATATGTTATTAAGAAGTGGCAGACATTCAGTAGCTGAAACTGTACGCATAAATACTGCGCTGACGCAGCAGCTGCTGCTGTGGCAGCCTATAGACTATACAGCGGGCTGCATTGTGCTGCAGCCTGAACCTGCGGTGAATGGTTATTGAATGGCGGCGCGTGGTGCACGCGTGATCCCCGCGCCGGAGCCAATCAGTGCGGCGTGCTGACGGCGTGTCCAGCTGCTGCAGTCATGGTCGATGATCATTCCGTCAAACACCCGTGTGAAGAGACGCTGTGCCACTGGCCAGGCCACACAATTCAATTCCGCGCCAACTGGAATATTGTTGCTAAACACTTGCGCAGTCACTATACAAGTACATGCAGCAAAGTCTTCTAAAATCTTTTTTCCGTCTTTTCGATTGTGAACTGCGCTGAGGATAAGCAGCTTCATGTTATAGCGGCATAACGCAACACGTGTTGGACGCTTCAACGTCAGGCGTAATTCCAGTGTACTGACTTCAATTTAGGATTCGGAGTTATTGTGACTTCACTCGGATTTTAAAATTAATAGAATATCTGGTTGCTGCGAGAAAATCTCGTCGACATCGTCTTCATTTCAAAGAGGTAAGGGCATATCAGTTGACAGCGGATGACAACAATAATTATAAGTAATACGAGTCGGAGTAATAATCCTGCTTTACGTGATAGTCATAACAGTACGTTCGTTATTGGCACCCTCCTGCGGAGGACGGTTGCCTGCTTTGCGTGTATCTGTTGTATGGTCATACATATATATGGTACTGCGCAATAATGTGACTAATACTAATCACATTGTGTTGAGGGGAATAACTTACTGTGCCGCCTCCGAATTTGTGTTTACTGTACAAGAATTTGTGTAACCCGGAAAGGAATTACTCGCAGGAGACAGGGAAATGCTGAAGCGCGCGGCCAGCCCCGCGTTGGCAGCCGGCGGAAGTGGCGTTGAGCCGGGGCAGTGGATGGTGCGCAGTGAGTCAGACGAGCAGTGGGCCAGCACGTGCACGCTCAATGCCGCGGCGCGCACCGTCGGCGTGTCGGAGTGGGCCGTTGCGCAGGCGTTGCTGTCGATGAGTCAGCTGCAGTCCACCACGCAGACGCAGCGGCTTCCGCTGCCACGAAACGACCAGCACAAGCAAGCACTGGATGACTGCAGCAAGGCAACGGAAGCCGCGTCGGTGTCCGAGAAGGTCGGCAGCTGCCAGCCGCCCGCGGACGCCGACTACGAGCCAGCGGCCACGCGGGAGCCCGGTAACGGGGCTTGCCGCTCTGCGGATGTAAACAGCGGTCTGCCCTCTGGACTCGGTGAACTGTCTGGAGTTTGTGCTTTGGCCGACCTGCGTGTGCCTCCGCGCAAGCGCCTGGCTCTCCGGACTCGCCCGGGGCCAAGCACTTCGCGCGCCGTTGCTGTCAACCTCAAGGTACGTGCACTTTAGTATTTACAGTACGACTGCACGAGCTATACAAACTTACAGGCTGATACAGCAACACGGTTCAGTAACTGTACACAGTATTGTAGTATAGATATACCTTCATACTTGTACCATGATGAACTGGTATTATCTACGTACGTATTCTGAGTTTTACTTGAGATGGCATCAATTCGTTTAACTATTTGTAAGGCTAATAGAGCCTGCAGTCCGAGGAAATGTATAAATTAGTTTGTATTGCTCGCCTGATATTACGTTAAACCAAATTAGTAGTCATTTGCTTACTGCTAGCATACATCATTAGTGCACTTCATTATATGGATGCGAGCTCTATATTAAGTATATTAAAAATTTGTAGACCTGTTTAATAACAATTGCACTTTTTGATGGTTAAAATACGGCTAATTTATTGAAGTTGCTGGCCTGATGTAATCGATATCATTTTTGACAGGTTCCGTCAACAGTAAACGAAGCTGCTGGTACTGTGGATAACCTCGTATCCAGCGGCCACGCTTCGCGATCGGCTTCCCCTGCAGTCTCCGACAAAGAAAATCCCAGCTCCACCTGCAGCGACACAAGCAGCACCTGCGATCCGCGGGCTGCTCCTGCCGCCTGCCCCTCACCACTTCCGGCGCCGGCCTCCCCGGCTACGAGTGCCTCATCCACGCCCCCGCCCAGCGCCAGCTACGTGCCCTTTTTGCCGGTGACCCTGCTGTCGCCCAACAACCTGCTGCACCTGGTCGTGGCCACCAACAGCGACGCCGGCGGCGCCACCGTCGCCTGCCGGACGCCCATCCGCATCCAGCTGCAGACGCCGCACTCCCTGCAGCCGCTCCTCGTGCCGCTGCGGCCGCTGTGCCGGGCGTCGCCGTCGCAGTCCCGGCCGCCGGAAATGCCCAGCCTGTCCATCCGGCAGCGCAACTTCAAGTGCGACTCCTGCGAGAAGACCTACTACAAGAGCTCGCATTTGAAGGCCCACGTGCGGACGCACACCGGCGAGAAGCCCTATGTCTGTGATTACGAGGCGTGTGACAAGCGTTTCGCACGCTCCGACGAGCTGTCGCGCCACCGGCGCACCCACACGAACGAGCGCAACTTTGCGTGTGACCACTGCGGGAAGCGGTTCATGCGCAGCGACCACTTGCGGAAGCACATGAAGCGGCATGCCAAACTGGCGCCGGCCGCCAGCAGCGCCACGCGGCACATCCTCAGCAAACCCTTCGCCGCTGCCAGCAGTCCGCCGCTGGCCATCTCGCTCGGCGTGCCGGTGACCGGCTTCCCGCCCGTTCCCTCCCGCTGACTGTCCCAACTGCCCGCAATTTGTACGGCGGAGAAAGGGGCGCAATAGCGACAGTTTAAGGCCGGCAGTCACTGTTTTGTTGTGAATAATGATGCTTTATAAAATCTGTACATCCTCTACTTCCGGTGTGGTGCGGTACTTGCCTTTCTTCTTGTAATTCTCGGCCGCGCTCACCGGCACTGTTTCCACTACTTGTTGTCATTTGTACATTTTGTATTTCATTCATATAGTGTTGCAAGGAGTCAGTAATAAAGCCTGTACAGACGTTAACCAGAAATTTCTTTCGAATGCGTTCCACTGTTTTGCAGAGTTATACTTCCACCCAAAGGCACAAGTAGCGGTTGACTCAGACAGTCAGCCAGAAATACGTCAAAAATGATTCGTGGCCATGTGGAAACTTTGCTGGAAATTTCATCACTATTTTGTGCGATATATGAGTTGCTATTCAAATAATTCAATATAGTTGTTGATAGAACTGCATGCTGTACAGTCTTACTTCAGTCTTGCAGTTGTGATGCTGCTACAGATGGAAGAGCATTACGCAGCCCTGTCGAAATACCGCATTTAAGCATTAATGTCCATTGTTCAAGCGTAGGTGCTTAAACTTGTTCTTCATATACTGTATGTTATATACACCAGAAGCCGGCAAAGATAACATAAATTGTACATTCCGCCTGCCCTGGCGAATATTTACGTAGAATTTTTATATACAAGAATACAAATAACACAATATTATCATTCTTTTACTCTTAGTGTCTGTATCGCTCAGTGGAATTAACATCTCAACGGCTGTGGCTAAATCTTCTTCAGTTTGCTGCTGCTGGCACTGCGCTTGCGGAACATCATGACCTTCTTGAAGTTCAGTTTGTGCTTCTTCTCGGGCACTTCCGGCGGCGCCGTGTCGCACTCGCTGTCGGAATGGTAGACCTTCACTTTGGGCACCACCATCGCCGCCTTGGAACGCAGGTTGTCGCTGGAACCGTGCGCACGCTGGCCGGTGCTGTAGCAGGCAAAGGGAGCGCTACGAAAGGTCACTCTGTTTATATAAGACAGCAACGGACTTACAACGTATACAGATTAACGCGGAAAACATTTTTCAAGTGTATAATTAAGCTTTCTCTTTAGTTTCTAGTAATTCATAATTGATGTAATCGTAACTGCTTTGATACGATTAAGATGTGCTCACTTGTGTGCCAGGCCCTGCAGACTAGGCGAGGAAGCGTACTTGAGCTGTTCGGAGAGCACCGCCGGGTGCAGCGAGGCCGAGCGGCGTTCCTTGAAGGTCTCCTGCTCGTCGCGCCGGCCCGTGGCCTGCCCGAAGGCCTTGGCCAATTTCCGGCGGATCCAGTTAGGCTTGCCGCTGTTCGGTGCCGGCTGCAGCAGCTCCAGCTGCAGCGACTTGCGGCTCTGCAGGTTGGGCTCGCTGGCCGCCCGCTGCGTGCGCCGCACCATGAGTGACGCCGATACGGGGCTGCCCGCGCCGCTGTCGCCGTCCCGCGCCGGTTGGCTGCCGTTGCTGGTCGGTGTGCGGCGGGCGCTCTGCGGGGTGCGGCTGCCGGCTTTCGCAGAGTACGCCGCTTGATTGGGGCCGCCGCGGGCGGACCGCTCGCCGTATAAACCCGCGGACTGGTTGTGCGGGTGGCCGTGGCCGGGCGGGGCCACCGGGTGCAGGAGGCAGCTGGTGTGCGGGAATCGGTCGATGATCTCCGCCGCCGTGTGGCGGCCGCACAGCCGCGCCCACTCCGACGCGCACAGGCACCGCCCGCCGTCGCGCAGCGCCGGACACGCTCCTAGCGCATTCAGTTTGCTGTAGTAAAACCACCTTCGCATTCTGTTTATAGCTTACCGGCAAAAAGGAGAATTTTCGCGCAGTTTGTGCGTCCTTGGATCGCCGCCTTCATTAGAGGAGTCAGACCTGCAATAATTGACGTAACCTTCAATCACGGTACATATTAACATGCCTGCTTGTAGTCAACTGCATACGGTAAATGCACATTAAAGGTTATGCGCGGTAATTATGATAACTGTTCATATATAATTTTTGTATATAGATATATGCTGTATATGCAACTGTTAGTAGAACGCGGTATAAGTGAGTAAGGAGTTCTAAAGGATTTAAACGCCGGCTGTAAAGATGTCATTTTGCATGCACTAACCGTAAATGTACGGGCATTCATTCTACGTATGTAACCTGTGGATATTAATAAATATTTCCAGAAATGACGAGCTATTCCGCGCCCGACCGGTGGTTGGTGTCACTTACCGCTGTGGTTTCTGGCGTCAATCTGCACATCGCGGAAGAACGCCAGCAGGTTGCTCAGCACATCCGCATGACCTTTAATGTTGAAGTTTAAGGTTAGGTTAGCCTAGTTTAATCTGCATAATGGAATGGAGTGGAGCATCGGGCAAATTCTTGTAATCACTTTTGGCATTTCTCAGAAGCGGCAAAAGCCGATCCGATGCCGCGTATATACATGTATCTCTATTGCAAACTTCGCGATTTTTTATATATGTAAATTTCCTCTGTTACTGAATCTGAATAGTACTAGTACACAAAACTGTATGTACCAGTATACGTATATATATTCACGAAAGCCGATTTGCGAATCTTTATTGATTGTAATGCAAAATTATTGCGTACTTATAAATTATAAAACATATGTAGTCAATAACTTGTGATACTGCGAGTCATTTTTGAAACTGCAGCACATTAGTAGTTAGTATACACTATATGCATCAATTCAATACACCAGGTACTTATCTATTAATTAAAATCATTCTAATCAAATATTTGTTAGGCGTTTAGCATTGACGCGTTAGGGCAATGCATTTTGCACTTTTACTGAAAGCATTATGTACTTGCAATTCGCTTTACGTTGCCTTCCTTATGATTACGCACGCTGTACATTACCTGCTTCGGCGGCCAAGTGCAGCGGCGTGTTTCCTTCGTTATCTACAAGATCCATTGAAGAACGCTTGCATTAACAATTCCGATGACAAAAAGCAAGCGCTCTACGGTAATACGATAATGTGGACGAGCTGGCAAAGGATAAGGTGCGAACTGCGAAATAGACACATATCTATCTTGTTCGACCAGACTTGAACTCCCCTTGGGGTTGTCTGCTCTTGTGCCGTAATAATAATAATAATAACAATAATTCTACTCCTCTAATGCTACTTCACAAGTCCGCTAGTTGCAGAGCATATTGTTCGTCATCAAGAAGCAAAAGGTCGACGAGGACGATGTCAACGTCAGCGCTAGAGGTAAGTACAGCGCATGCAGACGAAGCCGTGTCAAGCAAATTTCAAAGCTAAGAAAATTAATCATTGTCGTCGATGGAATTAGTGTTCAGCGGGTACGCAGTTATGATTTGCTCATGTGCACCGAGTGTACATTGTCATTATCTGGAAAACATAATTATATTCACAGCGGAAGTGAAGTGGAATAAATGCCGTAATGCCGGATATATGGATACATCATACATGTACAGCAAGTACAGATGTGCGCGCAGTCTATCTGGCCATGTATCCGCTGCAGGATGCAGGGATGCAGGAGATATCTATTCCTGCGAATTGAATTAGGAGGATCTGCATGGAATTTAATAGGGACAGGGGCGGTGCCTCACTGCCTGCGCTCCTGCAGTGCGTAGCTGAGCGGCAGACGGATGTCGTTGGCGCGTTCGGCCAACACGTACACAACGGCTGCGTGCCGGGATGCATGTGCATAACGTGTGCAGATGGATGTACGGTATAGTGCAACCGGAAACGCCAGATCGCCTGTCCTGCATCATCAGTCTATTCCTGCCTATACATGCGACGGCTCTCGGCCAAATTTAGCACAACCTGTCCCATTCAGCTGCACATGTCAGGGCCCCGCTCTTCTCCACGCAGCCGGATAAATAGCTAATTAATTTGACTGTCTGATAATAGGTACAGAGTACAGACTGCACAGCCAACCAGGACGCCGAAGATCCGCTACGTTACCCATCAACACATTTCCAATATGTACATGCGTACTAATATTAAGTATTATTATTTTTGTATACATGTAATAATTAAAGGCATGAGATTAGTTTTCCTACTATGCTAAAGATGCTGATATGGAGAAGCTGTCTGCTTTGTGCCGGAATTTAAGCATCACTGCAGCATGCAAGCGGTTCTCTCTGGACTAGAGACCGGAAGTAAATTAGCCGGCATTATGGCCACTTCCAACGGTGCTGCTTATTGTGGCCATATCACTTTACCGGGCTAAGAAACCTGGCTAACCAACGTCGCCCCAGTTCTCCCAGCGATCGCGAAGAAAGAGTACACGCTCCACATTCCCGTCGACCGGAAACCGCGGAACACTTTCCCTCCAGGTCGGTTTATACGTTTCGGCGACTGCGCCCTCGGAAACGCTGCACTTGAGTCTTGGTAAACGAGCAGTGTGGTGCCGTCACAAAAGGCGGTGTTAGAAAGGCGCGCAAAGCCACAGGGAATATCTGCTGACATCTCCGCTATATCATGCTTGTTTGCAAACAAGTGTACAGGTTGAATTTCATTCCACAGAGTCAACAACCCAAGGTGCTGCAAGTACTTAAGTATTATATAACGGGTAGCAGGCTGTGTGGCCGGTCACACTGTAGTGTTTCACAGAGATGACCGGAAGTTGTCGTAGTGCAGAGGACTTGCACTCGAGCCAACTCTATGGTGCAAATACCGCATATTTCAATGTGCTGTATGTGTGCTATGCGAAGTATATACGAGTATACCCGTGTTAACGATAAGTAGCCTGTAGCTACATGTACATGTAATCATCTAATCGGGCTTGACAGGAGCAAATGGCTGTCTAATGGCTGCTCAACGTAACCCAACCGGCGGGCCTTCACTTTCCATGCACTGACCAGCATTAGCCAATTTAGCCCAGCAGCGACAACCCTAATATTCCCTGACGTTTGGCTGTGTCGCTTCGCGGTTTCGCACGTCAACATCTTATTGCCGACGCCCGTACAAAGTACTCTATAGTCAAACGGCCAAACGCCAGAATTCAACATGCGTGTAATCCGCAGCCGTCGCGCTACGACGACGTACGTATTGTACACCACTTCATCTTCGGCTGTAGGATCACGAAATGCCCAACTGACAGTATTTTGTAGGAATATGCCGTGCGCCGTACGAGAAGCCAGCCAGCGAAGAGGGATAAACAGCGGAAATGCTCTTGAAGCCAACTTCCGGCTTATTCCATTCTTATCCGATTAAAATAGCCAGCTTATTTATGCATTTATACATTTAGACATTTACAACGACAGTCAACTGCTATGAGTGCAGTTGCAATATACGAGTACCTGCATATAATATACACGATGTTAACACAGCACGTTGCAGCGAGGGAAAGATCGGCTCGGCAACAGTGCAGCTGTACAACTACCTGTGCTGTGCAGATGATAATTAAACTGTACAGTTATACGAGTACGCTATAACTGTCGCATCCGGCAGATGTCCTTTATCGCCAGCTCGATATTTGCTACATACGATTAGAGTACAACTATGTTGTACTGTACAATAACAACCAGGACAGTTACAATTGATATCACACGGTGCAGGCCGCTTATAATTACCGGCAGCGTTGACGTCCAGGATGGGCACCATGCCGACGAGAATGTCCAGGATGCCCAGGTAGCCCTGGGCGCACGCGTACGCCAGACCGGTCTGCAAGCAAAACACTGCTATTACAATTGTACATACAAGCATCCAACGCTGTCCTGTCTCGGCGCGTCATTTCTACACTACAAGTACGAGTATACAGAGTTACTAAGGTCAACCAGCAACGGATACAATTAATGCACTTAATTATCGCCGAAATTACCGCAATCATGAGCAAGATGCGGAATATTCCATCTACTTAAAAAACATTAGTTTGTTTAGCGATTACTGTACAAGTACTGTTGCTGGTCAATGCTGTGGATGACTACGGAATTCTTAACATACAGATAACTGATGAATGCAGGGGCCAATTACCAAGCCATTGCACAGTAATTACTTACTATACTGTACGTAGAAGTATACAAGTATATATAGATATATATATTGGCAGTGTTAACGTTATTGGTCATCTTGTGCATTTATGCAGAAAAAAACAGGTAATTGCAGACTATACAGTCAACTAAAAATTCCGCATTCAACCGCCAAACCCGGCGGCTTGCATATCCCAGATAACTTAATTCAGTAATGGTACGGTGTAACGAGTAACCAGCTCCTACTGCTTTGCAGTATTATGTACCTGTACTCCCACCGTCTATACAGATATAATTTCGTGTATATAGTATATAATTATATACGGTGTTTCGTATTTCTGTGTATTTGAATAACCTATGGTAAGGCGTAATAGACATTAATAAAGAACAACACGATCGTTGTTTCTTGTATATATATATATATATACATAATTGTTATACGAGTACATGTTTATATGATGCCTTCATTCTTCAGACCGTCCCGACACGCTCCTGCATGACTGTCCTGGCCCTGGCCGTGTTAACGTGCTCACCTGCGTGACGTCCTAGGGTGTAACATTACATGTCCTGCTGCTTAACCGGTCTGTTCTCTGTACGTGCACAGAATCCTCTGTTCATGTATCCAGCGGAAGCGCCGGACCGGCGTGCCAGTCTTGTTCCGGCCCGTCGCTTCGCCAGCTTCCGTCTGCCGGCGCTGTGACTGTGCCTGTGCCGGGCCGGGTGTACTCTGTAATTTGTCGGGCTTCAAAGGGCGATATGCGGTTGCGGTGGCTGCATGGCACGCGATCTGGCTGCTATTGTTGTTGCTGCACACCTGAAGGGTACCTGCAGATACTCATCGACGTACAGGGCAGGCATCTCCTAGCTCGGAGGCAGAGGAAGCCTTTTCTAGCTCTCCCTCCATTCCCATTCCCACCTGCATCTGCACACTTCCGGCGCTCGGCAGCCCTGTATGACGCAGGTCACGGGAAGCTGGCTTTGTCAATAACAATTCCTTTTCCTCTGTCTGTAATCTGTCTATATACTGTAGGTGCAATAACAAGAGCTAGTGTCAGCGCACTCTGCATCATGACCCTGGATTATCTGTCCATCTCCAGTCAACAACTGTGCTCCTCTTCTTTCCGACACTGCACACTACCGACACCTGTACACGCTGTACACATAGTGCTCATTTTGCACTTTCATCTGGCTAATCTGCATCTGCTTCCGATCGATTTAATTAGCAATTTTGCTCTGTACGATACAATGCCCAAGGCACGTGAATACGGCGGTTGTAACCTGTATGCACTTGCAGCGACTGGATTAGCGTCTTTCACACGGAACCATTTGCCTATTAAGGGCATAAATAAATTATTCAGTGTTTTGATTGGGCTCGTATCGTGCATGTAGATAGCCAATTAAACAGATGAACTGACTAATGAATATGCAATGCCACGTCAGCCGTAGCTGTCCACCGGCTTTATAAAACAAGTTAAGTAAGTATTACTGTACGGTTGTCAGTCCTCATAAAGCCGAAATGTTAACGCCGGCGTTAATAAATAACTAACTAGTTAATGATAAATGTGTATACTGTAAGTAATACAAAAACTGCAAAACGAAGCCGTAGGAAAATATTGACGGCGTCGAAGAAGCTGGTGCGATCTATGCACGTACCCGGCCGGTCTTGGTGTCGCGGCGGTTCAGTGCGGCGCGCGTGACGCCCTTCTTGAGGATGTCGCAGAGGCCCTCCTCGTCGCAGAGGAGACAGGCGTCCAGCACGCTGTGGGGCGGCTGGTACAGCGGCGAGCGCCGGTCCGGCAGCCGGCTGACGAAGCACTCGGGAAAGCCGAAATCGTCGTCCAGCTCCATCTCCAGCTCGGCGCCGGCGCCGGTCCCGGCCTCGGACTGGCCGGTCACGGCGTTAACGTGCTGGCTGTGGACGTGGTCGTAGCCGTGGGCGGGGGCGTGGGCGGGCACGTGCCGGCTGTAGTTGCCGGCGCGGCTGGGACTGGCCGGCAGTTGGTCCGCCGCCTGCGCGCGGCGCGGTGGATGACGTGCGGTGGACGGCACGGCCGAGCTGCTCTTGTGGCTGGCTACAGTACTGGTGTTGTTGGCGGGGTGCGCGTGGCCCGCGGTGGCGCTGCTGCTGGAGCTGCGCATCCCGCGGGCCAGGATCTTCTCCAGATGGGTCATCTTCTCCGGGATGCAGTGGCCAGAGAACGACGACCAGGGGGCATTAGCGGCGCGTGACCTTTGCGCTGCAGCGGGCGTATCACAGGCGGGAGGGGGACGGTGTCTCGGACTAGGTGGGCGGCTGCGATGATGGTGGTTGGAACACATGTAGCGATTAAGCTGGCTGCTGGCGTTGACCTTCACCCGCTGCCAGCCTCGTCATTATTAAGAAACGCTGCACCAACAAGTAACAGGCCAGTCGGCTATCCGGAGTCTGTGCACTTATGATACAGGTGGCGGCAGCACGATCCGCTCTCGCTACGCGTATTTGTATGGCCCGGGCCTTCCCAGACCACAGTCCAGTTGTAGGTCAGGAACAAAAGGTCATGTCAAGACGGCACTTCGAGAACTAATTCTTCGCTTTCATTGACCCGCTTGCGCAGATTCCCAACATGCCATAGGATGATATTTCGCACAATCGGCCAAGGTCATCAACTGCAAGTAAATTCAAGTCACCGCACCCTTCTTTGTACACACGTAATATTATAAACTTGCAAATCGTTCAGGTGCATTAGCTCTTTATGTAAAACATGTACGAAGTAATGCTTCTACAACTTCTACAAATTCTACTACTGATTAGATTAGCTGTGTAATTTGCAATTGTATGGATAGACAAACTCGGAGTTAAGTACTGATCAAGTATCTGTAGTTGTTGATGTGTTGAACAGGCTGTATTTGTACAGATGCAGTATATGTACAAGTACAGTACATGTACATGTATGTATCAGGTCGCTGCCAGCTGTCCCCTTTGTAATTTCAACAAGTTTAACTGCGCTAAAACCATATGACATATTGCATTATTAGTTAATGTAATAATAAAATTACAAATAAATGACTGCTCCTTTTGAAACACTCGGGTACCGTATCATGCACTGCTACCGTATCATCTTTATACATGCACAACAATCGCATAAGTAATTATTACAGCATACATTCATATTGATTTTGATAGTTTGTGTATGAAATATAAACTCTGTACATGCCAATTCTGGACCGGTTAGCGTGGAAATAAAAAACAACACATAACATACAGTTGTAAAAGTAAAAATCGTTGCAATAGTTTTTATTGTAATGTTTTGAAGTTCAGAATTATTACTGGTCCATCATAGTGGTATACCGGTCAGTATTGAAATTTTTCAACGCAAGAGTCGGGCTGCTAAAGTAACGTCTGCATCAACGTTCAAAAGAAGCCATTTTGGATGCGGGGATTTTCAAGGAACCCGTGTGTGCTTGAAAGTAACGGCCAGGTACAATATACATAAGTGCTAAAGTTCACAGGATGACTTTATGCTGAAAAAACATGGAAAATGTAGTGTTGTGGCTCCGATATGCTCAGCCTGCAACTGCGGTGTGGTACTGTTCAGTTGGCAATTCAAATGCCGAAATTAGCAGAGTAATTCAGCATTACTTTTGGGAATTTTCGCAGTGATACGTTGTGCTTTGGAGCCGACTCGAAATGCGTCATGATAAAACGAAAAATACAGTACACCGACTGACTGGAGATGTACAAGAAACCAATATAAAAACAGTACGTACAATTTATGTATCTATACGTATTGTGACTGAAGCGGTGGAGAGTGAAATTATAAATTTTAAATAGGAAATAACTTGTACTTATCCTGTTATGGTCGCTGTTAACGGTAGATGTTAATCGCTGGTGGCATACCCGATCTGTCACCATAATTAACTAATTTTTAGTGCGATACGCAGGCAAAATTTGCATTCGATTTATATTACTTGTAGCTACAAGTGAGATTTGCATAATTGCATGAGGACTTGCATACGACTGATACGAGGATATACTTGTCTGGGAATTCTTGCCGGAATCGAAAGCGAACTAACGAAATAAATCTAACTAGTGACTTGTGAGTGGCAGTTGATCGTTTTTTCTTATTAATTATGCAGAAAGCATACAATTGTTGGCTACTCTGTACTCTGTGCATTCACTGCACGTGCATAAATCCGTTAATGCATAAATAAATCAGCAGTTGACTCAATAATGGGATTAAGCAAGTTTACAAGTCACATAATTATCTAAAGATATCTGTAAATAAATAAGCATAGTGTTAACAAGTACTTGTACAGTCAGTGGTGATTCAAATGGATCGCGAAGTAAATATGGACTATTATCCGGTAATTTAGTATGCATGAGTGAAACAGTAGAGCAGCTGATTTGTGTGGAATGATTGGATTAGCCGTTAGCGGAGAAATACATCTGACGTACACTTTTTTCCCCGGCATCAATGGACGCAGAGCAGCAGGAAAAAACTGTAATCGATAATAGCTCGTCCGCTGACAAACAGCGCCCGGCACAATAATAATACATGGATGACTACAACAACGAATACATACATATGTATTGGCAAGATGCAGGATGAGAATGTAAAGAGCAACGTCTTCGTCTGCAAGCTGATGCGGGATGATTGGCGTGCGGGGCGTAATGTTGATGTGTGTGCAAAAAGGTAACTACTAATTACCGCGCCGACAAATCCCGGCAATCAGCGGCGGCAGAAGCGGGACCGGCGTTTCACGCGCGCGTGCCAAGGCGCGCTAACACCGACCGGAAACGGCCTGCGCGCTGTATACGTATATGTATCTACTGTATATATGCAGAAAGCGGCTTTGTCATTGTCAGCTCTAGTAGATGATACAGCCTGGATGCCGGGTCACACAACAAGTGCCATTTGACATGAGGGCTTATTATCGGCCTTCCCTTTGAAACTGAAATCAATCCCGGCAAAACAAGCTGTGCCTGCGTGTGCAGCGGTAGATGCAGTACTCGTATAGAGAATATAACACAGCTGCAAACGAAGTGGATCCTCGTCAAGTGCCCAATAACCTGCGGAGTCGTTGGGCCAGGAGTGATCCACTCTACGTGTACATGTACGTGTACACAATCCATTATGACACTGCACATAACACAGCATAACGGGCAACTTGTCAGAGGAGCGATAAACAAATCTCTGCCCGCTCTGCCTATCTGTCTCTAACCCGGCGCGAATGCAAATGCCAAATGGATGAGCGCGCTAATTGTCGCCCGGGGAGGCCCTCGCACATCATCTCATAACTCACTTCCCCGCTCTCCACCACCACTAAACCAACATCCCTCTACTTCATCCCACTTAGCTTAACTTTCCCCGACCGCGATCGCCATGTCGCCGCAAGAACATGTTCAGCTGCAACGCAATTCCATCCGCTACGTGTGTCACCGTTGAAAACGCTCCACCTTGCACTTGAGAGATGGGAGAAGTGGTCTGCGGTTACGAATGCAGATACCGGCACAGGTATCGATAGTGACCTTTTCCCTTCTCCTACATCTTTTTTAATAAACACCCGGCAACTCGCAACTACATGCGTCATACCTTTTAATCAACTACCTTCTTATACGCAAAACTGGGATAATGTAAACAGGCTGTCTCTTACTGTACCAGCAAAACTATTTTTGACTGTATAAACAGAAGGCCGCACCGGCAATGAAAACCGAGAAATTCCTGGTTGCTTATGTAAACAGTCATTAATAATTATTGCTTCTATTTGTCATCAAGCAACAGATACTGTATTTATTCAGCGGAATCTCGGCACTTACCTTAATGTTTTCAGAATATAGAGGTGCACGCTGGCTACTTCAAGTATTAAGCACGCATTTCAGAATGACCGCATAACATATCGGCATGAACGCTCCGGCGCCGCACAATGGGCGCTCCAAATCGCATTACATATTGTCGGGGTTTTTTAAAGAGAATGCAATCCCGGGAGACGCGGAAATAATCCACGGCATTATGCCGGTTGGTCGACGACGCTCAAAAGTCGGAAAAATAACTAGTTGGCAATTGCAGCGGGACAGTGGAACTGCAAGTGGAAGGATGCGCAGTGAGTGGCGTATTTTGTAGACAAACGGGGATTTGTGTTATTAATGCCGATTAAGGACTGTTGTCGCTCGCTAGTACGCACTGGCGCTGCACTTGAATATATAAGTTGTACGGGAGGCAGTGGAGCGCGGAGAAACGTCGATAACGACAATGCGGCGTAAGCGCTGCTCTGCGCCGGTATATGTGCGGATGAGCAGTTTGGCGGAAGAGATACAAAGGATTTTCTAATTGGATAACGGCGTCGTTAGCTGTACATGCACTGGCAGCGATGCAGTCAAAGTTGGCTGCGACCAGCGCAATTATGGCCGTGCTCCCTCAAAAGACGTACACACGGTTAGATGTAACATAACTCTACAGAAACAGCCGGAAAATGTGTGTCAGAACAGCCATTAAGAGGCGCACGCACGGCGCAAGCACGTACTCTACTAATGCAGCAGCATGCAAATGGAGGCGAAGAAAGAAACAGAAGAGAGCGGTCAACGCCGACCGATGACATGTACAGGCGTTGTCGTGCGGGAACGTTAAGGCACGGGCCCGCTGTGCCGGAGCAGCGTTGCTGGCGTGCCGGCTTGACGGGGCTGTAAATCAGTTTCACGAGTGAAAGGCCGTGAAAAAGACGGGGCGTGTGCCGGCTGGAGCCGTGGAGCGGCACAATGCCCGGCTAATGCGCCCATCCATCGCCCATTCGGCAGCGGTCGCGGCTGAATGCGCGTGCCGGCATGTGTATGCCGTAGCGGCATATACACTTGTATACGTACAGTCATCAGCCAACGTCCCGGCCCGGCCGCCTGCCGGGCTGTTCTGTCCTGTTCTCTTGCTCCCTGCCCGCTCCTTCATTTGGCAATCATTCACGGCATTGTCATCGCTCGCGCAACGGAAGCGATCACGAAGGCCGGTGCCAGCGCTAGCGAAGCAAAGCAGGCAGTTCAGCGACCGCCCCGCCGATCGCGGCGATGATTAGGGCAGGTCGGTGGACGACTGCTTGCCTGTACGGCGCTGAGAGCGAGAGGGCGGGAGCTGCCAGCGCTGACGTCGCCGATTAAGCAGCGCTAATTAGGCGCTGACAGCTTCATTCCGCGCCGGTCGCGACCGGCGCAGCTGGGCGGAATAATCAGACTACGCTGCGTCTCACTCGCGGCCGCTGGGCTCGATCATTCGGCGCCGGCAATTACTTCCGCTCCTGCTTCTTACACTTATTTCAGGACACCGGCTTCCACTGATCACCTGACTCGCTGATTGACTAACGATCTCCCGCCACGCTCACTTTCCTCTTTTTTTATTACACCGAATTCAACCAACGCATACGCCGTTGGCCAGTGTGTTCCTTCGTTAAAACAAATAACAAACCCATTTCTAACGCACCCCAATAAAAGCAACGGTAACAAGTAACAAAATTCAGAGAATAACTGCGTGAGCAATCCGACGCTGCTGACCTTTGGCAAATCCGCAGATCCGGCTACAAATCACTGCGCAGAACGCACCGGGATCCGCTCCGTCGCCGGCAGCCGCGCAATTAGCGGCGCATCCGGTCAGTAAGCCGATTGAGTGGATGACAGGAAGGTAGGGCGGACGGATAATCCGCTTTACTCTCATCCCTGCGCGATCGTCAACCGGCCTGGCTTTTCCATCACGAACATCCGCTAACTGCCGGGCTGTGTGGCAGCGGAGCTAAGCGGGGCTTTGTCGAGGACGGCGGCGATGGCGTCCAAGTGCTGCGCCGAGCCCCACGTCGTGCTGAAGGCCTGCGTCTCCAGCTCGTAGGCCTCCAGCAGGCGCGATGAATCCACGCGCGACAGCAGCGTCTTGTAGGCGCGCACCACCGGCGCCGGCACTTTCAGGATGTTGTCCGCCAGCCACAACCGGCTCATGTCCACCGCTGCCAACAGAGCCAACACAATTTCCCTTGTCGAACGATGTTGCCAGTAAAAATAAAGCGTACCTTCGGCGTTGTTGAAGATCAGTTGCGCGAAGCCGGTGCCGCGGGCCAGCGAGTGCGGAATGGGCTCGGAGGATAGGAGATAAGCCAGGGCGACGTGCGGGCCGACAATCTTGGCTAGTCGCGAAGCACCTAAGCAAAATAATTACAGTTCATTTCCCGCTATTTCTTTTTTTTTATTCTTCTTTTATTAATTTATTTCCCGATTCCCGCTATCAGTTAATGTATTTTTTATTTATTATTTGTTATTTAAAAAATCATTAAAAAGAAATAAATGCGGACGCACCGCCCCAGCCCGTGGTGATGCCGAGTTTGGCCTGGACGAAGCGGACGTCGCTGGACTTGGTGAGCATGCGGTAGTCGCAGGCGGTGCACAGCTCGGCGCCGCCGCCGTGCGCCGCCCCGCGCAGCACGGCCAGCGACACCACCGGCAGGTTGGATAAACGGTGCAGCGTGTGCTGCATGAAATAGGACATTTGCGCGCCCAGCTCCGGCGTGGCGATGCGCCGCACAAAGTGCAGGTCGCCGCCCGAGCAGAAGCAGTCGCGCTCGCCGTACAGCATCAGCGCTTTCCCCGTCTTCCACGACTCCAGTTCCGTCACGATCCGCTCCAGCTCTAGCATCATTTTGCCTGTAAAATCAAGCACACTTCAAAAATGAATTTATTAATTTTGATGCTAACAAGAACGCAATATTTGCAACTAGAAGACACAGTTTCAAAGTACAACGCCGTGTCTACAAACCAACCGCCCACTTTCCGCAAGTAATCGCCCGGTCTACACTTCTACCGCCCCAGGCTACGGCACAGACTGCAGCCAGCCTGAACGGAGCACGTCAGCGTTGCATTTTCTGCTAAACTGTCAAATTCAACGTCTCGCATTCTAGTCTCTGTGACATCCAAGTACGGAATATTACGGAGAGGTTAAAGTGAAGTAGTGAGCAGACAGCCACAGCAGTACAGAGGAATCCAAGACTCACCCGAGAGTGCATTGCGCTTGGTGTAGTTGTTGATTTTGATCTCGGCCAGCGAGTCGTCGCAGCTGAACGACAAGTCCAGGGAGCCCTCCCCGCCGTCCTCGCGGCAGATGCGCAGAAAGTCCCCGCAGCGCTTCTGCAGCTCCGCCGAGTCCATGCACAGTTTGGGCAGCGCGGCGGCCGGTGGCGAGCTGGAGACGGCGCGCAAGGGGAACGGGACGCCGCTTCTCGCAGCTGCTGTGGACCGACACATGCTGCTCCACGGAAACATTACTCACACAACACGGGCGCTAACCAAAAAACAACTTCAGCTAGCCAAAACAGTACTCGTTCTCGTGATTAACTCAATTTAACTGGAACAAGAAAATTCTACAACTCGTAAACGGTAAACACTTTCAAAAACTCATAAACACAAGGTGACATGTTATCAAACTGACTGGAAACAGTGGAAAGAGTACTTAACTGCACAGCGTGCACGCCTCTGGTAGCCTTCTCTGGGTGGTTGCCCGAGCGGCGCGTTTGTGAGCGGCAGTAAAGCACTTCCGGTTCTTATTATTCTTATCAAAATTATAATACATATTGATATTGATCGTTGTTCTTTTGTCCCACTACCTTCCATGGCTAGCTTTGTGAAATATTTGGTGCTCTGGGCACGTCTGTTAATTTTTGATGGAGAAGGGCAGAAAGTTTCACGTTAGATTTAGAACTGGAAAAAGCCGCTTGAATTGTTGCCTTTTTCGGAGATGTGTTGCAAAGCTCAGTTGATCCTTTACATGTCAACGATAACGCATTCTTCGTCCAGGTTCAGATGATAATTGTCAAGCAGGGTGTAGTTATTGTGGAATTTGCTGAACAAAAATTTGTTACTCTAGAGAAACGCGAAACTTCCGTTTTCACAAGAAGGGAAATTTGAAAGTACTTAATATTATACCTTGCTGCTGTTGTAACTGTTGTTGAAAGTATTTATGGCCGGCTGCAGGCACGAATTTTGATATTGTAACCGCACAACCAGTGCCCGTATTGCACTGTGTAATATTAACAGCAACATTCGAGATTGGAGATGTTTAATAACCTTTCAGGATCCATTTATGTAAATATCAGAGGATGTATACTCGTACTCGTACTGTGCCTAACAATCAATGTAGGTACAGTATTGTGCATGTACTAATCATGTACATGTATTGTACTCGGTGCTCCTGCGACAACTTCCGGTTGAATGCATTGCGATGCCTCTAACCAGCTAAACGCGCCAAAACATCCAAGAATAAATAATCATCGATAATAATTTTTGTTTTCTCGATGACAAAGAGGCGTATTGGTAGTTTTGGTGCAACTGTACGAGTATAATTATAAAGTATTCGAGCGCGTATTGGCACGTGGCACTGTCAATGTACTTAATTGAGTGCAGCCTGCAAACAACTCGGCCGTGATACGAATTTCGAGGAGCATGCATCACAGGCACAGGCGTCACTTGTACAATACTATAACAAGAGGTCAGAGCACGGCAGTGCAAGTCTCGATACAGCAAGAGGTGCGCTGGAAACGTCTTAATTACTCTGTGGAGTATTACGAGCCCTTAATCTGCGGTCGGCGCCGGTGGGCCTCATCGAGGATGGAGGTGAGCAGTTCGGCGAAGCCGGTGTCCATGCGGGTGGCGTTGGTGCGGTTGTACTGGCAGTCGTGGAAGAGGGAGTGGAAGGCCGGCTTGCGGCGCCAGTCGACGCTGCGGTCCTGGCCCCGGATGAAGCGCAGCACCGTCTCCGGGCCCGGGTTGTTGATGATCTCGTCGTCCACGTACACTGTCCGGTTGTAGACGGCGCTACTGTGGTGAATATTCCACGGCACCATTCCCGAATTGTACACCTGCCAGGAAATGGTATTTATGTAGAACCGGGATACACGTTTTCCCTGTCTCTTCATATGTTCATTTTCTACCGACTACCTGACTCTTCATAAAAATGTATATGTAGAAATCAACACGCACCCATTCCTTAGCGCGGTAGTCGTTGCGGTAGGACTGCAGAATGTCGGCGATGTAGGCGGCGCCGCGGTGGCAAGCGATGAAGCCGTGGTTCATTTTCTTCATAAAGGTCTCTTCCTTCGACACCAGGCAGTCGTAGCCACGGCCCAGAAGCCCCAGGACACCTGTGATCAGCGGTTAGATGTTAGATGGAGTGAATAGTAACTACCGGCCTAATAAAGTCTGGCTTTTAATTGTCTTACTTATATATATAATACATCTTCGGTATTTATAGGTAAAAGTTTTATATATAGTGCCCTCGTGAATACCTTCGTATATTTATTGCCTTGCTTATATACATCTTCGGTATATGTATATAAATATATATATATTTATATATAGTGACCTCATAAATATCTTTCGTATATTTCGCATACCTATCTTATATATATGTCATAATTTTATATGTATACATATGTCATATATATGCGCGGTATCTCTCAGTGCCCCTTACTGGTTATATTGGGCAGGAAGAAGACGTCAAAGTCGGAGGTGATCCCGCCGTACTTGTGCAGCGTGACCAGCTTGGCGACGTCGGCTTCGTGCGCGATGAACTTGTCGGTGGAGTTGAGGCGCTTGCCGTTGACGACGAAGCGGCGCCGCCTGTAGACCAGTTTGACGCTGCTCCAGTCGTCGATGAGGCCGTCGCAGGAGTCGAAGGGCCAGAAGTCGGGGTGGTTGGTGTGGACGTAGATGGCGGGCGGTCGTATATACAGCATGATGGACAACAGACTGACGCACTCCAGCCAGCACAGGTTGTCGTCGGGCCGGACGGGGCTCTTCTTGTAGAAGCGCACCAAGTGCACGGGGAAGCTGTTGGCCGTCGCCGGCAGCACGACGTCGTCGATGTTGTTGGGCAGGATGTCGGTGTAGCCGGCGCCGCCGGGCGGGGCGCTGGCGGCCGGCGGGGGCGTCGGCTCGGAGGGGGGTCCGGACAGGGGCACGCGGTCGAAGGGGCCGTTGAAGTTGACGCTGAGGAGGAAGAAGACCAGCAGCGCCACCAACAGCAGGGACGTCAACGCGCTCACCGAGAGCGCCATCACAGGCGAATGGCGGTCCTAACTTCACTTTAATCGCTTACGCATCTCCAACTCAAACGAGTATATACCTGTCGACCGCCCACGAATCGCGCTTAAAATGTCAATTTTAACGGGCGAATATAATTAATCAAAATTTCCCAAGGTGAAAGTGAAATTAACGGCATATATAACAGGCAGATTACACTGTATCCGTCGCAGTTAGTGAAGGAATTCAGTGTCACTAAATTCCCAGCCAAAACGTTTAGACAAGGTAATCATGTATCGTGCTAAAGTAGGTCATTTAGTTAGGGACAACAGAGAAAGAATAATCTGGATGAGGTGTGAAAGACTGGATATATAATGTCACAATGCAAGTCAGGGTGTATCTAAATAACTAATCTGGCATTCCAGATATATGTACTACGGTAGGATAGCGCATTCTTTAGTCTGCATATATGAAATTGGACAGCAGCAAGCGAGACAGCTGCGGCTGTTGGTCAGCGAGTGAAGCTAACCACGCCGAGATGCTCTCTATTCTCGGGGCCTTCTGGGCGTCAGATTGCATATGGTATATATCTGTATGTACTGCAGCTGGCCACTCTCTGCACACGTGCGCATCAAGGACAAGTTATTAAACGTTATTGTTATTAGCGCATTCTTGCCTGGCCATGCTGTTAGTTGTTAGCGTTGGCTATTCACGGCGTTTCGCGTTAGCCAAAATTTCCCCGGTTGATACTTGCAATATATGTATCGACGGCAGCAATGTTTCCCTAGCATTGCCTCAGGCAACCACTGGCCAGACTGGTCACTGACCACTGCGTTACTGTACATATAGCCGACTACAACTGAGCATATATAGGTAGCCGTCGTGTCTGCTGGTAAATTTTGGACATCTTAGAATAAAATCAATTTTATTCGTTTGTACATGTCATGCTACAAAGAACGTTAACAGTGTCATACAAATTAATGATGAGAATCAATAATTATTGAAGTCTGTACGATACCTGAATTACAGATATGGCTACTGCGTTAATTGTACAGATACAGCTGCGAGTATGAGCTGCCTAATCGCATTTTTCCTTTTTTCGGCTGCACTCCTCATGATCAGTTAAAGTGCCCAGTTTCATGGTTTACTCTTTTGGAAAATATTGTCATTGGGACTGAAGTGGTAACCAAGCATACAAGTATACCAATCACATAATCGGTGTTGTCTACGTAGTGGGGAATAAAATGCACAAAATTCACCCAGAATTCGTCGCCGACCGGAAGTGCAATTCACTGGCCAGACAAAAATCGATATCATTCACGTAACCGCAGCCCCTAGTTGGCTGCCTTGACAGTTGACACTTGCCGTGCCACTGCGAATTTCCAACGATACACACTGGGCAGATGTGTGCGTCAGTGTGACGGTGGTTATTTCTATGATCTAATTGCACAAGTTTCCACATCTCACATCTGACATCGCTCTCGATTTTGATAGTAAAGTGTATGATAATTATTATCGCGATAGTTGGGTGCGATGGCCGAGAGCCAGGATGACGAGGAGGACTACTATTACGACGGTTTCGAGGAGGACTCGCTGGACAGCAGCTGCAACGACGTGGAGCGCGTCGCCACTGATAATGCGACGTCGCTGGTGATATCTGCCTCTCAATCAGCGTCGGGGGATGGCGCCGCGGACCCCGAGTTCTTTGAGTACGTGTGCCTGACGGAGAAGGAGCTGCAGGAGGTGCTGGAGCGCTGCGTGCAGCGCCTCTGTGATCGCTTGGCTGTGACGCGCGGCAGCGCCAAGTACTTGTTGATCGCCAGCAGCTGGAACGACGATCTGGCCGTCAGCAAGTAAGCTCACTAAATCTAAACGCCCCATCCTCGTCCACCATATGTTTTCGTGGCTAGAATTGCTCAGAATTATTCTTCTATTATTCTTATAATTCCCTGCCGTGATTTCGTATGAATCTGTGCAAACGGCAGTTGATGCTCTGTGCTGTACATCCACGAGAAGAAACTCATCATGTTTGGCTTTTTTAGCATTTTAATTTCTCTTGGCAGCTACAACGCCAGCCTCTCAACGAACAACTCTTCCGACCTGCCCCGGAGAGAGAGAAAGGCAAGTGTGGTAATTTGTAGGGAAGAAAAGCGAAGAAAAGAAAGGAGAAAATTAGATTGATTGCATGACGATAATGATACGATAACAATAATTATGGAAGGAAAATGTCTGCTGAATTGGACAGACTTCGTTATCTTCGTCGGATCCGGCGGTGTGCTGCGTGTGCCTGATGCGCAGTGGCGCGCTGGAGCTGGAGCCGTTCCTGTGTGGGCACACCTTCTGCGCTGACTGCTGGAACGCCTACTTCGAGGCGCAGGTCGCCGAGGGCAAGGGCTACAGTAAGGCAATTAATTTGGCAATTTATTTAGCAGTTAAGAAGGAAAAGGAGCCTCGTCCGTTTGGATCAGCGACCCGGTAATTATTACTGACGGACGAATTATTATTTGTCGTTGCAGACATCCTGTGCATGGAGACGGACTGCGCGGCGGTGATCACGGAGGACTTCGTGCACGGCCACCTGCGCAGCGCCGCCACGCGCCTCAAGTACCGCAAGCAGTACACGCGCGACTGCATCGACGTAACTAGTCTCTTTTCCAATTAAATTGCCGTCTGGTTACTCTGTCTGTCGCCTTGCAGAGCCACCCGCAGATGCGGCACTGCCCCAGCTACGGCTGCTCCTCCGTCTTCTTCGCCGCGGCCCCCGACAGCAAGCGCGTCGTCTGTCCGCACTGCCGCGCCACCTTCTGGTCAGTGCTTCTGTATCCTTCTCTAACTGGTGGAGGCCTGCCAGTAAGGTCCTGTCCTTTGCAGCTTTGCCTGCGGATCCGAGTACCACCTGCCCTGCGACTGCCGCACCATCCGGCAGTGGTGGAAGAAGGCCATGGAGGACTCGGAGACCATGTCCTACATGTCCTCCTTCACCAAAGACGTCAGTATTAAATGACTGCTGAATTGATTGGCTTTGGCAGGTAAATCGTACTGTATATCTCATATAGTGTCCCCAGTGCGACTCCAGCATCGAGAAGAGCGGCGGCTGCAACCACATGATCTGCCGCATGTGCGCCTACGAGTTCTGCTGGGTCTGTCTCGGAGGTGGGTGCATTTGACCATCGTTTCCGCTTGCAATTGGCAGTTAATCGTCTTTGCCACTGCAGCGTGGAAGGAGCACGGGAACGCCTACTACGAGTGCAACAAGTTCTCCGCCAAGAAGATCCAGACGGCCGTCGCCGCCGGCAGCAGCAGTCCGGCGGTGGCCGGCATGAAGAACGAGGCCGTGGGACGGGCGTCCAGCGGGCGCATGGCGCTCAACAAGTACCTCTTCTACTTCACAAGGGTACTTCTCCTTGATCAACTGTCTGGACCGTTTTGTTCATCCCCCGTGATTGTTATAATCTTGCAGTACAAGAACCACGAGCAGTCGCTGCACCTGGAAGAGAACCTCATGGGCAAGATCGACCAGCGCGTGGAGAAGAAGGTGCAGAACCGCGAGGGCTCCCTCATCGACTGGCAGTGCCTCATCGAGGCCGGCCGCCTCCTCCTCAAGGTGGGTCTGAAGGCGCTCCCTTCTCATAACCACCGTCCAAGTGATTGTTTATGTCGCTTCCCGCAGTGTCGCCGCACCCTGCAGTACACCTACGCCTTCGCCTACTACCTCCAGGACGGCCCGGACCGCATGCTGGTCCGTTGAATTGTCATATACTCTTTGAGCATCAGTTAATTGAGTTAATGTCCCCAGTTTGAGCACCTGCAAGCGGACCTGGAGTCGACCATCGAGAACCTCTCCTTCAGCGTGGAGCGCGTCGACAAGCTGGACCTGGCGGCGCTGCAGGCGCAGATGCGCTCCGCCGAGTTCCGTCGTCGCGCGCTCTTCCGCGACGCCGCCAAACTCACCGTCAGCCCCACGCCCAACTGAATCTGCCCTGTCTGTCGCCGGCACTCCCGCCGGCCAACCACACACGAGGCCTTCGTTTGATATGTTTTTTAGTCTTTTGCTTTTATCCGTGTTTCTGTTTCTCTATCAACGACCGCTTTGCGCCGTTTCTAAGGCATAGAGCTTATTTAATAATAAAGAAATAGATTAATGTGGGAAATACTGTCAGTTGAAAAGTTGTTAATTTATTACCTGTTCTGCTTAATTAAAATGTTAACGCGAATAAGCATCGCGCAGTAAACAGTGCTTGCGCTGCACGTGCGCCAGCGTGCTGCGGCGGGAAAAATCTGCCTGGCGCTGTGAACAAACATTTTCGCGTAAATTATGGAAAATGCCGGCAACACCATCAGACGGCGCCTGCAGCGAAAACGTTGCGTTTTGCTGGTGCATTACAGCATTTAGAAGGCTTGCAGGTGACGCGGTCACGTTAGCTTAATTCCGCACCGAACTCAGCAATTCAATTGCACTTTCTCCAAAGATAGGATTACTTTTAGAGTGGACATTTTGCTGTTTACTACTTACTTCGGGGATTTAATTTGATTTGCATCGCTTCCATTGGGAATTAGAATGCCGGTATCGAACGGTGACTTCCGGTGTGGAGTGTTGATCGCATTCTTGGTGGCGCTGCAGTCCAGCGTGATCCTCAGCCGGGAGTTGTTCCGCGACGACTTCGACACTTTCTGGCCGGACATGCAGAAGTGGTCGACGGTGGAGCGGCCGTCGCCCACTCCTGCTACGCCCTCCTACGCCAGCCGCAACGTCTACACCGGACGCAGCCTGCTCAACCTGGCGGTGCAGCGCGGCTACGCCGGCGCGCAGTGGACGTCGGCGCGCATCCACACCAGCGGCAAGTTCGCCTTCAAATACGGCCAGCTGGAGGTGCGGGCGCGCCTGCCGGCCGGCTCCGTCCTGGCCAACATCTGGCTGGCGCCCTACTCCTGCGCCGTCAAGGACTGCGCCGACTTCTTCCCGCCGACCATCGCGCTGCTGCACTTCCGCGGCCAGCAGCCCACGGGCGGCAACTCCACGCTGTACTTCCGGCGCACGCCGGCCAGCGCCTCCATGCTCATCTTCAAGCACTTCGCCGTCAACGCCAGCTTGAGCGACGGCTTCCACACCTTCAAGCTGGACTGGTTCCCCGAGCGCCTGGTGTGGGCGGTGGACGGGCAGGCCTACTTCCATATATATGACAAGACCGTCATCCCCAGCGTGCCCATGTACCTCGTCATGAACGCCGTCGCCGTGGCCGACGCGACCTTTAACGGCTACCTCAGTCCCATGCAGGTCGACTACGTCGTCGTGCGCGACACGCCCGTGTCCGCCGCGCGGGCAACCTCCCCACTTCCGGTGGGGATCCTGGTTCTGGTGACCTTTGGCTGCGTCTGGCTCCGGTGAGCAGTTTCCCACGGAATCCCTGCGTGGGAATCGGACATGGAAGCGGCAGTGCTGCTGGGAGATTTGCGGCAATTTCCATGCTTATTTCTTCTCCGCGTCAGTATTATTCAAGCACGTGTTAGCGGTGTTTCCCAAGAAAAGTCTTTCCGTGTGATTGTTCGTGTGTTGTTTACCGGCGGATGCCCGCGAGCCTTTTTACGGTTACGAGTATGTCAACTAGACGCGCTTTGTTTTCTAAGCATGCGGCTGATTTCTTTTGCTTGCGGCCATCGACAGATACATAATTTGCGCATCCACAACGAAAAACAATAAATTTGATATCTACAGGTAAATTAACTGGATTTACAGTAAATTTATTACAAAAGTGACTGAATTATATTATACATTAACATACTGTTCGTACACAGTATTACAAGAAATTACTGTATAAAAAAATTACAGCTGTTTAAAATAATCATGTCTTTAGCTTTATGCAACATACTCGTTGCTTAAGTACAAGTTGTTCGTATTGTTCTTGTACTCGTACCGACCGCAGCATAACACGTGCTCGTGCATTGCTCTTGTGGAATGTTCGTTGTGCATCTCAGTATTAACTCTGCATCCAAGAAACTGACATTCGTTTATAAACGAACAAGAAAACCCGCACAAAAACCGGACACATGAACAAATCAATAAATTTTCTTCACGACTGAAAACGCGCACTGGTACATAAGCGTTACATAAATCGACGAAGCCGAATAGAAATCTGTAGAAAACCTTATCAACATTGCAACACATATTCCGCTCAATGGCGCTCTACAAGAATTACTAATTTGTACGTAATACATGATTGTACAGGCGGCAATATTATGAGCCAGCGACAAAACAGCCACAGACAACCAGTTAACAGGCAATCGAAAGGTCACAACGGCACTAACGTTTTCATGCCGCAGTAGTATAACGAGCAGATCAAGGAAGGAAATGCAATAGAATCGTTTGGCGGCCTTAACCGGGAAGGTCAACTAGGGAACGTTCATCCGGGTGACGACTAGCCAGCTTCCGGTCCGGAAGCGCTACCGGCAAGAGAGCAATCCAAACCGGCACTTGGGCATTATTAAGTGGGCAGGAGTTGTCGCAATGACTGCAGCGCCTCGTCTGTGTTGGCGCGCAGCTGTTGCCGGCGTTGGCGGAAGTGGGCGAGGGTGCGGCGGCGGCGACGCAGCTCCTCGTCGTTGTCGAAGGCCGCGCCGAGTCGGCGGCCCCACACACCGACGACGAAGGACTCGATCTGCGCCTCGTTCTCGCCACGCACGATGCGGAAAGTGCCCTCCTCGCCCCAGCCGGTGCCCCACGAGTTGGCGCAGATCTGCATTATTAACGTAACGGCAAAAATTAATTGCAGCTAATTTATTAAGGAGCCGCGCCTTAGTAGTACTTACCCAGTATTTGAGGGGCTGGTCGTGGGCGTGGTCTATGCCCCAGCCGATGATGCGCACCGAGTGGTAGGCCAGCGGGTTCAGGTAGTTCACGAAGCGGACGTCCTCGCGCAGGTCGCTGGAAGTCCGGTAGACGCCGCTGCGGTACATGAACAGGTCCGGGTACACGTGGAACACCGCCTGCACCGGCCCGTTCGTCATGATTTCGTACTGGATTTCGCTTTCCTGTCGGGAACGAAAAAAGAGTGACCGCCATGCGATACGCTCGTCTTATATATATTCATACCGTGACCTTTTCCTTAATAACTGTCAGTGTGCCTATGTCTGTTTTCTTATATAATAAAATAACAACTCATTTAATCAATTTATTATCATTATGTTATTGTAGTAGTAGTCTTTGAATAATAAATAGGGGGTTTGTTTATTTTATTCTAGTTACCACTTAAGTGTTATTTAATTAGTGACCACTGACCCTGGGGGCGATTCTGTAGGGCGGCGTGGTCTCATATAAACGCCGCTCGTTGGAAGCCGGGTCGGGGCACTCGAGCACGCCGGCCAGGTCCATGACGGTCTGCACGGGACAGCGGCGGGACGTGTCGGAGGCGCCTTCGAAGGGGAAGCACTCCTCCGCCACCACCCTGCAGCGCCACATTTATATAACCTCAGCGTCAGACAGTGCACAACTGATATTACCCTCTTTTGCGGAGATACCACCAGGCGCGGTCGACGAAACCGCCGCTACAGCCCTTCTGTCCGTTGGAGTTGCAGGAAATCAGCTGCTGCACCGACAAACTTAGATTGCGCGCGCCTTTGGTCATGATGGCGATGCGGTCGGCCGCCAACGCTATAACAATGCAAAGGTCACAACGTATATGTACATGGCCACGTATATTTACATACATGTATATGTACATCAGTACATGTGTATTGCATGTATATCGCAAAGGTCACTTATATGTACATGTATATATAATATGTCTACATGTACATATTAGTGTACGTATATATGTGTGTACAAAATTTATATTGTACACACATATACGTATACACTACATATATACGCCAGTGTATTAATGTTAGTATATTTGCGCGCCCACAGCAGCATTATAAAGAACAGCGTCCAGTTGGAAAAGAGAGCCGTACCGGTGGTAGAGAAGGCCCAGGAGGCGGCGCAGTTGCCCTGGTCGCGGATGTCGTGGATGAGGCCGGGCCAGTGCTGGCGCGCGTCGAAGCTGTCGGGCACGGGCGTGCGCGGGTCCGTGCGCATCTCCGTCATGCGCGAGACGTCCTCCTCGGGGCGGAAGGTGCCCAGTCGGAAGCGGTAGCCCTCGTCCAGCGTCAGGCCCCACAGGAACGAGTAGTTGGCCGCCGTCCATCTGCCGGACCACATTAACGTTAATATTTGGATACAGATATTAGTATATGTCACTGGCCACTCATTCTTCATTATTACTTCACGAATGTTACAACAGCGACGACTGTGACTCGTGGCTGGCATGTCATCATATATCATCCTCGATGAATGCCCGTAATGCTAACATAACAAGCCGCAATCTGGCCGCGCCGCCAGCTGATCCATTCTCACTCTCTGGAGCGTACAACGTATGATATCCTATTACAGTACTGTATGTGGATGGGATGCCAGATCGGGAAGTGGAATATTTGTCGGCTGCACCTGCCGGTTACCACTGCTTGACACCACGTATATATGTATATATATATTGCGCTTGTGCTTAAAATTAGCTATATAACACCGGTATATGTCAGGCATCATACAGTCGCAAAACAAATTTGAAATTAATTAGGACGCTAAGAAGAAAACTTTGAATACGAGTATTATATGGAGAAAATGTTTATTGTGATTCACAGCTAAAAACAGCACTGACGCCGACTGACCTTTAGCAAACAACCTACTGTACAATATACCGGGTCAGGCCAAACAGCATCCTGCGTACTGTACGTACCTGTAGTATTCAGGGTAGCTGTTGACCTTGTGAATGAGGTCCTCCTGGATCAGACACACGCTGTCCTCGCACTGGAACTCCAACACCTCGCCGTGATCGCTGGCCAGCGGCCGACAAACGCTGCGCAATGACACTTCTTTCAGTTTGTTAGCTTGATTACATATTATTTGGTAACAAAAGAAACGACAACACGTCAGATAAAATAATAAATATTCTAGTACCTGTCTGTATACAGGATTTAGCATGTACTTTCTAAAAAAGTTACAAGTACGAGTACTTTTATGGAATCGAGATATGCAGCATATCTTATTTCTGACATTGTGCTTACACAAGTAAGCACAATGTCAGAAATAAGATATCTATATACACAAGTAAGTGTATAGGTACAATACAATTGTATACAGAATCATTATAATACGTCTAAAGAGCTATGTACTGCAACTAAACTGAGCGATAATTCTTCGGAATGTGGTGGAACATTTTTTATTTACAATCCCTGCGATAGTATCTAAAGACACAACGCTTTATCCAAGTACAACGATGCATACCTCTATGCGAAGAGGTTGAAGAATTAATAACCTGATTTAATTAATATTACGCATATTGCATAGTTCGTACTACGTACCAAACGCGGCAGTTCCGTCGTATGTGATCACCCACATCGTGAAAGTAATCGCCGTCCCAGCAGCCTGCAACATCATTACAATACACGCTTAAACATCATTACATCCCTTAATTAACAAATACATATACTTATTACACTGACATCGCGGTTACTTATTGTTAGCAGTAACCTTGCGTCTTCGAAAGACTACGTATATACCGTAGATCAGCGTCAAAATGGACCTTAGCGTACCTTAGCGTAGTGTACCGTACAGAGTACATGTTCACGACATGGCTTGTGTTATCATTATTAATTTTCATCGCAGTTATTCTGCGCAGTTTCAGTAGGTGTCCAATGATTTAATTTGTAGATCTGCCAGCGAAATGTATGTGTCTCTAACAGCACGATGCATTGTTGCAGGTATATATGAATCTGTATATAATGGTCTTGTTGACCTTTGGATAAAGGGCATGTATGTAGTCATGTAAATATTGATAAAGGACAGCAGATGATGCCGGACAGGAGACACGAGGGTAGCTACTACAGCACAGCAAATGAATGGACGCCGGTCGGTAAAATGCCCGCCGATCCCCAGCTGTAGCGATGATCGCCGATCGGGAGCGCTAAATGCTCGGAAAGTGCGCAATGACTGTGCTGCTGCTGCTGCTTGACTGGTCAGCCGCGGCGCTGGCCGGCCATGAATCATAAATCACGCCGCTGATTCCCTGATTACCGTATTGCCCATGTATCCGTATAAGAGAACATAACTAACATTACGCTTCCCTGACCACAACTGCCACCATAATGCTTGACAGTTACTGCCGCTTATGTATTTCTATGTGCAGCCATCGACAAGTACCCGTAAAGAGCATAATTGATCACTAAATCTCACCCGGCCATTAATCATGCAAGCAGCATTCAACCGCCCCGTAAAACTAAAACACAACGCCAGCTTGCCACTAACTTACGATTACGGCGTCCCTTGCAACGAGCCAGCGCAGCGGTCGTTTATCCAGCACCGCGCTCGCATTTCCTGTGCTCTGTTTTAATTTATTTCGATTCACGCCTTTTTGTTGTACCCTTTTGCAGCGTTCGATTACAGGTTCTAATAGCAAAGTCTAATTAGTCTTATCAGAAAGCGCTAGACAGGTGTAAAGTAAATTTCGTTAACCCGCGATGCGCAAGACATATAAGCACATGTAATACTGGTGCACGAATGGTGAAGTCTAGTCGGAATGCCGGATCCGAATTCCGGGGCAGATAAGCCCAAAATATTTGAAAACTGCTCTCAAACTTATCGCGGCACACAATGAGCAAACTAAATATTGTCGTGTCGACGAGCGATATTGATTTAAGGACGCTCTATTTTGATAAAATAAAATATGACGATACAGTATGCTTCCCACTCTAAAGAGACCAGTGCGATTTTGATGGCCCAAATTTTACAGATATGTATAAGCACAATATAAAATTAATAATTAATACTATAACACTCTGCATAAGCTAGCAATCTTATGCAGGTTTTGTATGAAAGTAATGAAATGGGTTTATATACGGCACGAATATAAAATACCTACTCGAAATCGGCTGCAATTACAGCGTAACTAACCAAATCCTCCCGTTAACTGAACGTCGGTTTTTTATGTTTTATTGGGAAAGCGCGGCGGGTGTAAAAGAGCCAGTAAAATAGGTGTAATTAAGACTCTTCAGTGTACGTACCTTGCACCTGCGGGAGGGCCTGCGTGACGTTGGGGGGCGGGTCGGGGGCGGGGTGGTGGCCGCGGCAGTGCGTGTAGAAGTCGGGGCAGCAGTCGGGGATGTTGTCGGCGTCGCGGCGGTCGCAGAAGTCGTCGCAGTAGCACTTGGTGTGGCCCTGCGCCGTGTACACGTCCACCGCGCACTCGTCCTGTCGCTGCGGACAGCAGCCGGCGCCCGCCACCACCAGCCGCGAGCAGTAATCCCCCTTTAATCCCATGAACCCGTACCCCTCTACCGGGCTGCTCCACGAGGTCATCCCCAACATCAACAAGATTAACACACTGTCCACTACGAATGCCATCGGAAACCGGTACTTCCATGGCGGCGCCATTCCTCACACACAGATTAGCGCCAATTTTAAGCCTTCTTTAAAATGAAATGATCAATTAATCGTTTGGATGAGTACTGATTTACATGTCGTGGTCGACGAGAGAGTAATCGGCGTTAAATGGAGAATTAATCAGGGGATCGTGCGGCGCGTCATGCGTGCAGCGTGTGCACTAGCTGGCTGCGACTTGATTCCCGGAAGTAAGGGTGACTGACGGTGTGGGCCAATTAGGCGGCAGACGTTCATCGGCTGATTAATATGAAGAGAGCCAATTAATACAGCTACGGCTTCATTGTATAATACATATCCCAGTAATCCGATATAATAATAATATAATACCCATATATGTCCCGTGCAGTGTAAACCGTATCAAAGCAGCTGGCTGTATAAAGCGCAGTACTTGTATAATAATAATATGATATGGATGTGCAGTAATAATGTACGAGTATTATGACATCGAGTAGGAAGGTTGGTCAGCTTACTCACGCCGCTTCCATTCTACACAACGCTGATACACGGCGACCGCAACCAGTGCACGTGATTGGTCCGGAATCCGGATAGGATAACACTTACAGCGATGCCTTTGACCGTTTCACGACGGCTGCAGTTTAGATAAAGTAAACTACAGTTAAAACACTCTTTATGTTGCTGACAAAATACTATACGTGTATCACAACAGATAAGGATGGGAGTGCAGGAGAACACTAACCGGCAATAATGGCTACATTTAATTTCCTGCATTCCAAACTGCGAATGCGGGGCTCTTTGCGCGGAGAATACTCTTATAATGCGCGGGTGTTACACTTTGTAGTTGCGTGCCGTACCTGCCACTACGCGTACTCGTACTACTGCCATCACTGGTCAAGTCAAACAAATTCTTTCAGAGGCCTCTATACAGGCCATAAATATTTACGATTGCCATATCGGTTTAAACGCGAATTTCTTCCGTGCGTCAGTTCCTAACCGCTGTATCTGTAAAGTATGTGTATTATGCAGGTATATCTGTATTCACTTTAACGCTCATAATCTCATAATTCGACGGTACTTTTCCAATTCAGTGCAACTGCTGAAAACCCTTAAACCGTCTTTTCTGCCGCGCATGGTACATACACATATAATAATAGTTCTTATATACGCGTACGGGGCTTCGCTGGTACAAGAGTTACATGTATTAGCGCAGCTCTGAACAGCTGAACCGTAATGCGCAAGCATTTGGCATCGTGTGACGTCACATTGGTCAAGGTGTACATTAAGGACGGACAGCGCCAAATTCCCGTCAAACGAGCCACTGTAGCACCGCCGTTACAACAGTGCTGTGCTGTGCTGTTTGTACACATCTCGATATATAGTTCGGCGCGATCGAGAGTCGAGACGTTTCCATTAGATGGAGAAAATTCGAGATGTACAGTATGTGAAATGCGATGAAGGCATCATGAAGCTAACGTACAATAATAATAAGCGCGAAGTGGAAATCGTATTATAGTGCCAGCAATGGACCTGTCTGCAGCAATAAATTGCAATGCCGTTTTTTACTGGATGATATGAAAAGAGTGGCTATTGCATAAGGCGCAATTGCACTTCTCTGGCCAGAAATGTATCTGCACTGAGGCGGAAACGCTAATGCTCTTAAGGAGGTTTTTTTGCCGCACCGCAGTCTGCAGCGGATCGGAGAAATGGCGCGGCCCCTTTCCTTCAGCGGCGTCATGGGAAAGGACAGCCAGAACGGAAAATTATTCCACTGCCAATAAGACCTGATTATCCACAACACTGTTAATCTGGTGATCAATATAAATAAATGCTTGTGCTATTAATAGAAGTACATAGCTTACCAAGAAGTACAGTATTTAACAAAGCGGCAACGATTTTCAAAAGATACCAAGTTTTTAAATTAAATAAGTACTCTTGAATAAATACTTCATAATAGCACGTAGACACGTAGCTGTTACATTAATTAAAAAAGCACAGTATATTTCAGACACTTTTCCGCAGTAGCTAATAAATATTAATCAGCTGCGGTTTTTTAACAAGCGCAGCAGTATCATATATGAATATGATAGCGGCAAATGATGATGAAATACAGCTATATATCAGGTAATGAAATCGTGAGGAAATAAATTTAATTAAGTGGAATGACGAGTTCCGTTTGCAGTCAGCAGCATGCAGATCTCTCTATAATTGGAAAATAATCCAGAAACTGTCTTATCAATCTGTTTATACGGTATTGAGTAGTTGGCGTTATCGCTGATGATTCGCGGCGCATCTTCGACCGGCAGAGCTAGTACTAGTGCGCCGACCGAATTCGAATTCGCCGCTTTTTGACAATGATTTGGCGGGCGTCTGCTGAAAAACTGACAATGAGTAGGTGCATTTCGCCATATACGTTTACCTGTCTTAATGTCAGAAAAGTTTCGGAAACAAACCGACACTTGAGCGCATATTAATGTCGGCAGAAATAGACGAAGATTCTGCTTCATTCTTAGTAATAAGTTATACATACCTCTGTGGCATATGATATTATTTTAATAGCATTAACTGCCAATTCCAGCGGATTTCATCAGTGCGGTACACAACAGGAAGAAGCCAAACACCAAATTCAGCACATGTATGCATACGTATTACGTAGGTAGCTGCAAGGACGGTGGCAGGAAAGAAAGAAAAAAGAATGACTTCCGGTGTCCGCATCCGTTAATATGGATGCTTCAGTACTTCTATATATACAAGCAGCTGCAGCTTTGCGTCCAATGCTTTTCGACTAATGAGAGATATGTACTGTACTGCGTAAGCGTGTATTCTTATCAGGCAGTAGTACAATTCTCATATAATTGCGTTACGTTTTAACAGCGGCAAGTGAATGAACTTGATATTTATTGTGGACTTAAGCGGCCGGCAACAGCAGGCGGAACTCCATGCACTGCACAGTGTACAGTGATCGCGAAGAAGTGATAAGGATGAGCGATCTGTCCGCGCTTATTTGCACTTGCCGGCAAACAGATCTAGACCCATTCCCACTTCCATTCGCTGTGTCTTACCTGCATTCTACGGTCTACAGTTACGTCTGCTCGTGCAAGAAATGCGCCTGCCTAGTGCGGATCGGTTGCGACCGGCAGCGGCGGAAATTGGAATCAAGCGGGAGCAAACAAAAACACCGCAGCCATTCACAAATGCAGTGCCACCACCAGCGAGCACGAGACAGATGTCTGCGGCATTAGCCGCAAAACACTCAATCACACATCTATAATCCCTCTTCAGCACCAGAACAAATTCCCCCTCTTATATAGATATTACCTTTACACATGCGGCCATGTTTTCTTTGCATCGTTAGCATGCTGCATGTGTGATTACGTCTGTACCGGATTCTGCATGAAGCCTTTTTGAAATTTCCATTATCACACTAATTACTAGCTATCTATAGTTTCTACCTGCGTACAAAGTATAACAAGAAACTTTAGTACGCATATGCTACTAGTACAAGTACTATAATATTATTAGACAGGTACAGAATTCGAATGTCTGGTTATGGTTTCACGGTAATATTATAGGCAAGGCCAGAAAAAAGCGGGATGCAGCTGATGCTGCTGCTCTACCGCATATATATGTATACAATAACACACGAATACGGCATGCAAAGATAGTAGGTAAATGCAAAGATAAGACCTTCCAACCACGCTGACATCCACGGTGTACTACTGACTATTCTCGTCGGCTATCAAATTAATTTCTCTGTTAAAAATGCACACAACTAGTATTGATTTGGAGCTTATTTCAGAAGAACAAAGAAAGAAATGCAAGAGAAAATGAAGAATGAAATGTCTTATCTGTAAGTGAAGTCTGCTGAAGCGACTGCGATAAGTGCCAGACCACAGCGCCAGCCTGCACGTACAGTCGGGACGCGGCACAATAAGCGGCTGTCGAAACTGACAACAGTTACTTGTTGTAATTAATCCGTAGTAGCGGAATTATTGAGGCTGGATTAATCGTGCGCGTTCAAGTATAAGCTGTCAAAGTATTCGTGCGCATTGGGGACGTCTGTCGTAGTAATATTACATCATTCTGTGAAACACTCGGGTCCGGCAACCGCGCTGTGCAGCATATTAATTAAAGGTCAGCGCCATGGGGAGAAATTTGGAGGGATGGAATTGGAGGGAGGCGTTGATGGCGGCCGTCGCGGTGCTGGCTTGCGCAGCAGCGAATTCGAACGCCAGTGCCGACGGGGACGCGGATGTCGGCCAGCGCAGTGTTATCTTCGCACCGGATGCTCCTCGACCCCTGGCGCCTTACAGGTATATATGTACTACCTGCACTCCCCTACATGTGTGTTTCCTCTACGTACCGTCGGCCCCACGAACCTGCGAGACGGTAGGTTACCTACCGTCTCGCAGGTTCGTTAGTGCTTGCAAAGCTCACTTCCGGTTGCGGTTGCACTTGCATTCACAGTGAGCTGCGAATTGTGAAAACAACTGCTGGTGTATTGTACGCATATCTCAGTGCATGAGCTTTGTACTGACTGCCGATACAAATACAATTATATAATACTGTAATTGCAGCCACGCGATTAGAGCCGGACGAACAATTTACCTCTCGGGGCAGCTGGGTCTGGACCCCGTCAGCAACACCCTCGTCACAGGGTACGTAGTGATATATTATACACATCAATACTGTACTTTGATGTATCTGTAGGCCGGGATCGAGTCCTTTTCTGTAACTACCCTAGGTACGAGTACTCGTACTCCGTACATTGGTACACAAGTGTACATGTACGGCTTAATTATTATTCACAATCAGTTTGTAGTTATACACGGATGTACTTACCTAAATAAATTTGTACATACTTTTTCAAATTCATTACATACGTACCACTTTATCACGATATTGATACGAAATAATTTCTCTAATTATCATTATTATATAACTATTATACTGTAGTGTGTATACAAAGGTCACCCTGCTGAGTCGCTTGATTCGACCATGCCAGACGGCGATCGGCGGCATTAGAATTAAGTCCTTCCCGGTGCGATTTGAACACCGCCAGCGGCTTTGTTGAGGCATCTGATCACGAAATTTCGTGACCTTTGTATGACGCACATGTGAATCTACTGTAGGGGTGTGGAGAAGGAAGCGGAGCAAGCGCTGAAGAACATTGGGGCCGTGCTGCGCGCCGCTGGGGCCAACTACAGCGACGTAGTGAAGGTAACGGCCATCTTCGCCGACCTGAAGGACTTTGCCGCGGTGAACGCCATCTACGCCCGCTACTTCCCGCAAGACCCGCCGGCGCGCACGGGATTCCAGGCCGAGATTCCGGCCGGCGCCCTGGTGGAGCTGGAAGCCATCGCCGTCCTGCCACCCCCGACCAACAACACCGGCAATGGCTCTAATGCGGCCTGCAACACGTCGGCCTCCATAATTATCCCGGCTTTTCTGTTTTTTTTGCGGCACGCTAGCGCAGTTCATCTTTGTATAAAATACTGAAGCACGATTGTTGGCGTATTAATAGTTCTGTTGTACTCGACTGGGATTGTTTTGTTTGAATGCACATGCTGTCGCTGGAGACTGGCGGAACGTTCTTCTTCAGATACAACGTTGTGTATCATAGTTATGTGTGCACGATCGTGTTGTTCAATCTTACGGAACAATTAATAGAAGCCGCCGGCTTCTATTAATTGTTCCGTAAGATAGAAGCCGCCGCCGTCAAGCCGGCATCGAAAGCTACTCTAGGGGAATGTGACACGTTTTACGTACGTATCTGTATACTTCCATAGCTGGGCCAAACAATCGTCGTACTTTTTTTTACTCACGCACTGTTCACGCACAATTCACACAAACAATTAGCTACACGTCGGTGAATAACCGTTGCCGCTTCCAGTTATTGATTGGTACATTATACCACTGAGGCACTGACTGAGAACAGGGATAGTAATATGACTGTAATATCGTTATTATTTTTATTAATAGAGCTTAGTACTGTGGGTCTATGATTAATTGTGAAAACAACTATATATACCGCACTTATTAATGAATTCAACCGGCAAGTATAGAACCGCAGCAACGAATTCCATACGGTTGTGTATATTATAATTATTATTGTTGTTGTAATGTGATGTGATGTACAATGAGTGCGAGCTGCGTGCCGACCGGAAGCCAGCTGTTGACGGAATTGACGCTGCGCGGCCGTGAATCAACTGTATGTAATATCTGCTGCGTGATCGATGCGTGGAATTTCCCTGGCAGCGCGGGCTGGCACCGAGCAGCTGTTGCTTATAAAGCTGAACGCAGCCAAAATTGTTACTAAATAATTATTATTTATTTCCATTTCAAATGCTAGAATATTGTATAAAGTGTACTGTAGTCAGAAATATAAGGACTGTATTAAATAATGCAGAAACACAAGTTTCATTAAAATTATACGCATGCTCGTACGGTATTGCGTACTGTTTATGTTTATAGAAGCGTACGACGTACGTGCAGTCGTACCGTGCGTACTCGCATGCGTGCCGGTGAGCGATGACGTAACGTGGAATTTCACCACAGCTGTTGACTGTGTGCAGTGTGCTGTCTGCGGGCGCAACAGGGCAACCGAATGCGCTGCGGTGTGGGGAAAAGTGCCGATTCAGGATGCGCCAGTGCTGCGCAGATGATACACAGCGTCGAGTCTACGCATTTCTCACAATTTATTGCCGGAATTCTTTCGCAGCGATTGCTTCATTTGCATGTTTGCGTAGAGGTGTTGTGAGGTGTACACAGTGTGCAGATTAGCAGCGTTAACAACAAGTATTGACTGTGAGTGTTGTTGTTATTGGCGTCGCGTCGTTACTCGTTATCATCGCCCAAGGGAGCCATTGTGCAATCCGTAATCGCCTGCAATACGCGAACCAGCCAGTCACCATCGTATCGGGATTCATTTCGCCGACGCTGTTCACTGTTGGGTGCCGCGCCGCGGCCTGCTTCTCCCTCTTCTTCGCACCTTCGAAATACTGTAATCAACACACTTTATCGCCCAGCCTAATTTCAGCCCGGATCGGACTTTGCAGCGAGGTCGACGCTCCTGCACTTCACTGATCACTTGGCGTCCTTTTCGAAAGGCCTTCCACACTGCGAATCCACTCGGACCCGGTGAAGTCGGTCTCGGATCTCCCTCTTTATCTGCAACAGTTTCTTGTACCAAAGGATAAGATGCCACTGGAAAGAAGCGCAAAAGCGGTAAGCATCGCTAATCGTCCTCATCCATTATTAATGCCCATTTTTTGCATTTATTTGATTTAAATTTCTTTTTAAATTACTGTAATTTATTCTCGTAATTACTTTTTACATTATCACTACCGTCTTTTTTTATAATAATTAGTGTTTTTAAAATTTATAACTATTAAAAAGTAATAGTCATTTAATTTTAAAAATTTTATTACTAATTATAAATTCTACGATGCGGGTGTTTAATTTGTTACCGCTGCAAGAAATGAGTTGATAGTTAGTGAAATTCCGCTGATTGTGAGATTTGTAGTGCAAGGTTTCGGACAATATCTACCGTAAAGGGTAAAATTTAATTATAATTATTTCACGGGCGCGATTTCCTCAGCTGTTGGACGATGCTCCATTTTTTCGTTCAGTGAAATCCAAATAACAATAATTGTTTATACAGTATACTGAGTCCCTGGATGCGCTGCTGACGATTGTCTGGAGGGGTTTTCCTCCGGCAATAAAGCTATCTGTATTCTATGCTGTAATTGGTGTGCTGACAATGAGATTGTAATTATTTTGTTGCCGTTGGAAAATGTCTATTTAATACCGATAATTGCGTAGGTTTGTTTCTGCGTTACTACAGCAGTAGCATATTTATTAATTAGTATTAAAGTTTAATTAAATAATGCTGCGGTTTTGGCGGGCAGACAACTGTATGTGCCGGTCGTAGGCGTTTCCTCTTGCCTGTGATATACTCGTATCTGTACCCTTTAGTATGGTGTCCGTCCATCGGTCAGTACAGTGAATTAACTCCTGTACAATGTTGAATTGGACAGGTGGGCAGTCTGCTGAACCAGAGCCTGATCATCGTGTCCAACCGGCTGCCGGTGTCGGTGAAGAAGGGCGACGACGGCCGGATGGAGGTGTTCCCCTCGGTGGGCGGCCTGGCCACGGGGCTGTCCTCTTACACGAAGAACGCCGACAACAAGTGGATCGGCTGGCCCGGCATCCCCAGCAACGACCTGACCGAGGACGAGAAGCGCTTCATCAGCGAGGAGCTGCGCCAGCACAACTGCTACCCGGTCTTCTTGACGCAGGACCAACTCAACGACTTCTACAACGGCTACAGCAACAGCATCCTCTGGCCGCTCTTCCACGACCTCCCCGTCACCGAGGCCGCGATTCGCGAGCGGGACCGCTTCTGGAACGCCTACCAGCAGGTCAACCGTCTCTTCCTCGAGGTCAGTGCCTCCACGCTGCTTTCTTGATTTCATTTAAATTTATTTAATTTGTTTTTGATTTTTATTACTGTACAGTGATTTAATTGCCATTTAAATTTAATTATTGTATTTAATTTATTTTGATTATTTCCGTTTAATTGCTATTTAATTTAATTTCCTTGCAGGTGATCCTGGCATTGTCGGGTCCGGAGGACGCGGTGTGGATCCACGACTACCAGTTGATGACCCTCCCGGATATGCTGCGCCAAGCGCGGCAACTGGTGAACATCGGCTTCTTCCTGCACATCCCCTTCCCGGCGGCGCAGAACTTTGCCGACCACCTCAAGTGGGGCGCCGACCTGGTGGCCGGGCTGCTGGGCGCCGATCTAGTGGGCTTCCACGTGCACTCCTACATGGACAACTTCATGGCGGCCGTGGAGTCCTACGGCATGGGCACCATTGACAAGGACAACGCGCGCATCACGCTGCCCGACCGCATCGTGCAGGTGGCCGAGTTCCCCATCGGCATCGACTACAAGCGCTACATGCGCGCCTCCAAGGACCCCGCCGTGCTGCAGGAACTGGCGCGCCTCAAGGAGATGTTCCCCACGCAAAAGGTCATCCTCACCGTCGACCGCCTGGACCCCTCCAAGGGCCTCGTCGAGCGCGCGGCCGCTTATCAAACACTGCTGCAGGTAACCAGTTGAACAATTCGCATTTTTTACATTTCATTTGTACTATTTTAAAATCATTTTTTAATTTCAAAACTTTGATGATTTGATATTTTTCTGATAAATTTAATAGTTTTTCAGCTTAATTTTTTACATTATTAAAATGGTAATATTTATAATACCGCTTAATTTATTTTAAAGGTTAATTGTTTTTCTTTTAGCTGGGGTAATACTTTTTTACTGTCGTTTATTTGTTACAGTATTTTCTGTGTTTGTTTTATTTTGGTGATTATTTTTGGTTTTTTTTTGTATTTAATTACTCCACTATTTGCAGATTCCATTTAATGCATTTTGTCGCGTTGAGACAGTTTTACAATGAAATTTATGTTGCAGGAATATCCTAATTTCCACGGGAAAGTGACGCTGATGATGCTGGTCGTGCCGTCGCGCACGGAGATCGAGGCGTACAAGAATCTGAAGAGCCGGCTGGAGGAGCTGGTGGAGGACATCAACAAGACGTTCGGGAACGAGTCGTGGACGCCAGTGGTGTACATGTACAAGTCGTTGCCCTTCGAGCGCTTGAACGCTTTATACCAGTTAGCGGACGTGGCGTTCATTGCGCCGTGGCGCGACGGCATGAACCTCGTGGCCAAGGAGTACCTGGCCAGCAAGCCCAACAAGGACGGCGTACTGGTGCTCAGCAAGACCGCCGGCGCCGCCGAGGAGCTGACCGACGCCGTCATCGTCGACCCGGCGCGTCCGGAGACGCTGGTCAGCGGCCTGGTCAGGGCGCTGAAGATGCCGGCCGAGGAGTTCCGGCGCCGGGCGGGGAGCATGCAGCAGCAGATCCAGAACGCCGACATCCACAACTGGGCCAACAGGTACGACCTTTAATTATCTTTTTAAAAAATTCTAATTGTTTATATGTCAATACAGTTTCATTAACGCCCTGCACTCGACGGCGGACAACCAGGAGGGCGGCGCACACACCCTGGGCCTGACCGGTCGGCAGGCCGCCAAGCTGAACCGGCGCTTCGGAGCGGCCAGCTCGCAGCTGGTCCTCCTCGACTACGACTGCGTGATCGCGCCGCTGACCCCCGCCGGGATGGAGGGCCTCCCCGCCGAGCTGCACGAGATCCTGAAGGAGCTCTCCGTCCAGGCCGACATCGTCATCGTCAGTGGCCAGACGCAGAGCCTCCTGGAGGAGAAACTGGGCGGCTTCGACAACATCACGTTGGTGGCGGAGCACGGGCTGTTCGAGCGCCTGCCCGGGGAGAAGAGCTGGAAGTCGTACCGCGGCACGGACTGGCAGGCGAAGGTGCTGGAGCACCTGGAGAAGTTCACGGAGAAGGTGCAGGGCGCGGAGCTGGAGAAGAAGGACTGCTCGCTGGTCTGGCACTACGACAAGGCCTCCTCGTACGACGCGCAGAACGCCGTGCTGGAGCTGAAGCGCGTGATCGGGCCGCTGGCCGGCGTGTGGAAGCTGGACGTCCTGCAAGGGAGCATGTTCCTGGAGGTGCGTCCCAAGGGGCGCAGCAAGGGCTCCACCGCCAAGGAGATGGCCGCGCGCAACCAGTACGACTTCGTGCTGGTGGTGGGCGACGACAGCGACGACTGCAGTTTGTTCGTCGACGGCGACTGGCCCGAGGAGGCCGTCACCGTCAAGGTCGGGCCGGGGCGCACCGGTGCGCGACTGCGCGTCTTCCGCCCCGAGGAGGTGCTGGGCCTGCTGCGCTCCTTCAAGGCCTCAGGCAGCGTGCTGGCCGTGTCCGCCTAGTCCGGAGAAGCGGAATGCGAGTGGAGAAATGAGCCTCATGACAGACTGGTCCACGCCTTATTCGCCGTCTGCGCTGCAAGTCTTTTGCAACTACTCAACGACACTGGACACACACGTCTTGCTCTTGTCAATCTCCATGCCATGTAACGGTATTTCGCCGGTTGTTTATTTATTTGCCTTATATAACCATTAATATCTCTTTATTTATGATGGATTTTTGCTCTTTCATTATTGCGCTGTGAGTATTAATTGCCGATTGACTTCACGAATTAATTTATTGACTTGAAGTTAGTATTGTAACGCTACGACTGCAGTCATGTTAATATTAATTCTGGAAGAAGCATTTCATAGCCATCTCTGGTTCTGCGTTTAGCAATTACTTACCATCAGAATAACTGAGAACTGTACTGCACCATTTTAGCGCAATTTATTCAGAACAGAGGAACATCTACATGCATGAAACATTCACTTCCCTAAATTTTGACTTTTTGAGCGCACATTACAAATGTACAATGTGAGAAAATCTTCACCGAGCCAGCTTCTGTACTTTAAAGACTGCTGCTGGAGTATTGCCAATTTGACAAAACGATCCAGGCTTCGGCGGTCGACACTCAACAGGCAGAAAACAATAAAATGAAAATATTAACCACGTATAATATACTTATGACGCTAATGTACTTCTGTAATTACATAGTGGCATAAAATTTCTCGGCGCTTCCGGTCCGGTCACGCATCTTTCTCACATCAACACAACCACACCTTAGCATACAGTGTTACACTTCCGGTAGTGTCCTTGTGAGGACCACTTCCGGTGGCGGTTCAGGCGAACAGCCGGGAGACGGCGAGGAGGAGGAGCGTGGAGCCGGTCAGAGCCGCGGGGGCGGTGGCGCCGGAGGAGATGTAGCGGCCGTCGGGGAGGAAGATGCGGTCGTGGGAGTTGCAGAGGTTGGTGTTGCAGGAGCAGCGGATCTGCATCTTGTGCCCGTCCACGACGGAGTTGCAGTCCTGCCGCGGGCTGGCGTTCAGGCTGCCCACGGGCCGCCCGGCCGGGTCCGTCAGGCGGGCGCAGTACCGGCTGTACACCACGACCATTCCTGCAGCAGCAACAAGTTAAAAGGGATCATTTAGCTTCGAAAACTGACTTTGAATTATACTCGTATTTTATACGCTGCAAAAACGTTGAATAAATTGCTAAAGCAGCAGAAACTAGAAGGCCCAACAGGTGTACATAGAAAGATTACGGCTACCGCCCGCGAAAAGCATCACCTGTCTGAACCATTCAGTTCGATTCAGCTCACAGTTGATCGTGGCTTTGTAAGTTTGCAGCCTTTGCTGCGATTTCAGATTTCATTTTGTTTCAAACGTTTGAAACAGGGAACTTTTCTTTTTGAAAGTAGTTTTCTCAGCTGGTTTTCTCCCTTCTCTAAGTCCTATTAGATTGTTTATTTTTTTTAATTCTAAGGTAGGGTTTTTTGATTAGTTAGCCATGCAGGCTGAAGTGGAAACGACTGCAGCTGCCAGCACGGCATTCCGCTGCGTCGTTCTTGCCAACGCAGCGACGGAGAGCCTGCAGCAGCTCGTGCAGGATTTCCAGCTGGCTCATCCCGGACTGGCTCGCGCCGCTCTCCGCGACGCCCCCTACGACGCGCCCATCACGCAGCAGTTCGCGGTGCTGCAGGTTGTGGCCGTGCAGGGCTGCACGATTCAGGGCAGCAGCAAGCAGCGGCAGTGGAAGATGGACGCGGTGGAGCTGCAGCCCGCGGGCGGGCGCTGGCGCGGCCCCTACAGCCTGCTGCTGGAGGAGTTCCAGGCCGACCTGCACGCGCAGATGCCGCCGGAGCTGCAGATGCGACGAACGGCCTTCGAGGCGCCCCAACTGGCCCCGGTCATCGTGCTGACGGGCTTCGTCAAGGAGAAGAGCGCCTGGTTCCCCACCGAGGACAAGCCCACGCTGCGCTGTGCCGCCGCCAATAATCCGCAGGTTTTTGTTGGTCAGTTGTTGCTCGATTAATTACTAAACTGCACTTTCTTTTGCAGTAGTTATTCTCTTGATAACTGTTGTCCGTTGCGATCACCATTTATTAGAATTTATCAGAAAATATTAAAATTTAAAACGCAGTCATTTTTGAGTTATGACTGCGTTGTAAATTTATCTGGACAAAGATCATAAATATTTAAAATAAACCGGAAATTAAAACAGTCATAAACGAAGATGAATAATAATCATTTGTTTGAAAATACAAAAAAAATTAACAAGAGAGTGATAACTAACAACATATAATTTAAGTTATTTTAAGATAAAAATTAATAATTTAATAATTGTAACCTAAGAATTAGCAATTGGTTGTAAAGGAAGGTCAGGATTGTTGGTTATTTTAAACCTGTTTTGTTTCGTTATGCAGCGACCTTTCCGCGACCTCCCAGTCAGCCTGCGGCGTCCGTCCTCCCCACCGCCGCCCCGGCCGACGACCCGCGGGGCCGGCCGGACCCTCTGTACGCCCTCCCCGGGACCCCCTACCGCCCCCTGTCGCAGCTGCCCGTGGGCGGTCCCTACGCCCTGGCGGCCGTGCTGCGCTACGCCTACGCGCCCAAGCTGGCCAACAGTCGGCGGGGCCGGCCCGAGTGGATGCAGAGCCTGGGCCTGGTGGACCCCAGTCTCGACGTGGCCGGCGACGCCAAGTTCAAGCTGACGCTCTTCTCCACGCAGCCGCAGTACCTGCTGCCCGAGGGGGCCGCTGCCGGCGACTGCCTGGTCATCCGGGATCTCTTCGTCAAACGGCCCTACCATCTGGAAAAGCCAACGGGAGTCGGGTATGCCGATAGAGTGAGGTCAGTGTACCAGGAAAAGATCAGAAAATGCTCCAGCAAAATGAAACTACATAATAATAAACTGATTGCATCATAGTAATAGATGTTATTTGATAACAAATTAAATTAATAGTATAAAATAAGAAAATGAAATTTTTAGAAAAAGTTTGTCTTCAACCATGTGATAGACCAGAAGCGTATCTGTAGATATGACAAGGTAGTTGCTAAGAAGATAGGAAACAGGAAAGATGGAGAAAGCACGAGAATCCGGGAACCATAATATTATATCACAGTGATCAGTGCGGCTTCTGAGCTTGGTCAATACGTGGATGTTTTTGTTTGATTGAATTGGAATGCAGATTTGCCTACGTGTCAGCTGCCTCCGCGGACATGGCGCCGACCATCGCCCGGAATCCGTCGACATACCTGCTGCAAGAAGCGGACGGGAAGATCATCAGCGATCTGCGCGTCTGGTACCAGAGCGTGGCCGACGTCATTGCGGCACTGGAGAAGAGACCTTCCAAACAAGAGACCGGCGCAGGCAACGGGGACAGTGAAACCGGCCAAACTGCCACGGTTCCCAGCCAGCGAATCGCAGCTGGTGTCGGGGAGGATAAGTCGTCATCTGGCATCACTGGCGAGGGAGATGGTCAGCGCCCTAGCGAGGCGGTCGCTGCCGGCGTTGCACCCGTGGAAGAGCGCGCGAAGCCGGAAACAGTTGTGCAGCCGCAAGCAGCGGAAGCGGGGAAAGCGCCGAAAAGCCTTCAGTCAGGGAAAACTGGCCGGGGCAAGAAACGAGTGCGATGGCAGGATGAGGAGGCGGAAGGGGCGCGCCCTGTGGAAAGTGCGTCGACCGACACGGAAACTGCTCCGGCTGCAGCGCCGGACGCGGTCGGAAGGGCGGCGATGGGGGAGGCGGAAGGGGTGTGCTCCACCGCAACAGCAGCGAGCAGTGCGTCCAACAACGATAACGACGGGGGTCCAGCGGAAGCGCCCGGCACGAGCGTTTGTATGGACATGTGGAGTGAACGGGGCGTCTTCGTGGAGCGCAACCGCGACGGCAGCGAGCGCTTCCGCGGCTCCGTGCTGGAGCTGGTCGAGCAGCCGCCGCCCGAGCCCGAGCAGGCCGCCTTCAACGACTTTGTCATCGGCCTGCGCAGTCGCCCCCGCAACGCGCCCATCGACTTCCGCAACGGCGATCTGCAGGCCTGTGTCACGCAGTGATCTCGCCACTCGTCTTCCTTCGCAGCCTTTTTTATCTCCTTTTTCTTGCCTTTAATCCGTTGACTCATTTCCCTTTATGTTTTCTTGATAATACTGTTGAATTAATTAATGGGCAATTCAAATGGGAATGTTGTTGACGCTGACAAATTAGTCGATTGCCAGTGCCGGTAAAATCAGGGAAAAATACATTTCCAGTGTGTGTGACCGACTCACGACGGTGCCGCCTCCTGAAGATAGCTGAGTTCAATAAATTATTAGTCTGACCTTCTTGACTGTTAGATTCGTACTTCTTTTCTGACGCAAGATACCGTAAAAATCGAAAGAAAAAGGCAAGATTTTCGTCTGATGCACAGTGTACTCTGTATCTGTTAATTAAAGAAAGACTCGATTTAACGCACGCGACGAGAGCCGAATTAGCCGATACACTACAATCCCCTACTGTAGCTACGAGTTCTGGTATAATGGGAATCATAGGTTAGTGCAGATTTTCGGTCACACTAACGACAACAAATTCAAAATTATTTAGTTGTCTGGTTAACTTATATTATAACGTGGAAATTGTGTTAGGAATTTACAGACTATCTTAATGGTATTTAACTATTTAAAATGGTATTTAACTATTTCAATTTCCAAGCGGAATGAGCAGCCCCGTATATTATTTATATATGCCGATCTGACAGTCGTAGTCTCGTAGACTCGTAGCGTCGTTGGCAAGCTGCAGTCTGCAGACACAGCCACACAGGTTATGTAAGTGAATATAACCAGCTGCCGGCGGCAGAGACCGCCAGAAAGGCGGAGGTGAAGCCGCCGCCGTTCCTCGTCGTTAGTGGTTACATAATAATGATAATACATAATATTATTCTAGTCCCAACGTTCGGGAATATATGGCCGCTGGATATCTGTACATGCTTCTATGCCAGTACACGATCAGTGCCAATGTCCACTAATTAACAGAGAACTCGCTAGCTATAGTGTGGCCAACCCGTGGATCAATTTCCTTGCGAATTAACTGGAGCCCGGACCCGGCCGGTCCGGGCGAGCTAACTGTAACCGAGTAATTAAGTTCCCTTTGTCCTGTGGTACTGTAAAGTGTAAATGCATTAATTATCGATGGATCCCGCGGCGGCCACACCCAAGGAGCTGGCCAGCGTAGGCCGTAGCCTGAGCTATTTGGTGCTTCAGGCCCCGTGACCTTCTAGTTACTCTAACGGGCCAGTTAGTTGAATTGAATAAATTATACAGTAGTTAACTGTAGCGGGCATTAAATTTTAATCGAATTGAACACGAATATAGTTTACCGGTGGTGTAGGTGTTGGCGTTGATGTTGGTGACGCAGACGTCGTCGTGGCCGGGCGGACAGGGCTTGCGGGCCTGGTTGCCGACGTGCCGGCAGTCCTCGCCGGTTTGTGTGTTGTTGTAGCACTCGTAGCACTGCAGGCCCGTCGCGCCACGGGCACCTGCACAAAGTAAATACGAGTACAGTACTGCACTTTAATTTAAATAAAGGGCCCACACCAATGCGTTATAACGCCTTATCGTTAACGATCGATCTTGGGGTTGATTTAATTTACCGGTGAAGCCTTGGAGCGCCAGCAAGACCACCGCCAGACAACTGCAGATAATCAACTGCATCGTGCCGGAGATAATGCGAGGCTATAACAAGGTCCAAGTACAAATAAACAGCTAGCGATATCCTAGCGCTGACCAGCGACTTAATGAAGGGAGGCGCTACAGTGACCAGCCAAGGATGCACGTGCGGGGCAACAGTAGTACTTCCGCCCAGCTGATTCTTTGCTGATGTACCGCAACTGAAATTAATTACGAGCCACTCCGCCAAGCACAACTCTCGCCACTTAACCTGCACAAACTTTGCAAGTAGACGTTCTGATCCACCCCTCAGCTGTAGCTGAATGCGTACTCCTTTGGCTGTGTTTCTGTGGATGAAGCTGCAGTAGACAGTAACTGTACGATATAGATTATTATGCGTTTACGCCAGCGCCAGCCACGTACGTTCGCTCGGCTGGCCTTTCATTTTTTAATTTGCGGCCATGCAGATTGTGCGGCGGTGGACCGGAAGATTTCGCCCAGTTGCGTGTGCTTAAATAACTAGCATAATATTATATACAGTCATACACTATGCACAGTATATAACTGTTGTGCATCTTGTCGGCAAGATGGTTCGGGATGTTGTGCTGTAATTAGCGCTAACGTTGCAGCCAGCCATAGATCAGTACAGCTGATAGGCGGCTCCAGTGCAGAAAACGCAGTAATAACTTAACCGTTCTTGCGCCATATATGCATATGCACAAATACCACTTTCTTACGTCGCGTGCTGCATCATGTCTTGTGGTATCCCAGCGAAGAACTGTTGCAGGCGTGTGTAGCTGAATAAAACTAGTAGCGTACAAATGGCATATTGCCAGTATCAGTGCGTTCTGCATAATACAGATACATAATGCGATCCCGCGTTAGCGTTGGCCGCTGACAGGAGCAGCTTCGGCTTAATTGTGCAACTGTTGCGCTTCCTTCCGGTCCACTGCAGCTGTTTGCCATTACGTCACCGCTGCAGGCGGCCTGCCCGGCCCTGCATGACTCACGCGCACACCAAAAATACGCCCCACACTGCAGGGCAGCAAGCCGCATTCCCGCATGGAAAAGTAAAGGTCGTTACAGTGCATAATATATTACATAATTAAACCGGCGCTCAGTCAAGTTATTTTTACATTCGACGCATTGCAGCAGAATTTGCAGTACAGATTACGGAATGCCGGTTAAAAGCAGCATGATACGAGCTACAACACGGATGCTTCACCAAAATGAACATGCTGCGTTTCCGCAGCTAGTGCGGCCTGGCAGTCGGGATATAATTATTACTGTAGAGTGCGCCCATTTACTCTACATAGCTTGCGTATCGGCATATACAGTACGAGGCAAGCGACAACTCTTTCCCATCGCTTTAGAAAATCACCTCACTTTCCCTGCTGCATTTTTCCCGTATGCAGGCGCTCACGTGATACTTGATTTCAGCCGTTTCACGTCTAAACCGGTTTGCAGCTACAGTTGATTGCGCAACTGATAACGAGTACAGAGAAGAGCGCGGCAGGTGAGATTTTATCGCCGGCTCAGTAAGCTCTCATTACAATGGATACGACAGCATGCACTCACTGACTACGGTATTCCGTTCATGATCGGATACACAAAATTTTAAAATTCATTAGTAAGTAGTAGTGCCGTCAGTAACAAATCTGGTCAGTTTTTTCCCAAAATTTGTCTTCCGGTGAATATAAGGTTTTAGTGTTGCTGAAGTTGCAGTAAAAACGTTTGTTGCTTAATCGGTAATAGACTGATAAGCACTTTAAAGCAGTAAAAAACGATATGAATTTATGAGTTCCGGGATCACTGATGACTGCTACATTCATAAATCTCTACAGAAACCACACATAAATCTCTGCATATAGATCTCTAAAAAAATCAAAAACCTAAACTTCATAAAAACTAACCTGTACAGGAAATAAATTTACAAGGCAAGTATTCATTAATCGTTAATAAGCGCTTTCACGAACTCGAACCGAAAACTTCCAAAATTTGGCAAAAAAAATGAGATAACCCCGACTGATGCTTTCGGCCACTGATTCTCAAGAATTATTTGATTTCTTCATTCTTCTCTTCTGCACCCGTTCCTTCTCGCGGTCACGCAATGCATCCATAAAAGAAGACTCGGTGAGCACGCGTCCTCCCGCAGTGGAAAGGCGGGCATCTTTGGGAAGGCGCACTTTGGGCGGTCGAGATGCAAGCAAAGCGTTTCCGACATTTAATGCTGTTTCTGCCGCGCTTTCCGTTGGAATGTATCCAGCCGCCCTCTCTCGCATCGATTTCATATACCACTGCACATCTGCCCGAGATAACGAGTAGATCTCTTTCAAGTTTTTTTCGATATTATCAAATTGTTTTTTGAACATTTCGTCGGCAGAAGGGACAACTGTGACAGCTGGTGCTACTTCCTTTGTGTTCAGCAATTTGCAAACTTCACTCGGTTCAAAAGGAAAAATACCCGCACGCCGAAAGCCCGAAATAATATTCTTTTCTAAGTTGAACAGAGGAAGGATCTCCACGAGGTGAAGCGCGAAGCACTGCTTATCTACCTAAAATCCATAAATAACATGAGCAATACTGACAATTTTCAAATTTTGAGGCGGTTTGGGAGAATAATGTTCAGGCACAGAATTAACCATAAAAACATTCGAATGCTTGTGTGACCTACCTTCGTGGAAACTTGCATGGACACAGACCGCAAATAGTTGCGCCATCGCTTTTTAACAGGCCCAAATCCGCTAACGTCAAGGGGTTGTAAGTGGCTAGTTTGGCCAGCTGGCAAGCAGATCACCTTGATGTCCTTACAGTTCTCGGTGCAATCCATTAGAAACCGCAGGTTGTTCAGATGAGAAAATGCCCATCGACAAAAATAACATTCTAAAAGTGTAAAATAAAATTAGTAAGCATTGCTTATCAATAGGTACATTCGAAATCACAATAACCGGATTGAGTAAAAAACTCTTAACTCATTTACGTAGCTATCCGTTTAACTCAATCTACGAAAGTAATGACAACAAAGATTACCCGCCATTATTCTGAATGCTTTACTTCACTGTTGCACTCGCCTTTTCGATTATCATGTTGGGAAAGATTTCTTTTCGGACATAGTCGGCAAAAATTTCTTCGTCCATACTTCCAGAATGGTTGTACGAGATATAGCAGCGGTCCGCAGTACCAGCTATGCGTGAATGTAAATGCTGCATACCAGCAAAAAGCACAAATGGCCGCAAAATTAATCCATCCGCTCTTCCACAAAACAGCGTCGAAACAACATCTCGGTCCGAACCATCAGCATAAGAAAGAATCTCTTTCTGACCTCGCGGAGCATACACTTTTTTAACTTTCTCTGCCAATGTGAATCCGCTCTCATCCAAATTAAAAAGTCCCCTCGGATCGGAGAGATATCCAAAAGCGTGCAGTTCACTGAGCGTCGTTACCCATTCTGTGCAGTTCTCCACTGTCCACTCTCTCGCCTTTTTCCGATCTCTTGCGTGCGTTATTCGTATGGAGATTTCCGGGTGCCGGTGTAGAAAAGCCCGATGCCAGGTGTCCGTCATGCGCGCCTTCTCTTGTGGATAGCCTGAAAACATAAAATAAAGAAAGCGTCAATAAATATATGATTATAATGCACTTAACATTCGGCTGCACGCGCAAATATTTTCATAAGGAATCGTCCCTGAATTACGTTAACAACGCATCGGTGGGTTAAGGGTGCCAAAAAGTGACGGCCTCGTAGACTCGACATACGAAAACCCGTAACAAACAGAGGGGGAGGGGTCAAATTTTGCAGAAAACGTGCGTACATACATAGTTTATGCATAGTCTCTAATGCGTGAAAATATTTACTGAACTGAGTTGACTTTTCAGCCATTTTTCAATAGATTAAAGTGACACTAGTTTTAGAATTAATACCTTTATTTATCGCTGCCACTTCCACAACTTTCTTAAATAATGGCTTGTCCAGCGGGACCCCAGCTCTTGCTAATGCCATAAGGAGATCAGCAAAATATTTTTCCTCCGAATCAGAAAACTTCCTCGACTGGTATCCAAGAATACCAGCATGCTCCCCTTTCAGCTTGTAGCGCAAAGTGGTCCTTTCAACCCCACACTGCCGCGCTGCCGTTGTTATTGGCACTCCGCTTCTGCATGCACGTATAGCTGCTTCCATGCCCCCTAATTGTTCTGGTAGGTCCGCATTCTGATCTCGAGATTCTACAGGTGGCAAACCGGGTAAATCTAAGTCGCACTCCGATGGCAAATAGTAATCATTTTCAGGATACCCGACTGATCCAGAAGGTACGCTTTCGTCACTATAGCTGCCAGTATTTTGAGCCATGAAAGGAAATAAAGGATAAACACAAAGGCAAAAGACAAAATATAAAAAATTCGCACTTATCTATCAGAAGGATAGTCAGTGAATCAATGAAAGTGACAATCAATGAGCGCATGCTAATCGTATCCATTGTAATGAGAGCTTACTGAGCCGGCGATAAAATCTCACCTGCCGCGCTCTTCTCTGTACTCGTTATCAGTTGCGCAATCAACTGTAGCTGCAAACCGGTTTAGACGTGAAACGGCTGAAATCAAGTATCACGTGAGCGCCTGCATACGAGAAAAATGCAGCAGGGAAAGTGAGGTGATTTTCTAAAGCGATGGGAAAGAGTTGTCGCTTGCCTCGTACTCGTATTCGCATTCGACAGAACTGCGGTTAATACATACGATTGTAAATAATATCTGTGTACGTTTAATTAGGTATATGCAAGTACTTTCCAATTTACTTAATACGTTAGATGGTCGCACAGAGGAACCCTGGACGAAATTGACTTTAATGCCGTGAACCGGCTACATTTCCACGACAACTATAGATTATCAAACAATGTCGTGTCGGCAGAAGAACATTAACCGTCAGAAAAGTAGGAAAACAAAAACGGAGATGCTGCATTATGGAAATGCCAGCAAAGGTCGGATTCTGCGGGTGTATATGTATGCACATTCACGTTGATATGCATGCAATACCAGTGATATATGCGTCATTCATGCAACTATCTCCTCCGGCGGAAGAAGCCGCCGCCGAGGCCGCCGCCCATGGAGTTGGAGGAGGCCGCCGAGAAGATGTTGGCGCCCTGGCCGAAGGCGCTGGTGCGGCCGTTGGCGAAGCCCATGCCGCCCTGCGAGAAGGCCGTGTTGTCCGTGTTGATCGACCCGAAACCGATCTGGCCGCCTGTGCAAACAGCGCAACAACAAAGGTCACCAGCTAGTGTACCTATATATGCGCACGTGCCGCTAATTTCTGGCAAATGGCCAGTTAATTATTATGGCCCACTCGTATAGCTGCATTTGTACGTAATAATTAAACAGATCCTGATGTAAATGAGAGCTTACCGCCCAGCGCGTTGGACTGGCTGACGCCGCCTAGGCCGCCGAAGCCAGGGCCCCCAAAACCGCCTCCCAAGAACCCGGGTCCACCGCCGAATCCTCCAAATCCCCCTCCGCCAAACCCATCAAATCCCCCACCAAAATGACCCCGAGCTAGACAAATACATCGTCAATAAACAGATCAACAGATCACCAATATAAGTGTGCATATCAGCGTTTATCATGCAGCTGTATGTACACTACACATCATTATGAATAACGGATTAATTTTCCATTATTTATATGGCTAATTTAATTGGTACCTGCCAAGGGAGCCGAGACGAGGAAGAAAATGGCATAAAGCGCTACTGTCCACGACTGCATCTTCCAGATGGATTATGTATGTACAACAAATTTATCCGGCTGTTCACAGATAGCGGTACGTCACACGATGGACAACGCGGGCTAGGTGCAAATATTTGATATAATACGAGTATTGTCTGGATGCAGAACTGCCAGTATCAAAGTTGTGAGTGTTATTTTATATAAAGGGGAAAGAATCTGCTGGAACGCGGGCTTCGTACGATCGAGCGTGAGATCGATATGAAGATAATTGTCACCGTTGATTTCCTTTACATATACGGTAGTAAGAGCAGTAAAGTATTAAAATATCAACAAGTTAAATTAATATTCCATCAACAAAACGTCACAACGCACAATATCATTCAGGGGATCGACTCGGTATATGTCTGCACTTGGATGTGGTTGTTTGTCGGTTCGGGACACGAGATTATATAGGCCGGCACGACAATATATATTAATCAAGATATGCGCAAGGGGCAAACGATTAATCTGGCAACATACAGGCAAAAATTAATATGAATGCAGGTGTGTAGCTGTTTCGTATTCTTACCGGTAGATACGACGGATATATACGTACTGTACTATGCCGCAGTTTCAATTAAGCGATCGCAGTGGCCAAGAGGATCTTGGTGATCACGTTCGTTGTTTGGCATCGCGAGGAGTGCGTTCTCAGTTCCTGGGACGTACATTAAGCCTCGACTGGTGATAATTAATATTGCAGCTAGGTGCAGTTGTACAATACTGTACATTATATTGGCCAATTAATGGCTGGGTGAAGTTGGCGTGCACCTGTGTTTGTACGGAAGTTAACACTGAAAATTAATCTACTCGACTCCAATTGCAGATCCGTATCATAATAAACTTTTGTTACAGACCGCCGCGTTACGGTTGCTCGGTGCCGGCAGTGAGTGCCATTGTTCCTTCCGCCTGAATCATGATCAATCAACACCAGCGTGACTACGATATCGGTCGATATGGTACTGACACTAGCTATAGCTGAACTGAATCACACTAATTCTTTAATATTTTGTTTTCTTTTGGCACAGGATGGAAGAATGAGTGAACGCTTATATAAACAACACTGTACCTGTACTTATTTTTACGATTAGTACCATACGAAATTATGGCAGCAGCTGCAGCAATAGTAACAAGCGCTTCCACCGTCCACGTACATCACCAACGAACTCATGATAATGGGTTGGAATGAATTACTTATAATGATAGGCGGCTGTCTCCGGCCAATTGACACATGCATTAATTAGTAATTACGCAGAATTCTTTATACTGCATTTCGTTAAAATAATTATATACATTTAAATGCTATATCTATATATCTATATAGATATACGTATGAAGAATGTATGCAGATAATACAAGCATTTATTAATATGTATCCATTTTTCTATGAGATACGAAGCGGAATACTGTTACAGCCAATTTCGGTAATTTAATCTTAATCAAGTTTTCATACTATCACTGGAAATGATTTATCTAGCATGTAAACTAGTAAATACACACTATATTAATACATTTAAGCCCTGATTAAATATTAACATAACTATATAAGTATAGACGAATCCAGAGTTCGCAGTTCGGACCGTCGCCAGTGGTAGTTGATACTTCCGGTTGTTGTACTTACATGTGAAGAAATGCTTGCCCGGTAGCCGCAAATGCATCTCCCACCGATGGAGATGCCGCTCCAGGGCGGACGTTGTGTCCGCTGGGAAGTTTCCCGCCCAAGTAGTACGTACGTAATTATACTTCATCACTGGATTCCCTTGTACAGCCTGTCGGTGATCCCACTTCCCAATCATCAATAACCTGATCCTGTTTTTAAATACTTATCGTACGGGTACCGCTTCTCAGCGGCTTCTGCCGTCCTGTTTATTGCCCGCGTCGGCGCGTGCGTCCACGCACCGTACAGCGTTGCAACCGTACGCGCCGCATTTGGCAGGAATGTGCTGATGTCATGCACCTGCCCACTTTCACGAAGCCAACGGCGCGCTCATCATTTCCCTGTTATGCGAGGCAGCAAGGCAGAACAGAATACAGGGAAACACATGAGAATACCGGTTTTCCCCGTAGTCAGCTGTAGCTAAGCGTGGCTGGCAAACTGCGAAGTCTCACTTGGCAAGCTTGCGTGACGGAGTGAATTTTATTTGACTGTTCCTTTTTCCTGGGAAGACGAAGCAGTGGCTTTATCATTCCTGTCAGTTGTCTGGATTTGCATTTGCCACGACGTTCGTCCGGTGATACAGTGCTATACAGTATCTGCGGAGTTTTGCGTTGGAGAAGCGAGAAGTCAGAAGTGGGCTGTTTGGCAGCATCGATCGTTTGCGAGTTTGTGTTTGATCGGTTGAGGGCGACGCATCCGTGACAGCAGTGTGATACTCTGGTTGAGAGATGGCTCCCAAGCTGGAACACATCAGCGAGAAGGCCAAGCTGGACAAGATCCTGAAGGACGCGGGCAGCAAGCTGGTGGTGATCGACTTCCACGCCACCTGGTGCGGCCCGTGTCGCCAGATCGGGCCCAAGTTCGAGGAGTTCTCCGAGAAGTTCGACGCCGTCTTCCTCAAGGTCGACGTCGACGAGTCGGAAGACATTCCCTCCGAGTACGAGATCAGCGTCATGGTAAGCACTAACCAGTCTTCGCATCCACGGGAAAATTTCCCGACAAACAGTACAAGCCGTCGTATGTGGAGCTTTGCAAGTTTTATAATTTTAATTGATAAAAAATTTCGTCAATAAATTTATTATTAAATCAAGGATTTCGTCAGTTTAATTTTTTTAAATCATCTGTTAATAATTTACGAATAAATTTTAAATTTCTATAAATTTACCAAAATGAATACAAGTAGAGAATACCATTAAAATAAATATGGAAAAATATTTTACCATTAAAATAAAATGGGACATTGTTTTTGGTTAATCTTCAGTTAAACTGTTAAACCAAATGCCTTTAATAGTGCAGAATCACCTGTTTACAATTGCGTTATTTCCCGATCAGATGAAAATCATGCCGGTAAATTCAGTATCCTGTATCAGCAATTTGTTCGGTGATATTGATTGATTAAACGCCGAGAAGAATGTTCGCATCATCACAGTTGCGCTTGGTGGGAGTTGATTGCATAATGTGATGGTGTGCATTTGCCCTTGCAGCCGACGTTCGTGTTCATCAAGAACGGGAAGACGGTGGACACGTTCTCGGGCGCCAACGCCAGCAAACTGGAGGAGATGATCAAGAAGAACTTGTAGGCGAATCAGATCACTTTTATCGGTCGCCTGTCCTGTCCCGTCGCAGCCGCAGTCCACCTTCCTTCCGCACGACTAACGTTCACTGCAGCGCTGCGGACGGGTCTTGTTCGTGTCTTACTAATTATCCCTCGCAAAATCGCCTCGCCACTCCACCGAGTTGGATGGATCGTTCCTCTTGCACTTCCATTGTTTTTGGCACATTTCGTGTTTGTTGACGGGCTTTTTCTGCTTTTTATTTCCTCGCCGCGGCAGTCGGCACTCACCATTGCTGCTTACACTCTCACTGACTGTGCGTTCATTCTTAGTGTTTGATTAACAAGTAACAAGTACTGGCGGTACAGGCCTTTTTATCAGTCAGCTCTCTCTAGTTTTGTGGGTATTAATTTTATGCGAATAATTTCCGCCTGATCGTTAACGAGGGGCACTGCTACACAAATGTTCCTTTTTTGATTAAATTATCTTCGCTTTATTCGACGTTTTCGTGATGTACGCGGCAGCTTTAACAGACATCAAATGAAGCTATCGTTTTTGCCGGTGTTACGTTAGACATGTAGGGAACATCCATTAGCGATAACATAAATAAGCAGATTATTATTAGTATCCAATATCGTAACATAAATATTTGTATAACCATCAAGTGAATAAGTTCAGCTGTGCCGTCTGTAAGGCACAGGCACAGCGTTGTAGAAAACATTATTTTTACTTCAATAAGACCTTTTTGCTTCGCTCTGCGCTACGTAAATTGCAAGTATTTACCTAAAATTACCGTTAATAAACATCCTGCGCATTTACCCATTAAAACAGCATAGATAAGCCGTAAATAAGTATGACTAATTTTGTTTTAATAGTGACTTAATTTTGTCATCCAGAATAAGTGAAGACACAGGCGTCTCTAGTGGGGTAAATTAAGTTAGATCAGATCGATATCACTCGTATAAACAGCGGCAGCATTGCGGTAGTTATTATGTAAGTACTGGGACAAAGGCACACAGCGGTACACGCACAGTGCTTAGAAATGGGGACGCGTTGGCTGGCGGGAATTGGACAAGTGAAGCGGCGCGCGCTAGCGTAGTAATTGGCTGCAAGCGGCCAATGTCAATGCCGGCGGGAACGGGGATCGGGACGGCTTAATTAGTGCGTGGGAGTGATCTTGTCGAGGGCATCGCTGGCCGTCTTGTCCTTGTCCACGCCGGAGAGCGTCGGCTCGGCGTCGCCCAGAGGCTTGTACACTTTGATGTGGATATAGTGCCCGGCACTGACGCGCACCTGTACAATTCGAAGGAAGCGAGTGCCTTGAAAATAACTTCATATAAAGTTACTTATTATACATACATAGCGATACATTTATTATTCATACACACAGAGAGATACAATTTTCTGTATAGCTGTAGATTATTTATGTAGCTAGATGATATATAGATACAATATATATTTAAATAGATATACGTTTACACGCGCTTCGCAATTATAAGCGTAGGCCGATTTCTCTCTGTACTTGGCGGAATACAATTAAGTACTGTACGATTATGATTTTTTAATACTCGTGTATTTGTATGTATGTGTTAGAGTAGTATTATTATTAAGAAACCGTCTGTCGGAGAAAAGGTAATTGTGGCGTCTTAATATGACATTGTAATACTTACTAATTTACTATCAATTTTGTATCCTATAGGCTATATAGATATGTGGATCTGCCAGTGTACAGTAATGTGTATACCTTGATGGCGTAGTTGGTGCCAGCGACCACTTGAGTGCGGAACTGCTCCGCGACGTACTCGCTCAGGGCTCCGATGTGCGACTCCACTTCCGGTCGCACCTAGGGATAGGATACGGCAGCTATTTATTTGGTTGTGTACAGCGCCCGTATTGAATTCAATTCCAGCCAATTCATCACTGCCAGCGCTGCACTTGTCTCGCAGCGCGCAACAAATTGGCGCCGGGGGAAATGAGCATTTGCGCAGTTGCCTTAATTCTCCCATCCCACAACGTATACGCATCGCCTACGTTCGTGTACATACTACGAACGCAAACATGCTCACTGCAGCTAATTCCTCCAAATTATTTCCCTTTAGTTTAGGTAACAAGGCACAATTCTATTCAAAATGTGCGCAGCATATGCATGAATATGCCCTTTGCATTCGTGACTCGCCAGCCGGAAGTAACGCAATGCATATGCTGAATTAAACAGCGCCAGTTCGGCATTTTACACAGCAGATGTTTAACTGACCTTGTCAGCGATGGCCTGCACTTCCGGCGTGGCCGGCTTGGATTCGCCGAAGGAACCGGGCATTCTCTGTCCTGGAGCAGGTGCAGACATTCTGTACGATTGCTTCGGAAAGAATTTGTGTTAAGAAATCAACAAGAGACTAGATCAGACAGTGGATGAAGCAGTTACGCCGCTAGCAGGGGCATTTATATGCTTAACGGCGGAGCTACCTTTGAGTTGTTGACAACAACACGAACAAGCAAACCAAATCGGCTGGCCTATCGTATCAGTAAGAGCTCCAGCTCATCTCATTCACCTTTATCGCAACGTTAACCATGTAATCGGGCAGGGTTTGAAAACTGGCATGTATACATGCATCAGGTTGGTTGATAACCTGATTCGTGATTACAGCATACAGCGTACTATTGGACGAAGGAAATACCGGCGACTGTCGGCTGATTTTCTACGAACTCTCGCTACTTTCCGCAGAAGGGACCTTGGAGATGCCCGACATATGACAACAAAATAAGATTTACAAAGGTCGCACTCAGTTTCACTGAATGTATGAAGCAGTAAATAATTTCCAGGATAATGAATAGATGCGGTGTGCTAACATGTGACAAATGAATGAATTAACGAACAATTTCGGCGAGTTGAGCTATTTTATTTACTGTTCGGCCGGTTAGAATTAAGCCCGCTTAATGCGGATTAAAAAAAAAGCAACAAGAAAGAAGAAGCTTCCCACCGATACACAGCCCGGCAGCGTGGTAAACAGCCTTGAAAAAACGGATGAAGACACGTTGCACGTGAGCGGTTAGGAGGCAATAAAAAAGGACAAAGCAGAAGCGTTGCCAATGCAGCGACGCCAGCGCATCAGAGCAGCGGAAAAGCCATAAAAGAATGGTAAAAGATTCCGGGGCGGCGGACGTCGGCCAGGATGGAGCGACTGGGATGGAAATGTTATCCCCCTGGGCCGGCTAAAGCGTGGATGTCTCCTTCCGTCCGTCCGTCCGGCCAGCCGCTGCAGTCACTCACTCGACCAGCCGCGGCTCGGCGTCCTTGCCGGGCAGCGGCTCGAAGATCTTGATGTCCACCACCTTGTTGGGCCCCAGGCGCAACTGCAAAGCACAACCACAGCCCTTTTCATTTAACCACCTCAAGATACCGCCATTACAGTACTCATTGCTCAGTTAAATGCCCACCGGTCCACGGACGCCTGCATAAACTTGCACAGCAAGTGATGAATCATGGACAGAACACAACACTACTGTACAACTAACGGCTGCCCGGATCACGCCCGCGTCGAGCGTTAGTCACAATGCTGCCATAAAAAGGCCGTAAACGGTGAATATTAATGTGCCTGTCACATGATCCGCCTCCCTTCGGCCACCTAATGCAGGTTGTAACCCAACGAGTGTTGCAGCTGACTGCATTTCGCTCCCTTCTCTCTCGCACCTCCATGGCACGTGATGCCACGGAGACCAAGAGAGCCTCGCGCAGTCCGACATTAACACGCGGACGGCCACTGCCACTGCCTGGCCCTGCACTGCACAACGATACTCGCTTCAGTTGACTTGCCTTCACTTGGTAGTTGGTGCCGGCGACCACCTGCGAGCGGTAGGAGACCACCTCGTACACCTCCGCCGCCCCGTGCTTGGCCTCCACGTCCTTCCGCACCTGCCCAGACAAATTAACAATAATTAATTGTTATACTACATGCATACCAGTAGAGACATTGACAACTGAGACGAAGTGACGGCCAAAGAAAACACTTTCTACAAATGTGAAACGATACCACAAAATAATAAGTAGTAAAAATCCACTATTTTATGCTACCTATAACTGGCTATAAGTAAGTACAGATAAGTTAAAGTAACAGTTAACACCCATTATTGATTATCTATAGTGAGCAACAAATTAGCTATGTAATTAAACGATGCTGCAGAATGCAGCGGGAAAGGAACAAATACTGCTGCTGCACTGTTTATACATACCCCATTGCAAGCGAAGATACCCCATTGCAAGAAAATAAAAATAAGTAAATTGTTTTATAAACTATGAACCGTTCATTGTTTGTTGACTGTCTGGTTGATAATTTACATAAATTCCATCGTTCATTATGAACGGTGTAATTTATGTAAATTATCAACCAGACAGTCCTGCATCCTCCACTCGGATTTGCAGTTAACTGTGTTACACTAGTGACTAGATTTTCTTCCTTTACCTTGTGCACGACCTGATTGATGTGATCGTTGGCGGGCCGCTCCTCGCCGTACCCGCCACACACCATGGGCTTGTGCTCGTGCACTTTGGCGTGGAACTCCTGGTGAATAACGGGAGGATCCTGATCGGCCATTCTGACAAATTAAACTGCAACCAGCAACACTGCAACAGCAACCCTACACTGAAACGACCGCCACAGACAAACTACTGTTACACGGATAACAAACGCTCACACCACTCTTTGGCTTTTATGCAGTTTTGATAGATAATTCGGAATTTTGCAGGCTAGCAAACAGACGGTGGCTGACAATGCAGAAAAATAAACAAACCAATACTGTTTTGCAGCTTGATGGCTGGCTCCACTGCATAACTTCCGCATGACTCACAAGTCACACATGCAGCCCTCAACACGGGGCCGGAAACCCCTGCTACCCTCGTCACGCCCCACAACACGGGGCCGGAAACCGTTAATAACCACTTCACGCCACTCTTGCCATTTTACAGCGCTCTTTGTGCTGCTCACAACAAATGCGCTCGAAATCGTCGCCAAATCAAAACGCGTTTGATCGTGCTTCCATTTTTCCTCGGTTTCTTTTTTCACTTGGCGTCGTTTTCTATTTTGAAACCTCGCAGATAAGTCCTTGAATTCTCTTTCTAACCGAGGGTAGTCTGTGTAGGCACATCTGTGGAAGGAATTGGCGTTGTAGATTTTTTTGTGGAGATCACTCAGATCAGGCGTAAGGAGAAACTTGCCAAAATGAGTCGCTTTGGTTCGTCTGGATTCGGTGGTAAGTAGGAATATTCCGAGCATTCCATGATTGTCCAGCGGAAGACAGTGCTTTGCGCAGTGGTCTGAGATGGCGAGTAAGACCTTTCTGTGGCGATTGCAGGCGGGGGTGGAGGCGGAGGAGGTTTCTTCAGCAGCGGACGCTTCAATGAGTACCAGGGTCCTTCCAGTAAGTTCTAGTTGCCTTCTCTGATTATTCTTTTCTCATTCTCCTGTCATAGTGTTACGAAAATCTGGCGATTTCGCAGCTAGATGCGGGCGAAACATCCACGCACTGGCAGCTCGCTAGACCATATTAATGCTAAAATAATACTGTAATAGTTCGGATTTTCTGCGGAGAGCCTGCACGACTAAAAAGTTTCTTAATTGATTTTCTTTCGCTGTTTACATCTGATGTATGTGGGCGCATTCAAATATTCCTTCTGGTTATTGTAAACAAGGAAGACAGTGATTATCATTGGCCTATAAGGAGCTGACAGATCCTGTGGTTGCAGGTGACAATTTCGGGGGGAGCGGTGGGTTCTTCCCCGGGGGGAGTGGCTTGGGAGGCGGGGGCGGGGCCGATCCGAACACCAGCGCCGTGGACAGCGGGGCCAAGGTACGTGGCATTGAAATGAGCGCGGTTGCGTAGATAAACGGATACTGTTGGAGCAGGGCAGCGGCCGCAGTCCGGAGGTGGTCCCGGTGACCATCAGCGAGATCAACAAGTGCTCCGACCTCAAGCAGGACCGCATCAAGATCGGCAACGTCGAAGTCAACCGCGTAAGTCAGCAGCGCACCCTGCTGGCTGACGATGTCACGATGGCATTTTCTTAGCAGGAGAGAGACTGAATTTAATTCGATGAATAATCTGAATTTATGTGATAATTGTTTAAATTAGAATTTAGTAAAATAATTTGGTTGAACGTTTCTTATACGGTACTAATGCGGCTGGCGTCAAGTTGCTCGTTAAAGCTTCATGAGAATACTATTGTATAACTAGTTGTACGCTTATTTGCTATGGATTAATTGGACGGTTGATGCGGTCATGGGAATTGGCTTGAGAAGAAAGAGGTTGATGATTAACGGCGCGGTTTGCTGTCTTTTTCTACGGCAGATCACGTTGGTGGCGCAGGTGCGCGAGTGCAAGCCGCTGACGTCGTACGTGTCCTTCCTGCTGGACGACAAGACGGGCAGCACCATCGAGGCCAAGTTGTGGGGCGACTCGCAGGTGTGTGCGTGTGACGACTTGTGGGGCATGTTATCTTTCATTGAAAAAGGTTTTGCATTTATCGACCACTGATAAATAAATAAATAATAAGAAAATGCTGTGGAAGAATAGCAAATAAATAATTAAAAATAAGTAAAAAATTTAAATGTGTAATGTTGTTACGTAGTATCGGTAAAATATCCAGTGCTGCTCACCAGATTCCAGTACTGCCGATCGATAGTGTAATTGCTGCCAAATATTCAATAATAACAGTAGCAGAATTAATTTTAAAAACAATAATACAGTATTGTTGTAATATTGTGTGGCTGCCTTGGCCTGTGATCTCCGGTTACAGTGAGCAGTGCTGGCTGTTGTAGGAGGAGTTAGCGCGTTGTGCAGTGTCGGTGGGGCAGTACGTCCGGCTGTACGGCAGCATCAAGTCCCTGGGCGACAACGTGAGCATCTCGGCCTTCAGCATCCAGCCGGTGCGCGACATTAACGAGGTCTTCTTCCACATGCTGGACGTGGTCCACTCCCACGCCGTCCTCGACAAGATCGCCAAGGTCACTTTGTATGCCTCTTGTCTTGCTAGCACACCACAACGCACTTTTGATTGCAGGGCGAGATGGTGGTCAACGGCGCCACGGGCGGCACCGCGCTCATGTCGCAGCCACAGCAGGGCTTCGTCACCAGCGTGCCGGGGATGCTGGATCTGCAGGGCGACATGGGCGGGGCTGGCGGACAGGCCACGCCCCAGGGACTGCCGGCCGACCAGCAAGCGGTACTGCACGGTCTCGTCGTTCTATTATTGCGTGCTGCACAGTTTATTCTGTTGGCAGGTCTACGCCTATCTGCGCGGCTGCGGCGGCGAGGGCGACATTCGCGAGATGTATAAGGTGCTGCGCCAGTTCAAGCAGAAGGATCTCGAGTACGTCCTTCCGCGATTATAATTCTATTAATTCCGCTTACGTACTAGACTATTAAACGTATCGATGCGTTATACGTTATTGATTTTATTTTTAAATATATTTTCTGATTTTTTTCTGGATGTTTGCAGGCGCGCGGTGGAGGCGTTGAGCGGCGAGGGCCACATCTTCAGCACCGTGGACGACTTCACCTACCGTCTGGTGGACAGCGAATAGCCAGTCAGCCGTTGCACTGACGGATTGCAGTCGCTAAATGAGGTGTCCAGCGGATGCTCAACAGGTTTATTGCTTGTCGCGGGATGCCAGACCCTACATTAATTAATGAATCGAATTTTCACTGTTCCATTGACAGTATTTTTCTCTCCTTTTTTGTACCTAATTATTAATTCTTATCCATGTTGCCGGCCTGCTGTTGTGCTGTGCTCCAAGTTTCTGACAATGTTAATTGCAATATGTTGTTTGCGAATTCTTTGAGCGTGCGTAAATTTTATTGCCTTGACGCCCTTGACCGGGAGGGTGCTACGCATTGCTCAGTTGCTGCTCTGTTAATTAATTTCTCAATTTGCCTTTAAAAAATCTTCGTTTAAAAAAAAGTCTTGATTCGTCGATAGACATGGCTTCTGCTGTTATTAACATGTTGGCGGAACAGGGAACACTTCAAACATTCTACGGTACATAATTTTATCATGCTTAATTATTTCGACATAAAATTAATGCGCCATTTTCTCTTTAATAATTATATCTATGCCCACTTTTCGCAAATACAAAGTACTGTACAATAAAAAACAAATTTAATAAATGATGAAACAGTATTATGGCCAGTGTTCCTTAAGAATTAAATTAAATCATTTGCGAAGAAAATAAAAAAACGAAACAATCTCCAATAAAAATAAGAAGATGACCACATAAACGAGGAAATATTAGGTTTCCTCAACAGATTAATTAGATTGTTAAATTGTATGAAATGATCAATGAAAGGAAAATCAGAAAACTGAACTTAGTAGTCCCTGATGCTGCATTACAATCTCAGTTATCTCACATCCGGTTAGAGGGCGGTCCGCAAGTCTCCCATTGGCCACTGCTTCATTCACCGAAATCACAACAAATGCACATGGCAGCCGGCGTCAAAGTGCTCGAATAAAAATAATTGTACCCTAGGCCGTGTTTGCAACTTTCCACCGTAGCAGTCTGCAGCTTTTCTTAAATTCTTTCAACTGCATTTCTTCGCTATCAAGTTGTACGTTAATCTGGGAAGAAGCTGCGGGATTGCAGATCCCTGTTGGCGCCTGTGTTCCTTCTAATATCCGCTTGAAGTGCATTTACGAATACTTGTTCCCTTTTCTTTGCTGCATTCTGTTGTCGATATGGACGTTGACGAGAGCCTGTTGACGGAGGACGAAGGCAGCCCGCCTCATGGCCCTCACGCGCACACGGCTCCGTCGACGCAGCCGGCAGTGAGTGCAGTGGCCCAGCAGGAGGAGCCCGCAGAAAAGCCCCGCGCTCCTCCCCCGCCGTGGGGCAACACCAAGCATCCCGGCCTGGCCACGGTGTACCTGCCCCACCGCGCGCTGCTGCACCAGCAGATCCCGCCGTCGCGCGTGCAGCTGCACCCCGCCGAGGACCAGGCCAGCACGGCCTGCGGTCCCTTCGGATGGCAGGAGTTGTGGGAGGAGATCCAGCGGAAGGCGGGCTTGCAGCGGGAGCTGAGCGCGATGCTGGCCCGGATCATCCGCAAGGTGGAGCAGACGCCGCCCTACAAGGTGCAGGCCAAGTGGGCGCCCCTGCACTTCATCGATGCCTGCTGGAAGGGCAGCGCCCTGCGCCAGGATCCACCGCCTGCTGGAATTGAAAACTGTAAGTTTAAAGCGACTCTGAACCGTCCGAAAGATCCTTGCATTTTTAACTATTTTCATAGCAGGAAATGCCAGGAATTATGGTATTCGCACCGCGCCACGACCTTAGATTTAATTCAGTAATTTTGAAAACCATTTATTTTAATCAGTTAGTTAATTTTAATTTTTTTCGAATCGAAAAACGGTTTTTAATTTTTTTCTAAATTTTGAAGATATTTTGTGAAAAACAGTAGTGCAGTTTTGTCCACCTTTTGCAAACGTTGGTGAATTGCATTCAAACGTCTGTACGTATAATTTTCTTGTTAACGTTATTGGTTTTACACTTTTTTTTTGTAATTAAATCATTTTGAGTACTGTAGTCAGTGATTGAATAAGTACCTACATTTTCTGATAATTGTCAAATTGAGTTCTCAGTTATTGTCAAAATAACTTTGGTAGCCTGCACGGTGCACCGTTTCTGTTTTTATTTATTTTTTTTCTCCACTGATATTTTCTCATTGAGCCACTCGTCCTCGGAGTTCAACTAAGCTAAAATTTTTTTAGGTTTTGGTGAATACATAAGTAATCGAAAAGATAATTTCGTTTATTTTGTGTGTAAGTAAGTGGTTTTACTGTTACCTACAGTCTAGAAACAGACATGTATATCGTCGCGAAATTAACTGAAGATTGATAAACAAAATCCTTGGCTTTTCAGCTGCCAGTCCGTCGCTTCAGCGGGGATCCTCCGAGAAGGAAGCAGCCCCTGCCCCGCAGGCCGACGAGGTTGCCAGTGTGGGTAACCGGAAAGAGCCAGCAGTGGGCTTCAGTCTGGCGAAGGCCTTGCGTCGCGAAGCCGCGCTGCTCCACGAGCTGAAGGCAGTCCTGCGCACGCGCCCGGTGGACGACGTCGACGTGTTCCGACTGGCCACGCCGGCCGGTCAGGTGCGCGAGTACGTGCAGGCCTACCTGTACGAAGTGCTGCCGTACAAGAAGATCTTCGGCGACAATTACAACTGGAGGATCTTCTGCCGCGGCCTGCACGACTACTTGGCGGTGGGGCGCGCCGACGAGATCTCCCTGCTGCACGTCATCGCCGGGACGCGCTTCGACGCGATTCCCTGGCTGAAGCAGACGGATGCCGAGCGCAGTCAGCTGTTCTATGCGGGTTTTGTTCTGTGGATTTACCGGCGTCTCGTCAATCCGCTGGTCAATCGACTCTTCTACGTCACGCTGACCGACTTCCGCCGAAATGAGTACGTGTTCTATCGGCGGGAGATTTGGACGGATCTGGTGCATGCTGCGGTGCGAGAACGGATTGATAAGCAGTTGTGGGCGGTCATGCTGAACCAGTCCAAGGAGGAGGAGGATTTGCTGTTGAGCCGCTCGGTCGTTTATCGGCCGCGATTCCTGGCCAAGTAAGATCTTGCAAAATATTTGAATATATATTTTCTAATTTATTTGAAATCGTTTCTAAATTATAATTAATATACATTTTTTAAAAATCCTGCTGACATATTAATATACAAATTGCTCATTACATACATATTTTCTTGTTACTGACTAATACAGTAAACTGCACAGAATAGTTGTATTGCTGAGAAGCGGTGCTCCATCCTGATAGTTGAAATGTTCGCAGGCCGAACGGGATCCGACCGATCATGGTGTGTGGTCCACACCCGGCCGAAGCGGAGCGGCAGTGCCTTCCGCTAAAGACAGTGCGCCTTGTTGTGGACTTTTTGGCTGGCCGATATTCCGCGAAAGGCTGCGCTTGCCAGAGCGACAAGGACATCCAGGCTGCCTGGCAGGAATTCCGCACTGAGCGCCTGCAGAAGCAGGACACCCGACCGCTGCTCTTCCTCGCTTTCGACATCTCGCGGGCCTACGAGAATGTGAAGAGCAGTGTCATCATAAGCTTCCTCGACCAGTTGAGTGGGTTATGCGAGAGGGATGGGATCAGGGCCGTGCTGCTGTACGACTTGTTCCGGGCCCGTGGTGCCGCGGGAGAGCGCCGGAAGCCTTCCTCGAGATTCCGTCTTGTTCTTCCTGGCGAGCCGCTTGATGAGGGCTGTCGCAATGTGAAGCCGCAGATGGTGCCGGTGGAGCGTGTCATTCGAGCTGTTGATCAGCTGATGAAACCAGCCATTTTCAAGTTCAAGGGCAAATGGTAGGAAATGGAACATAAATAACCTTGAGCTCTGCAGTTTAACTGTAATAATAATTCATAGCGTAATGAATTTGTATGCGTGATCGATGATCTTGTTTGCTCATCCTGACAGGTACCAGTTTAACTCTGGCGTTCTCCAAGGCGCTCCCGTATCCGCCTGGCTGCTGAACGTGTATCTGAGTGCGCTGGAGCGGGAGGCGGATTTCCGCGCCAGGGAGGATGAGATGCTTGTGCGCTTCTTCGACGACGTGCTCTTCGTGACGCCCTATCCGGAGCGTCTCCAGTCCTTCGCCCGCACGTACGCCATCCTCTACGCGAAGCATGGCTTAAAGGTAGCGCCGCGGAAGACGCAGACCAACTTTGTCACGTCGGATTGTCGGGTGGCGCCAAGTCTGCTGCATGGCGGCGGTACACAGGAAGGTGCGTAAATACTTTTTCCTGAAAAAGACAATTAATTTACGAGGTAACTGATTTCAGTAATAATTCAAAAATATTTACCTGATGAACTATTTGGTAGGCCAGAGCGTAATGTCCTGGTATGGCTGGCTGTGGGATTTGGCCGGGATGGGCGTCAGCGTGGACATCGGGCGTTTCGCCGCCCTGGGCGTCAGCTACACGGTGCCGGTGCTGGAGACGTACTGCGCGCGCGTCCGCACCGCCCTCGTCGCGTCGGTGCGCGGCAAATTCTGCTCGGTGATGCTGGACCTGGCCAGCTGCCCGCGGGCGGGCGTCGTGCAGAACATTTATCACCTGTTCCTGCTGGCGGGAGTGCGGATGCTGGCCTACTGGCAGCGGATGCAGCGAATTGCCCGCAGCCGGCGCCAGGTGCGCGTGTTGTTGGAGGAGGTGGGCAGGGCGCTGATCCAGTCGGTGGTGAAGCAGCTGGTCCCGCAGGCGGCCATGGGAGGGCTGCTGGAGTTCCGGGTGGAGGGTCTGGCGTGGATCGCCTTCGCGCAGGTGCTGGGCAGCGACGTCAGCGGGACGGTGTTGTCGCGCGGCTGCAAGCGCGCCATTCGCGGCGGTTGCGCGAGCCGACTGAAGCAGATGCACGTGTACGATGCGGTGGACACGTGGGGCATTCGGGAGCTCGCGGAGGATCCGCCGCGGAAGTGGCCGGAGGAGTTCGCCCGGGTGACGGGGGTCATGTTCGGGAGGGGATGAGTCCCGCGCATTGTTTTGTATTTGCTGGTTGGATGGGTTATCGGCGGTGTGCGATTCACTTGCATTACCGTACAGGCTGGAATGGGTAGCACATTCTGCTTTGGTGCAGTGATACTGTGTTCTGTTGTGATTACATTTTGACAACTTCCATTTACTGTTATAGTAACTGGTAGCGGTGTTTTAGCGGAGGATTCACGAATAAGGTTACGAGAAGGATAGAGAGGCTGTGCTTCGTGGTGGGCACTGACAGTACTCGTATGTTTATCCTACAGCGGTTAGATGATTCCGCCCAGTTAGTTAATTCAGCGAATGTAGTAAAACAAAGAATGTAATCAAATAGATGTGATATAAAAGGAAGTGGTTACTATTTCTCGTACAAACTGTGCATGCGTAGCCCTTTTTGCACCGTTTTCTGCTCTTGTGCTCCATACAGAAGCGGTTTACTGTGCAATATGGAGAAGGAGCACTGTAAGCGTTCTGCAGCACTTGCCTAATAAAAATAATTCATGAAGTATGTGCTCGTACGTACAGATACAGATGGTTGACAAATTGACAAACTGAAGTAAACAAAAGGCAAAACGTGATAGCAAAGAAATGTACGGCTCGCTGCGTAGCAGTTAACTGCGTGACCTTTCTGACTGAATGCATGCATATATTTACATTTTACAGTAGCAGCTGCTAATTTGTATAATCATCTGACTGGGCATTGCTGTGCGTAAATGGATAAAGTCCGTCTGCCTGCGCAGGCTGCCGTCACTTTGTGACGTATATACTTGTGCAGACAAGGTGTCAAGACTGCAGTGACACCGGAAATGAGGTAAATCACGGTGTTACGGTGACGATTGACAGAGTGGCATCCCGGACTTGGCCAGGAGCAACTTTTGTCGATCGGCGCAACTGAGCTTCCACTGAAGCAGCCTTCCGCGGTTGACAACATGCACGGGTTTTTTTGGAACGGAATACCGTGGCTCCAAGCTGTCGGAACTGCGGCGCAGTCATACTGATACGAAAACAAACCACAGCAATATGCAGTCAGCAGTCTCTACACTAATTCGTCTTATGCACCGCTGACAAATTAACCCGTAGGAAATGTGAAGGGAGCGTGCAGTGCCGGTATATTATATTATTTATATATGGTAGACCGGAGATCCGGTCGAACAACGGGATGCCGATACAGTACAGGCACTGTACACATCTCATGAACGCATAACATTATGCGTTATTATAATATTATGCCGGTTTATAAACCGGCGTTAAAACTGTGGTGATTTATAGGCACGGCTGCTGTGCGTCAAGAAGAGTCATGTGTTTATGGTCGGTGTAATTGTGTTTGTAAAGCGGCAATCAAGACGACCGTACAGGTGTAGGCATGTTAAGCACGCAGTTAAGCGATGATTACGTTCTACTCGCATTTATATACCGCTGCTGATAACTTGTGTGTTTGTTTGTCGCAACAGCCACCAACAGAAGCCAGTCGAGTATACCTGTAAACGTGTAAACTTGCTACAAACGGGGCTGGGAAAAACACACAGATTTGACGCTTCACCGCACAGCAACGCCAATTCACCGGCACAACGTATGGCGTATAATTTCGGTAAACCGAAAGAACAGAAAGTTGAGGTGGAACCGGAGAACCGGTTTGGCATGAGTTAGCAAAGTTGCATTTGCCGGTACATACAAGAGCGTTGTTTATGTTGGCGTTGGAAATACTGGAAGGTCTTTCAATCTGTACGTATATTGCACTTCGCAGTGGCCGGCCAAACAATAATAACAATACACCGGTGTAGCAGTACGTCGCCTTGGAGCGGACATGAGCGAAGCCGGTATGCGGATTCGCGGCCAGAACGCTGCATTGATATGTGGCACTATGTGCATATGTGCCGGTAATGGTTTATTACAGGCATGGCGAAGTGCTTCTTACTCAGCGAATTGCTGGTGTCATGGTGGTAGGCAGAATGCCGTTCAGGGCCAAAACTAAATATGAGCTCACAGCAGTCAGCCAAAGCAGTGGAAGGTACCGCCCGCAGCCAACACCAACAACACAACACGCTCCTTACCTTTGCCGGTTAACGCTGCACTGGCTGAACCGAACGTTGACGGACGTTAGCGGCGAAGAAAGGCGCCTAGTCGCGTCGACCTTACCTGCTGCTTGTCACTGCTACCGACAATTACAACTACCTGTCTTGCTTTGCTGGGAAGTGCAGTTTTTTCTCGTATTGTGCACTGTCGTCAAGAAATGCGTTCCTCTTAGCAGAAGAACCTCTCTAGCTGGGTATGCACCGGTCGCGCTTCTTTTTGTCGACGACATATGCATACTCGTAGCAGCCGGAAATAGTGCTACTTCTTTTCTTTCCACGTTATCGCTGAGTACTGCGTCGGCACAAGTGCGTTTCTTCCTTTTATTCTATTCGAATTCTGTTTCGGCCTGTTTCTGTTCGGCGAAGCACGCTGCATGTGATTGCCGTGTGCTGTGCTGCTGCCTTGCATGGTGCAGGCACTGCAGGAAGCTACGACCAGTACAGCGGTGGCGATCGACTACTGGCGCTAGCTTTCCTTTATCAAGTCGCTTTTATACTTTGTCTTATTGTCAGGAAGGCACAACTCCCGGAAAACCTTGTCGGCGCTTTATTTGTGCATATATATTGATGAGTGTCTGTAATCGCGACTGATCCCTTTATACGATACCTTCATAACAGTGTATCCATATAAACGTGTATGTTTTGAACTTATATCGGAACGGAATTAAACGGAGGCTCGGGCGATGCGCGCGTGTGGATTGTTATTACACCAGCTAATAATCCCAATACCGCCGTAAACCTGTTGTTTGCTTGAACATCGGAAACTGCCAATGTCCCTGGACGACTAGTTATCATTAAGGCCCGTCCAACTCCAGTCCGGACAATTAAAATCAGATCTTAGGTCTCTTCCGCCGTGATTGTCCCGCCTGGTTGTGATTAGGGCGACTTCCGGTGGCTGTCGCTGTCGTATTAGCACCGACGTGTACAAGTACACCATGGCACCGTTAACACTAGCCAACAGGGGAGTGTTCATTTTGATATTCCTCAGGATTTCTGCAGCCGGTAAGCTATAACATATATATATATGTTCAAGATCAGCAACGTTTTTCCGTACGAAAGTCCCTTTAATTTCTTGTCTTTGTGGCACTCAGTTTAATTACAAATATAAGCAAATTACATATATAAGCACTCAAAACTTAAAATTACATATATAAGCACTCAAAACTTTAACGTGTATTACATACATTTGACAGTATAGTATACTGTATACGTGATTTAGGCATTTTGGTGGTATTAGTGGTAATTCCGATTAATTCGCTGTTTCGGTCTGGTTTTAATGCGCAGTCAGCCCGCAGCGAAAAACTGGCAATGTAAGGAGATTTTCCAAGAAAACATTGCGTTTCTTGTCAGCGGAGAAGTCAGAGAAATGTACAATATTACAGCTGGTAATGAGAAAGCTCGACACGGCAAAGAAACTTTTTGTCATACGATGATACAGCATTTCGCCAACAGATACATTGCTGAATGCATAATCAGTCGAATGCCGGCTGAATTTTTTATCATAAAAAATGCCGCGTGGTTACAGCTACAGATGCGAACTGGCGAAAGAGAAGCATGGGAAGCCGTGCGTGCAATACACAGTGCAGTCAACTGGTGTAAACTGCTAATGAGCAATGTGCAGCAGAATGTAGGTAATACTAATCGGTAATAAGCGATAGTTTATTTTCTGCATGAGCAATGCGCCTGGCACTGCCTGACTGCACGCCGGATGTGCCCACACGCGCACCGCTTCAGCGCCTTAATTATGCAGCGCTGCAAGGCCAACCGAGGCGATGATGTCATCCCTCTGTAGTTGTTGTTGTTGCGGACAGAGGCCACAAGTTCTAAGCAACCTCTTCTTCCCGAAAATGGAAAAAATCAGAAAAGCTGTTGTTGACAAGCGGCAAATATTTTGGCAGGGAATTAAATAACGGCAGCGACCACTTCGCGGCGTCATGATCAGCGCAAACTGCTGAGCAGGCGCGGCGCTGTTGACTTGGGCACACGCAGCGCGTGCCCGCGACACTGTGCACAGTCAATATCGTCAGAAAAAGAACAACGCCGAGAATATATTTTTGTCTAAAGTCTGTCAACAGATTTTTAATTTTGCCGGGCGGAAAGTGCGGGGAAGAGCGCGGTTCCCAGGGCACTTTAGCGTGGGAACCGCGGCTCGCCGAATAAGTTAGACCGCCGCCGAGGGAGTTTGCCGGTTTTTACTGCTCTGCCAGTTAAAATTCAGTAATAAAGTAATACGCAATACAGTATTTAAAAAAATAATTCAGTAAAATTCAGGAACATCGGTTAAACACGTCAGAAACACGTGTTTACCGAGACAGCACAAAGGCGCAAAGCATCGACTGCTTGTGTTGCACTTGATACAGTGCCTGTGCGAGTGAGCTATGACTGACAGCTGACAACGCCGGCGTCTGGCGACCTTTGCCGTTGGCCAATTCGGCGGCATCAACAACACTGCAACCCGTTCGAGTTGGCGACTTGCAAGTTACGAATCAAACTGGAAGCGGAGAAATAACCGGCGACATTGTGTTTTGCAGCTGATCTCAATCCAGCCGCCCCGGGCGACCGCTGCCTGGACAACCAGGGCCACCTCATCGACTCGGGCGACCGCTTCATTCCCAGCCGGACCCGGCCTTGCACCGAGGTAAGTTCAAAAGTAATTGCCGTTAAACTATTAAAATAATATCCAATTTAAATATACATACGTTCAACGATATTAAATTTAAAAAATTAAATTGTACAGTGCTTGTGCGCGCGCGGCAACGCCGTGCTGTGCGGCATCGCCATCTGCGTCGGCCAGGTGAACTGCTCGCTGGCGCGCTGGAACAACACGCTGTGCTGCAAGCCCGAGTGCATCTACCAGAAGCGCCTCATCCTCTCCGACCTGCGCAACTCCAACTTCAACGGCCGCGCCCCGGAGGCGGGTGCGCCGGGCCCCACCGCCCCCGCCGGCAACCGCGACCTGCAGCGCAGCAACGCCAACAGCGGAAGTAATAACAACAACGCCGGCAACAGCTTCTTCGACACCGGCGCCGTCTTCGGCATGGACGACGCCGCCGGCTACATTCCCAGCAGCAACTACGACGTCTTCAACGTCGACCACGACGTCAACGGACCCGGGCCCGCAGGTCCCACCGGGAATGGCACCGGAAGTGGTGTGGCGCGCCAGCAGAACCTGCCCAGTCCGTATTATCCCATTCTCATCGGGTTGATCAGCTGCGCCCCGGTGGCGCTGTGTATCATCTGCATCAACGCGTTAAGGAAGTACTTCCACGCGCGTAATCACCACACACACCGGGGATTCTTCTCGGGCGGTCGCCGACGACACAACCGTACGTAGAATAATTGTATTTCCAGTTCCGGCTCATTCGTATATCGGTTTACGCGGGCGCTGTGTCTGATGTAGGTCAGCATAATCCGCCCAACGCGCCGGTAGTGGAGGCCCCGCCCCCCGTGTACATGGACCCCCCTCCGGCCTACAAGGACCTGGACGGGAAGTGCAAGGCGGAGGAGCTGCCCAAGTACGAGGACGTGCTCAAGTACGACCAGGAGGTGGAGGAGCGCCGCGCCAGCATGTTCCCGCTGAGCGTGAACACCGGCATCTTCGCCACCACCTCCAGCGCCCGCTTCCCCTCCGCCGAGCCCCGCAGCTTCACCAACCTGGGCTACTCCCACACGGAGGGCAGTCGCGAGTGCGTGTCGCCTGAATCAGGAAGCAGCTCCCTCTCGATAACGCTGCCACCAACGCGGAGCCGGTCGGAGGTGGGCGAGGTGTCCGTGACCCCGGAGCCGACGGCGCTGCGGTCGGCGGTCAGCAGTGACCCGTCCAACGGGACGCAGGATTCCGTTTTGACCCCGCCGCTTAGTACGGGTCTGTCGCACAGCGAGCCGCCCTCGAGGGCGCCGTCACTACGCGGACCGACGCGACGGGCCTCGCTGGGCGACGCCGGCGCCGGAGGGTCTTCGGATCCGCGGTCGCCGGTCAAAGAGTGAAATGTGATGTGCCAGGATGTCGCAAATTAAACGGGATGAATGCTGAAACGAACATTGTGATACTGATATTTTATTGTACTTGTTAGTTGTTTGCCGTTATTTTCACAGTCCCTGAATCGAATAATGTCGGAGAATGTCTCTCCTACACGTGCAGGGTTTTAATAATAAATGACGCGGATAATAAACAGGACAATTTCGAGCAACGGTGTGTACTTATCGCCGCATGTGACCGGCATGGAGAATGTTGGCGGGCGTTAGTTGAATGGGAATCTGGAACGGGATTACTGCAAGTGGAGGGTAGGTGGAGACACTGCGACGCATCCGGCTAATTAGCCGCGCGCATTGACGCACGCAACGGCGTCGAGCTGCACCGGGGTGAAATGGAGCGTACGGTGCAGGCATAGCGTGTACTGTATATATCGGCGAGCGCAACAGAGCTGCGTTAACACTGAACAGTGGGCCGTGTCCCTTGGCATTCACCGCGTGCCTTAATGTTCGTCAATATACGCATCGAAGCTAGCAGTGAACACAAAGTGACCCCGAGCCCATTCTCCCATTCCATGCCACGACGACAACAATTCCCATTAATTTTGCCGGTAGATGCACCTGTCCGCTCCGCTATATATGCATTTGTCTATGACCGCACTCGTTAGCGTCGCGGGATTAATTCTTGCTTGGCAGTGTTCCCAGTTGCCACCGGCAGCCATTAGTCAGATATGAAGCGGTAGCACAGTCTAACAGATAATCCCGTAATATCATATCCATCCATCCCGTTCTCGGCCGGACTGGATCGGATGATGGGCACTCGCGCATGGCTGCCTGCAACAACAACATCAACTGCGATTTCCACGACGCATATAATATTATAGCGTATATGTATCATGCAGCCGTAGCGTGCCGGCATGAAAGCGCTACTGCCTGGCTTAAATTCCCTTGGCTTCCGGCAGCGCTTTCATCAAAGCCTGATTACACCGCAACCGGTGCTGTTACTGCGCCCCTTCTGTTATGCACACCGGCTATTAATGAGAGAGCGGACCGCAGCCAGCGGCATTTTAATTTCCATCTATTTGCGTGCAATTTGCTGGGTATTAGTACTAATATAAGGGAAGCCGGTGAGGTATGATGGGCCAGCGCTGATCAATCCGATGAGTGCTGATCGACCTTCGCTCGTCCTGATTTGCCCCGAAAGCAAATGTCACGGCGGATTGTACACGCTCCTACCTGCGCGCTCCGGAGCGGAGAGAAGGTCGGGGAACGGGAATATAGGCATGTCCGCTGGCGACGGCGTCCGTTGATGCCGGCTTAATTGGGACAAGGCCGCTGCCCCATCCGGAATCGGCGATTGGCTTAATCAGGCCGCTCCGCGCTTCACGTAGCAGCCGCCCGCGCAGCTGTCGGATTGTTGCGAGTGCTTGTCCCAGCGCCGTTCGCCCGGGGCAGCGCGGTGAGGCCCGATTAGACAAATAAAGCACTTAATAAATCTCCAAACGCCAAATCAACAAGCCAACGTGCGACATGTACAGAGTACAGACAGCCGGTATCCGCTGTCAGGATATGATATTATGTACATACATGTGTATACAACACAATACGCTGCCGATAGAATATGTATTTATGTATTGGACTAATAATTGGCCGAGTAAACAATCTACTGTATCACCCGATCGATTCCGTGTCACATTCAATCGATGCCGGCTCCATTCCCCTTCCCCATCCCGTTCCCGTATCGGCTGGCAAAGACCGGCGTTTGTCAAGTGTAACTCTTCATCTTTCGCGACAACTACGGCGCCTTAATCCACACGCTGCGGACAGAATTGCCAGTAAAAGAGGCTATTATTTGCCCACCAAAATGCCGGCCGGAATATCTGTGTGGCGGTTCAGTCTGGATGTTGCCGGCTGCGTCCGCTGCTGTCGGGGCAGAGTGGCAGCGGGAAGATAGGAGCGGGATTAGCGCGGATGCGGAGCAGTGTGTAGCCAGTATTAGACCGTAATAGACAGCGCAGGAAATAATGCAAATCAGAAGAGACAGCTCAATTCGATTATGCAGCTTCGTCTCGCAGCGCCAACTGCCAACTGCCAAACCGCGACGTTGCACATCCCGGGATGCCATTCCCGACCACCTGCCTCATCCGACAGGCAATAGGCAGCCGGGCAAGTGCAGCCTGAACATTACAGCACATACTGCAGAAATGTTGTGCGTTAATGTTCTGCAGCATGGCGCAGAATCTGGCTAACGGTCAGTTGCGCTGATATATACGTATATAGCGGAAGCCAGTTGAGTGTTTGAGCGCGGGCGCGGGTGCACCTTGGCGCGGCTGCTCGTGCGGCAGTGAATGCCGGTTGGCAGGCTTGGCAGGCCACTCTAGGCGGTATAAATAGTGCCGAGCAAACAGATCGACTCGCGCCCTTCTCAGCTGCAGCACAGGCACTGTAGTGACTGTACACAGTCAACACGAACACACCGGCATTCACAACTTGACCAACTGTCAACAAGCCAGTCACACAATCCCGGCTAGCTCTCCTCTGCCACTGGATCTGGAGGAAACCGGGAGAGGGAGACAGATGGAAGGATGACTTGCTCCTAGGATAGCAGAACAACGACTCACCATTCGTATACAGGCACTGTGTATATATTCGTATAAGATACAAGCATGATTCAGCTGGTTCACACGCGCACGCACAACTTCCAATACTGCTGCAACTTCCGGTCGTTGTCGCGTATGCTGCTCAATACATATGTTAGGATGGATGTTATGACACAGCAGGAATTAATCTTCTTGGTTGAGAAGGCAGGATGACGAGGAATGTATGTATATATTGGGAATGCCAGTAAATTACGACTGCGTGTACAATATACAGATGCAGGAGCACATGCGAGAGCAGGGAACGATGCAGAAATGTTTGACGCAGTGCGGCGACTAAGATAGAGGAGCATGCAGTAGAAAGGGAAGGAACGGGACAGACGGGACGGGAAGCAGTAATAAGATTAATCATGCGGAAGAGCAGCCAGCTAACCCAGCTAACTCGGCCAGCGCTAAGCTCCGGCCAAATCCCGTCCCCGCTTCCTTCGCCCGACCCTACCCGGCCTGTATGCATATATAGCCCCATCTAGCTTCCCGCTCCGCCTCCTTCGCCGCGCCGGCCTCGTTGCTGCGCATGTACAGATTACGCGTCTAGTACAATTATACAACCATCTTCGCAGTTAGCGGACAGAGTTCCCTTGCCAGTTTATAAATGCTCTGTTGTAAAGGTTCTCTACATATAGTGTAGTGTGCGTGGTAGAAATACGGTAATACCATATATGTACGTGACTGAGGCTGACGGTTATCAGGCCGGACCGGACAGGACAGGAGCGGGAACACTTTGTTCCTGCCCTGGCAGAGCGTGCGTAACTGAAGACCCGCCAATCGCCAGTCGAATAGGAATGCAGCCGGCACCAGCAGGCAGTCCTGTAGGGCTGGTGGCGTTGCGCAGCATTGCAGCGATTCAGCCATGGACGATGCTGATTCGCTCGGTGCCGGTTTTCTTACAACACACCACCATGCAGTGGATCCGGTTTGGATGCTACGGGGATCATTCAAGTAGAGAAGACAGCTGAAGTGGGCCGACCATAAAGACAGGTCGACAGATAGCTGTGCCATGCGCGGCCGGATTTAAGGAGCGCCGAGCGAGGACGGCACAGGGCCCGCAGGAGCAATTACCGACCCAGTCCTACGCACATCCTCATCCACGACGTTGCACAATCACCGACCGACATAATCAACGCTAAAGCGACGCTACCTGCAGCTAATCAGCCAAATTGTACATCCCTAAGCCTTTGTCCCTTCACCCTGCTAATTGTAAGCAGTGCCTGGCTTCTTGCACAGCTCCTGCGGCAATTATAAGGATAAGGCAGCAACACCGGCCGGCCGCATCCAGCGCAGAGGGCGCGATACACGCTCCTGTGAATCAGCCCACTGACTCTCCATTGATCCACGCACGCACAGTATAATGTACAGTACAGGCATGCCTCCCTATAATTCTGTATTATGTTATATCATGTCATACAACGGCGCACTCATCTTCCTGACCTTTGACCTGCTCCGACAGCACGCTCACCTTAGAGAAGCCCTAACAAATTACTAATTAATTTAGTCCATTGGACTATTTCTATCGAATCTCAGCCGTTTTAAAGCTGGTTTGCAAAACAAAAATCATTAGTGCTGCATAAGAAAACAAGGACGCTGCATGTTTACGCAGTTCATACCAGAATTCCACGGTGGGCGATCTTGGGAAAGCTGTTCCGTAGCAGCCGGTAGACAGATATACAGATAACGTTGGTGGGCCAGGTGTGGGTGCGCCTTTTCCCAGAGGGTAGAGAGTCTTTCCAGCCACTGCAGAACAAATGCAAAAAAGAGTCAGCTGTCGTTTTCTAGAATGAAATAAAAAAAAGTCGAGTATTTCAGTGAGTATCAGGTTGGCTTTGTATAAAAAAGAAGCAGCCGTGCAGTCGCGATGGCTACCTGTGCGGAACAATAAGGCTTCACGCCACATATGGAGCAGTGAAAAGGAGGACACAGCCACTGCGCTGAGCTGGGAGCTGCGTGCGGCGCAGCCGGAAACGGACGACGCTGCAACTGCAGCTGCCTCGGCGGATGCGAGCAGCCATCCATTCCAGCGACAAGGACGTTATTACAGCGTGTGAGCGCCCTCGCCGTGGCTGTCCATTGCAGCTGCACATGTACAGATACAGACAGGCAGCCTATTTTTTGTTTTGCCGGCCCATTGCCACTGCAACTGCAATTGAAGGCCGGGAATTAAGACTGCCTGCCTGTGCTGTGCCCCTTTCTCCCGGCCCTCCTAACCTAACAAGTGCAGCGTACATGCCGCTCTCCATCTGCGCCGCGTCCGCTCCACTGCCTGCGTCCGACTCCGCTGCAGCATGCAGCGCCGGCTAATGCCGATTGCCGGCGACGTGGCATTAGGTCACACTTGACAGTCGCTCTGTACAGATACTGCCTGGCGCTGCAGCGCCTTCCGGTCTAGTTGCACCCAATGCACACCATAATACTATATATGTGCTTGTACGCCGCGAGTTCATTACGCGCTCTCGCGCCTGCGCTGACAAGCCTGCCAAACGGGAAGAGACGGGAGTGCAGCCGCAGTCATCCGTTAGGGAATCGCAGTGCGCCAGCAAGGCCAGGCCAGCATGTAC